GAAAAAGAGGTGGTCGCGGGAATGCATGTCTCAATGTAGGCTGCCGTTCAATTGTCGCTGGGCCCAGTTCTTGTCACATGGACGACACATAAGGGCATTGTGGCTTTTGAACTTTATCTTGTGTGTTTGTGTGTGTGTAGGTGTGTGTAGTTGAGTTGTGTGAGATGTGTGATTTTGTGTGAGATGTGTGTAGACACTACTAAGAGTTAATCTACGAGAATCTACCATTGGATGTTATCCATGGGGTATACCGTTGCTTGCTGATTTCAAATTCTGAGCTTAGAAATTCGCTGTTTGCTTCATCAGTGGAGCAAGCTGGGGATGGCAAAAGATACAAGCCGGGTAGGCTGTGAGAAAAGCAAGGGTACCCTGTTTGTGGTGATTTCGAAAATAGAACATAGGAGCTGGTACGGTATAGACCGAAACCAAGCTAAACTAAACCGTAAATCCAATAACTCGATGGGCTGGATGTATGTGGGTGTGTGGGTGTGTGGGTGTGTGGGTGGTGTGCCATGGCTCCCCGACAGCCTCTAATCCAGAAAGGATGAGCACGGGGGAGCCATCTAGTTCTGAACCTTCCTGTAGGACAGTAGGTTGCCAAGATTGGGGGCCTGGAGTAGGCTACAATCATCCTATCCAGTCCCATGGGCATGTTGCCTCGCATGGGGCCCACTGTGTGTGGGAATCCGGACATGCTTGAAGGGCATCAGTTCGTGGGATTGGCAATGCAATCCTCCAGCCTTGCTGGAAGACTTTGATGGGGGATCCTTTGGGTGGTATTCCAGGTGCAGCAGCTGGATTCCATGGTGTCCCTCTTTTTGTTGTTGGGCTGGGGGAGTGTAGGCCTTGCCCTGGTGATTGTGTGTGTGTGTGTGTGTGTGTGTGTGTGTGTGTGTAGTGTGTGTGTGAGTGTGTGATGTTGTGTGAGATGTGTGATTTTGTGTGAGATGTGTGTGATACTACTAAGAGTTAATTAAGACGAATCTACCATTGGTTGTTTATCCATGGGGTATCCGTTGCTTGCTGATTTCAAATTCTGAGCTTAAGATTTCGCTGTTTGCTTCATAGTGGAGCAAGCTGGGGATGCAAAAGATACAAGCCGGGTAGGTGTGAGAAAAGCAAGGGTACCTGTTTGTGGTGATTTCGAAAATAGACACATAGGAGCTGGTACGGTATAGACCGAGACCAAGCTAAACTAAACCGTAAATCCAATACCTCGATGGGCTGGGATGTATGTGGGTGTGTGGGTGTGTGGGTGTGTGGGTGCGTGTGCCATGGCTCCCCGACAGCCTCTAATCCAGAAAGGATGAGACGGGGGAGCCATCTAGTTCTGGAACCTTCCTGTAGACAGTAGGTTGCCAAGATTGGGGGGCCTGAGTAGGCTACAATCATCCTATCCATCCCATTGGCATGTTGCCTCGCATGGGGCCCACTGTGTGTGGGACCGGACATGCTTGAAGGGCATCAGGTTCGTGGGATTGGCAATGCAATCCCTCCAGCCTTGCTGGAAGACCTTTGATGGGGATCCTTGGGGTGGTATTCCAGGTGCAGCAGCTGGATTCCCATGGTGTCCCTCTGTTGTTGTTGGGCTGGGGGCCAGTGTAGGCCTTTGCCCTGGTGATTGTTTGTGTTGTGTGTGTGTGTGGTGTGTGTGTGTGTGTGTGTGGTGTGTGTGTGTGTGTGTGTGTGTGTGTCGTTAGTGTTTGTGTGTGTGTGTGTGTGTCGCGTACATATGGTGCGGTTTCCCTAGTAAGATTAAGGCTATCAAAGCGAACACGTACATATGGTGCGGTTTCCCTTGCAAGGTTAAGGCTACCGGTAGCCGTCAAACCAGCAAGTTACATAGCGCGCAGTTGCCCTTTCAAGGTTAAGGCTAGAAAAATACCTTGGCCTTTAGAAAAATGCAAGTTGAGGGCACTAGCCTTCGGCTGGCTGTCCTTGCTGCAATTGATAAAAAGTTTTTCATTCCAAGCAAAATTTATCAATTGCAGCAAAAAGTGAGTATTCTAAATATAATTTACTGGGATTGACAGAGTCAACCCATCAAGCCACAGTTCTGTTGCCTCGTGCTTTTGCCGGGTTGCGCTATGACTATGTAATGATTGACAATGGGTGTAACAGTTTTCTGTTGCCTTTCAATGAAGAGTGTATGACACGTTTTACCGGAGAGATGTATCAATGGCAGATTTTTTAATCAGTCAAATCTCCAACCCTGATTATTACGATTGCGGGAGGGGTATCGTCTCTTGGTTCTATGAGTTTGGCGGGAAGTGGGCCGTTGTTGCAACTGACGCGTCTACGTTTCCATCTTGGAACTGAATCGGCTCGTCTACTTTCCTCTCATGCAAAGCTTTCTGACAATGGCCGAACAATCCTTACCGCCTTTTTGTCACAAATGGGGAATCAGGTCTTGCCAGAACGTCGCCATGTTCTTCTTGGACAAGCGTATCTAAAAACTGTCCTCTCGCTTCAGCTTGGTGGAATTATCATGATGGGCGATGCCACCGTGTTTCCCACTCTCTCTGACTACAACCGTGTTGCTGCGGGGCTCTTGGAACCATTACGTCAGGATTTTCCTGAGTTTGATGATTTGGAAGACGAGGATCACGACGGAGATGCAGACGAAGAGTACCTGCAGTACGAAGACATTGATGAGCCAGTGGATGAATATATGGAGTAAAATCGTATCGAGCAGCTTCGTTGTCTTCGTAGATCCCCGCGACTGATTGAAAGGATCAAGACGTGAATCAAGTTGGACCACAACCACCCCTTCAAGACGGCAACACAGTTCCCGTTCCGTTTCGCAAACTGACGGGTGTTCGTCACGATACTCAAATGCTCGTTTTGGATGATCGCAATTGACTGGGGCCACCATTGTGGTCATGTCTCTGCAGCCTGCAAGGAGGAGGAGGAGGATCGGGGTGTGACCACCGTTCGCACATCGTACGGTATGGATTGGAAGAATGAATCCGAGTGGCGACAAGGAAGGGCCAAGTATGCCGAGCTACATCCAACAATGTAAAGGTTGTAGTATGTAAGTAAGTGAGTGAGGAAGCAACATCATCGCGACTTCAGTATTACGAAGGGTTGCCGTGTGCAAAACCTTCGTTCCGTGCTGTACGAAGAAAGCTGATTGTTGTTCATGCAGTCCTTCTTCAAGGAGTGCCAAGACAGTTAGTTGGTGGCAGCATTCAAGAGTACGGTGCGTGGCAGCAAGGGGTCTTTTTGCTAGCTAGAATTTAGTTCGAACTGCACGTGGCTTGCACAAAAAATGGAACTCTCCTGTCTGATGCATATAATGCGTTTTGACAACGACCGGACGTTCGTGAGACAGCACTCAGACCCTTGCAGACAAACCACTCTATTCCCCAGCACTCAATCCATTGTACCATGCCCGTTACCACAAAGGATTCACGCCATCTTGGAGAATGATTCAATCAATCCATTGCCTAGGAAGCTGCGGTGGACGGCAACCGTACCGTACCGTATGAGCACTGCACCTGACTCAATGAGCAAGAATGCCACCGGTACCGCAGCCTTCTAAGTAAACCTCTTCCCTAATGATTTTTTCACGACCCCAGGCCTCAATCACTGATTGACAACCTCAACCTCCGACGACCAACACAAAGATGAGCCCTTGGAACCAAACACTCTGTACCGGTACTATCTAAGATTGACAACGTCTAAGCTAAGTTTATACAGTACAGAACGTTCCAAGTAAGACAATGACAGCAGAGACTTTTCAAAAGAGAACAGCGCTGCTGTTGGTGTTGGTGTTGGTGTTGGTGTTGGTGTTGCAAGTGTCGAGTGCCTTTGTGCTTCCCACACAACAGCATCCCTCCATCAGCACAAGTAGCAATACGTGCCTCGGCATGATTGGCAATCTGTTGGGAAATGACAACAAGAGCCAACAGCAAGGCGCCAATTTGCCCCGCGATGTCAAAGACGCCGTTTCCAAATGCCGTGCCGCCGTCCAAGAAGCGCTGCAGAACAAGTGTTCTCGCATGGACGTGGAAATGCCCGTGGGAGCCAAATTTGGAGTCGAAAAGACAACCAACAAGTCCAAACGAACAGCAGCACAAGATGACGGCGCCCCCACACAATCCATGTTGGATCAATCCGATCGCGAATTGGCACGTCTCTTTGTGGAAATGTTCCAACCGGTCGGAGCGGAAAACATTGCTGTCATTTTCAACACGGCCAACTTGGCCGAGTTGGCCAAGAAAAAGTGGAAGAATGATTATGGAGCCGATTCCCGGGTCTTGGCCATTGACAATAAGAAACCTAAAACAAAGAGTGGCAAGAAAAAGAAAAAGTCCATGGGATTTGCCGCCAAATTGGCCAAGGAAGTGGAGGATGATGGCAGTAATAAGAGCAGTGGTGGTCCTTTTGAATTACCTGGCAACATTGAAGTGGCGCTCTTTGTCGCACCCGGTCCCAAGGAATTGATGCAAGTCGAAAAGGTCTGCACTACCGTAGGAATGGGAACCTTGGTCGTTCTCTTGAATGCCAGATTGTCCATGCTTCAGCAAGATCAATTTGCCTCGGAACAAGCCGAAACACTCTTTACCAAAGAGTTTGAACCCGTCTTTTGCCTCGCGGCAGCACCCCAACAAGAGGCACCGGGATGTCTGCTCTATCGATCCTATCCGGGACCGTGGGTATTGGCACGAAAACCAAAGGTGGGTCCCCCCAAACCCATCTTGACCGCAACACAAAGCGACAAACCCACACCAGAACAATGTCAAGAGGCGTACGAATCGTTGGAGTTGGGTGACGTCGAAAAGGGAATTGAAAATGTCTTGGAGAATGTAGCAGGTTGGTTCAACTAACTGACATGGTCGAAACTCAGTTGAACCATCAATAATACGCTTGCGTGTGCTACCATATCTAATATCTAGCTAGTAGCCAGAGTGTAATTAGCTGGCTCGTCCAGCCATCATTGTTGCGACTGCCAAAACTCGGCCAAGCAAAGGAGTCACTACTACATAGACTCGTCAAGCGCGAGTTGAAGCTTCTTGCAAGAGAAACAACCAACCACGCTAATGCCTTGCTGCCAAGCCATAGTGAGAAATCCTTTGGGAGACCGTAGGCAGTCACAAGAGGCCAGGCTCATGCTGCTGCTTAGAAGTCGTTGCTTGTGCGGAAGGTCGGAAAGAACTCTAGTAGCTAGCTGATTAGAGGAGGTACAGGTAATGTTTGGGGAATGGACTTTATTAATCATATTATGGTGCGCAATCTGATCATGCCGGTACACGCGAACATAGATAAGAGTATACACTTTTTCTCAACACTTCTCAACACTTCTCAACACAGATAAGGATGCAAATAGCTGGAAGAACCTTCTAAAACACAAGCAGCCGGTGCATAGTACAGTACGATACGCCCGTACCCGACACTTTACAAAAAGGAATCCCAACGCCTCCTTCAGACCAAGGGAGAATCCCATCATTGTACGCTGCAGCAACTGTTCCTTGTGTGGTAGCTTCCAATCGCCTGCGTTTGCTTCCTTCAGTAACAACAACTCCAAATATAGCAACGACAATGATGGATCATTCTTCCAGATCTTCAAATCGCCTCTGACTGGGAATGGATCAGTCAACCAATCCATCATGGATCATATGAATCGGGATATGAACCTAACAAAACAAGAAAGAGGACCACTTTTGAGCAAAACCAACAAAGGGAGGAAAATCACGCTTGCTCACTTCACACCTCAATGTGGCACCGAATTGGGATATTCCCTCATACCTCCTTTGCCGGTTTTGCCGCTTGAGTAGGATTCGGGGTAGTAGTCATCTTGGTCGTGGCCCGGGTCGTCGTCCATGATCACTGGGTCGTCCATCATCGGGAAGTCGTCGTCAAAGACAAAGTCGTCAAAGATGAAGTCGTCTCCTGGGATACCGGGTCCTGTTGCGGTGGTTACGGGGTAGTAGTCATCTCCGTATCCGCCGCCGCCGTTGTAGTCATCACCATAGGCAAAGCCGCCTCCTTTGCTGCCCTTGCTGCCGTATCCACCGTAGTAGGCTCCGCCGTAGCCGCCTTTGCTGCCCTTGGAGCCTCCGTATCCACCGTAGTAGCCTCCATAGCCATAGCCTCCTTTGCTGCCCTTGCTACCCTTGCTGCCACCATAGTAAGGGTAGTAGTAGTCATCTCCTCCATAGTAGTAGTCATCGCCATAGCCTGAGCCACCTGAGCCACCGCTGTAGTCATCGCCATAGCCAGATGGGCCAGCGGGGCTGTAGGAAGGATCAGTGGGAGTTGCTGGACCAGTGTAGTAGTAGTAGTCATCATAGTCGTAGCCTCCGGTGGCTACACCGCCGTAGCCGCCCTTGGATCCCTTGCTGCCATAGTAGCCGCCCTTGGATCCCTTGCTGCCATAGTAGCCGTAGCCGCCCTTGCTGCCTTTGGATCCCTTGCTGCCCTTGGAGTATACTGGTGGGGGAGGGATGGGGTGATCATGATCGGGGATTTCAACAAGGTGTTCATGAGGGACCAAGTCATCATGAGTGTGGGGGCAAGGTGGTTCACCTGGAGTTCCACAGGGGCATGGAGGTCCGCCTGGAGTTCCGCACGGGCATGGAGGTCCATTGTAGGTGCCACAGGGGCAGGGTGGGCCACCTGGAGTTCCACATGGGCATGGAGGTCCGCCTGGAGTTCCGCACGGGCATGGGGGTCCATTGTAGGCGCCACAGGGGCAGGGTGGGCCGCCTGGAGTTCCGCATGGGCATGGTGGGCCGCCTGGAGTTCCGCATGGGCATGGTGGGGCACCAGGAGAACCACAGGGGAGAGGAATGATGATGGGACCTCCTCCCTTACTCTTGCTCTTGGAGCCCTTGCTCTTGCTGCCCTTGCTGTAGCCATAGCCGCCATAGCCATAGGAGCCCTTGCTCTTGCTGCCCTTGCTGTAGTAGTCATCACCTCCATCACAGTAGAGGAAGCCACCAACCACAGTGCAACCATTTCCATAGTATCCAGGGAGACCACCATAGCCTGGGCCGCCATAGCCTGGGCCGCTGTAGCCTGGGCCGCTGTAGCCTGGGCCGCTGTAGCCTGGGCCGCCGTAACCTGGGCCGCCGTAACCTGGGCCGCCGTAACCTGGGCCGCTGTAGCCACCACCGATGTAATCATCACCATAGGAGCCTCCATAACCAGCTATGGGGACGGGGAGTGGCATCCAACTGCCTCCACCGTAGCCTCCCTTGCTGCCCTTGCTCTTTGAGCCCTTGCTGTAGTAGTCATCATAAGGAATTTCAATGAATTGAGGAATCGGTGCTGGCTCGTAAACGGTGTGAGAGTGTGGGTGGGAGTGGGTGACAGTCTCAACAGGTTGTTGAGGGAGGGGGATGGGGATCCAAGAACTGCCTCCACCTTTGCTTCCCTTGCTCTTGCTTCCCTTGCTGCTTCCCTTGCTGTAATAGTCATCCCCACCATCGCAGTAGAGGAAGCCACCCAAGACATAGCAGTCGGGACCGTAGCCATAGTAGTCATCTCCTGGGGATGGGCAGACAATACCGCCTCCAGAAAGGAAGCAACCAGGCGGGACAGCAGGGCCGTAGGAACCTCCTCCGCTGTAAGAACCTCCTCCACTGTAAGAGCCTCCTCCACTGTAAGAACCTCCTCCACTGTAAGAACCTCCTCCACTGTAGGAGCCGCCACCGCTGTAGGAGCCGCCACCGCTGTAGGAGCCGCCACCGCCATTGTAGTCATCTCCATAGTGGTCATGCATGGGTCCATGGTAGGGAGCAGGGCCAGGGTTGTAGGGTGGGGAATAGTCATCACCATAGGGTGGGGAGTATGGTGGGGAGTAGTCATCACCATAGGGAGGGGAGTATGGTGGGGAGTAGTCATCATCATAAGTCACAGGAGGAGGCTGATAGGGTGGTCGGGGGGTCGGAGGAGGAGGGCGGGGGCAGGGGGGTCCACCAGGAGTGTCACATGGGCAAGGAGGTCCGTACCGACCACCACATGGGGGTTCAGGACACGGGGGACCATAGCGCGTGCCACAGGGGCATGGAGGACCGTAGGGCCCACCACAGGGAGGGGGTCCTCCCTTGGATCCTTTGCTTCCTTTGCTTCCTTTGGAACCCTTGCTTCCATAGTAGTAGCCATAGCCGTATCCACCTTTGGAGCCCTTGCTTCCTTTGCTGCCGTAGCCGTAACCACCTAAGTAGCCACCATAGTCATCGCCATAACCTCCATAGCCACCACCTCCGTAGCCATCATCGCCGTAGCTGTACTGCTGCAAGTTTCGGGAGCTGTCTTCATCTTTCGCTTCATCTTTGGTTGCCTCAACAGATGCTGTTGCTTCGTCGGCTCCGTGAACTGCCGCCGCGCCAACAAGCAGCAGAAGTGCTAGAATCTTGTTGACAACTCTCATGGTTATCGTCTCGACAATCAACTGATAAGTCACTACTCTATATTGTGGGAAGAAGAACAGAATGTGAGATTTGAGTAAGAGAAGCCTAGGATCCTACAAAGTTTGTTGTCGCTGCCTGTTGTTGTCGTACCTGTTCAGTCGCTCGCTGTGCTGAGGAGAGAAGAAACAAATTATGAGGATAGAACAGGTCCCAGGTTTCTCCCTCGGACCTTAGCATGGGATGTTCTCCGCCGCAAAAAAGTTGGTCGGGCTCCAGAAAATTTGCATGGTATCATCGTCCATCAATACAAGATACGTGGGAAGGAGGGCATGTGACCTCATCGGACGAAATTTGCTATTTGCGTTCGGCTAGATTGCTCTCAACGTAACATGAAAAGTTAGAAAGCTAAGGTACGGCTGCCGAAAATGTGAGCCCAATTTGGCCACATTTTCACGGGTGGAGGTAAAGAGATATACGGAGATGAAGGTTTTCAATCCAACATGTCTGTTTGGGATTTTTGTCCATCGCGATTATTGATTCGACAATTTTGTTCTCTCAAATGTTTTCGTTTCCTCTAAAATCTCACTTCGTTCTAAATCCACCGTGTCCACTATTGGCAATGTAGTACAGAACTTTTTATGATGTCCGTTTCCAAGAAAATCTTTTTCTAAAGATCGTACTGTTCGTTTGCATACAACAGAATCTTTCGCACCTTTACGCCGGTAGTACGGTAGCGTCCCCACCATTCGAGCCGTTGCCTACCCACCACTAGCTAGTAGCGTCGCTAGAAGGAGGCCAGGAAGATAGAAGGCTGTTGGTGGCTAGCCCCACTCGAGCTAGGTGAGCACGAGAATGCCAAGGATAGATGCTGGCCAGTGGACCAAAATCACAACGGTCAGTCCCAATGATGGCTGGGTGGCTAGCTAGCTGTTGCGTCATGATCAGAGAGCTATTGCGTCATGGTGATCACAGAGAGCGACAGTCCAGTCTCAGTCAAGTCATTCAGTGGCGTTGATTTGGCGGTTTGGCCGCGCCAATTCCTCGCAGCTTCCCTTGCGAGCGACTGCCAGCTGGCCGTTAGTCTACCGGTTCAGTAAAGTACCGTACTATGTAGCGACAGAACTCAGCAGAGAAAGGGCGGCCCAGCCATGTTAGCTGTAGCTACTGGTGGATCTGCCTGGTTGAAAGATACCAGGATAGCGAGACGAGCAATCCAATCTGGATGGGGCTCATAAGGCATGGAGCGACATTCTCAAGAGACCAGTATCTATCTCTACTAGTCAAGCATCATCCTTGGTGATTGGTGACCTGTTTCAGTAAAATTTACTTAATCCACTCTTTCCTAAAATCGTATGATCATCCTTGTTTCTTGACAGACGTTGAATTGGTCATTGCTACTGCTGCGGTAGCTGCTGTACGATGTCGCTCCTTGCTTGCTCAATGTTTGCACGGCCATGGATTGGATAGCACAAGGTGCATGGGCAATACCTACCGTGCCAAGCTATGCACCTTGCGTGCGATTGTTGTCCTCTCAGAGCCTGCGAGTGTCGCAGCCGCTCTTCTTTCCAGCCAGAAATGCCATCGACGGCAGCCAGCCATCGAGTTATCTATTAGTCGCAACGAAGGATCTCGACTACATGTACTAGCTAGCTCCCGTGACACGCAGACCGCAACCTTGAAAGTTGGTGTCACTCGATCCACAGGCCAGAATAGAAGGTGGGACAAAAAATATATCAACTAGTTATGAATTAAATACTGTATGTTGGACGCACTAACATCACGCGATTGCTGGCTCAGGCTACCTCATCAATAGTTTCCTTCGTAGCCTGATGGATAGGTTCGCCCACTATTCTTTCCGGTTGATGCTCCTTCCGTCGATTCTGTGGTTTCTGTCGTTTCTGTGGTTTCTGTGCTCGTTGCTGGAGGTTCACGCTCATAAACAGGTTCGACAGGTTTGTAGTCATCAGTGGATGGGTAGTAGTCGTCACCTGGTGGAGGGTAGTAGTCGTCACCTGGTGGAGGGTAGTAGTCGTCTAGAGGTTTGTAATCGTCGGCTGGGTAGTAGTGGTCATCACCGTAGCCATAACTGCCACCTTTACTGCCCTTGGATCCCTTACTTCCATAGTAGTAGTCATCTCCATAGCCGTAACCACCACCCTTGGAGCCCTTGCTGCCCTTGCTGCCATAGTAGTAGTCATCTCCATAGCCGTAATCACCACCCTTGGATCCCTTGCTGCCCTTGGAACCCTTGCTACCATATCCATAGGAGTAGTCATCATGTCCGTATCCATAGTCATCATGCTTGGGTGGGGGGTAGTAGTCGTCATCATCATAGTAGACTGGTGGGCTGTAGTCATCTACAGGAGGTTTGTAGTCATCATGTGGTGGCTTGTAGTCATCCTCTGGAGGCTTGTAATCGTCCACCACTGGTGGCTTGTAGTCATCATGGGGGGGCGTGTAGTCGTCCACTGGTGGTTTGTAGTCATCCACAGGGCCATAGCAATTATCACCATAGCAGTCATCATGAGAGGAGCCCTTGCCCTTGCTTTTGGATTTGGAACCCTTGCTGCTCTTGCTGCTCTTGCTGCCTCCTTTACCTCCTTTTCCACTGGAGCAATCATCACCATAGCAGTAGCTGTCATCATCATCATAGGAGCCTCCTTTGCCCTTGCTCTTGCTGCTCTTGGACTTGCTCTTGGATGTAGTAACATAGTAGTGGTGGTGGACTTCAGGCTCTGGTTGGTAGTAGACCGGCTCAGGTTCATAGTAGACAGGTTCAGGCTCATAGTAGACAGGTTCTGGCTCATAGTAGACAGGTTCTGGCTCATAGTAGACAGGTTCTGGCTCATAGTAGACAGGTTCTGGGTGGTATCCATCATCACCATACGAATATGATCCGCCCTTGCTGCCCTTGCTGCCTTTGCTGCCCTTGCTGCCATATCCATAGGAATAGTCATCATGTCCATAGCCACCTCCAGAGCCATAGTCATCATGTCCATAGCCACCTCCATAGCCATAGCCACCACCCTTTGAGCCCTTGGAACCCTTGCTTCCATAGTAGTAATCATCACCATACCCATAACCTCCCTTGGAGCCCTTGGAGCCCTTGCTACCATATCCATAACCATAGGAGTCGTGGCCATAAGAGTAATCATCTGCAGGGTAGTAACCAGTTCCAGTTCGGTAGTAGTCATCACCATATGAGTGGCTAGTTGGTGAATAGCCATAGCCATAGTCATAGCCACCCTTGGAGCCTTTGGAGCCCTTGCTGCCATAGTAGTAGTCATCTCCATAGCCATAACCACCACCCTTGGAGCCCTTGCTGCCCTTGGAACCCTTGCTACCATATCCATAGGAGTAGTCATCATGCTTGGGTGGGGGGTAGTAGTCATCATCATCATAGTAGACTGGTGGGCTGTAGTCATCTACAGGAGGTTTGTAGTCATCATGTGGTGGCTTGTAGTCATCCTCTGGAGGCTTGTAATCATCCACCACTGGTGGCTTGTAGTCATCATGGGGGGGCGTGTAGTCATCCACTGGTGGTTTGTAGTCATCCACAGGGCCATAGCAATTATCACCATAGCAGTCATCATGAGATGAGGAGCCCTTGCCCTTGCTCTTGGATTTGGAACCCTTGCTGCTCTTGCTGCCTCCTTTACCTCCTTTTCCACTGGAGCAATCATCACCATAGCAGTAGCCGTCATCATCATCATAGGAGCCTCCTTTGCCCTTGCTCTTGCTGCCCTTGGACTTGCTACTGGACTCCACTACATAGTAGTGGTGGTGGACTTCAGGCTCTGGTTGGTAGTAGACCGGCTCCGGGTGGTAGACCGGCTCCGGGTGGTAGACTGGGTAGTAATCATCATCATCATCATAGTAGACAGGATCTGGGTGGTAAACAGGTTCAGGGTGGTATCCATCATCTCCATATGAGTAAGATCCTCCTTTGCTACCTTTGCTACCTTTGGAGCCCTTGCTGCCCTTGCTTCCATAGGAGTAAGCATCTCCATAACTATTGTAGGACCTGTTGTCACAGGAGCCACAGTCGCAGTCGCAGTAGTTGGTGGATCCAGTTCGTTCACACTTGCAGTCACCGCAGCAGGAGGGAACGGATTCCGCCAAGAACCGCCGATTTACCTTTGGTGTGTTGTCTGTTGTGGCACCAGATAGGCCACTCTTTGGTTGCATGAAAGTCGCAGAGAGAAGCAAACATGTCAGAGAAGTAAAGTCTACCGCAAGCAAAAGGCCCCAGAGTCCTACGTACCTCAGCATTTCCGACAGTTGCAGCATCCTTCGCTGCCCCAGCTTCTCCTTCCAAAGGTCCTCGGAGCAGTCCATGGGCCGGCGAGAGCAGTAGCAACGATATGGTTGCTATCAGGTTGACTAATCTCATAGTTGCTGTCGTTGTTGCCTCGCTAGGTGATTGGTGTTGTGGTTGCAGGTGTCAAGGTCTCGACGTTGGTGCGAGAGAGAGAACTATAAGGTGACTAAAAAGTTGCTATTGCGCAGCGAAGAAAGCCAATGCCGATGGTGTGCACAGGCAGAAAATTGTGAACAAACGGATGGGAAACCGTGACGAGAAGAAGGGGCGGGTACTGTACTGTAATAATGCGAAGCAGACTTGTAAACGAATGTCTCCAATTTTTTGCGCAGATTATTCAAAATCTGGCTTGCGTCAAGGTACTTAACGTGATTGCTGTGCGAGCGCTACAAGTTGTCACTTTATTAGAAATCAAAAATGTAAGTACTGAAACGCAGGGGGATAAAGACGTTTTGAAAGCTGCCGGTACCTTTCTCTTCAAAACCTCAAACGAGCCAATCTAGTAGACTATGTCAACTCCTTCATGATCTTGTATGGCATAGCTATCTTGTTGGGTGCAAACAGACGCAGATACATAGAAGGATGATGGCAGTATCTCTTTAGAACTCTACCGGTACTTCAGTTCAAAAGAGGCGCATTTTCTAAAGTCCTTTTTTAGAACAAAAAAGAAACTAATTGTGTCGCCTCGCTGGCTTTTGCTGTGGCCTTATTTGGTTAGTGCCTTTCGCTGTCTGCCTTCACGGCCTCCCCTGCAAGGGTGGACAACTGAAAACAATGCAGCCGATGTTATAACATGCAGCTCCATCCAACACGTCAACGCCATTACAAACTTAACTTACTTACTTACTTACTTGTAGTACATAGTCTCTATTTCTCGGAAGATGAAGGGGCTGCCTGAGCCAAGCATAACGATCGCAGTTACAGCAGGAGCTGCGTTGCTAGCTTCTTACTGCCTACGTCTGTGGTCGGAAGAGGCACAACCCAAGAAGCTAACCAGCCATTCCTCTATCGGCCGTCGAGGCCTCCCAAACCATGTTCGAAAACGTCGCTTCCATTTCGACGTTGACCTGGTACAAAGGAGATGTTGAGGTTATAAGGCCAATCCCTGGCTGGGAGGATGCTTTGAGAGGCGAAATGGAGAGGTATTTCTGGTCTATAGTTCTGGTCAAGGTGTTGCCAGATTGGAAGAAGTGTTCAGCGTTGTTTCCTCCTCTAACAGGGATCTATCTAGAGATACACCCTACGAAGAACTGGCGAACAAAGTCTTGAAACCGTATGTGGTTGGGAGGGGCATAGATCTGCTGAAAGATCCTTCCAAACCGTTTGTGAAAATCACTTTGATCCCTGATCAGACTAGACCCAAAGAACGATTTGCACTACTAGTCTCTCTGGCCCATTGTGTTGGAGATGGGCATACCTTTTACACCCTTCACAACATGCTGGATTCAACCCGCCCTGTTATCGCCCTGGTCCCAAACAGAAAGGCCCACGTCCTGGACGATATTGCAAAGGTACTGGGTGGACCCCTCTACGCATCCTCTCTATCAAATCCACCGGTAGGATTTATCTTTCGATTCTTTAAGGGCATGTTTGTCTCTTCTGTTTTTGGACCCAAGACAGAAGTGCGCTTATTTTGGATTGACGAAAACTGGATACAGCAAGAAAAGGAACTCGCTCAAAAGGACATCACCGAGGGCTACGTGAGTACCAACGACGTCGTTACCGCCAGGTTCTTTGAATGCACACAAGTAGATGAGGGAATCATGGCTATCAACTTTCGTGGAAAGATTGACAACTGTCTGGACGTAGATGCGGGCAACTATTTCAACTACCTGGTTTGTCGTCCCTCTGACTACTCCAGCGCTCATATCAGAAGATCCGTCCAGAAGACGCAAAACAACACTCCTCTGAAGCCTCAAAGCAAACCCTTGACTAGCTGGGAGCACCTGACGAGTAGAAGCTTTTATGGGGCAACATCCAATTGGAGCACCTTTTGTATGCCCGTCTCATTACCAAACTGTGAAGAAGAACTGCACGTTCCCGTGCTGCCTACGGATTCCATCTCGTGCCCAGCGTCCTTTGTCACGGGGCTTTTCTTGTTTCGACCAGGAGCCTCCAAACGAGTGGCTGCCATGTTTGCGGGACACCCCAGAGCATTGGAGGCGGTCAAGGCCAGTGGCATGATGGGTGAGGATGTCTACTCCTGTGACAAGCACAGCCTGTAAGCTACAGCAACGACATAGTTGCATTGTATCCTCTCCCACGAACAGCAATATCAAATGGTAAAAGACATCTCCTCTCGAGACATTCTGCCTGGCGATACCACTACTACCTTGTTCCGAGGTCCCTACTAGATGTGGTAAATCTGCGATGTGACAACTCCTTCATCGTCCTTGTGGGCTGCAAACAGACGCGGAAAGAAGATGACAGTATCTCAAACTCTACTTCTGCACTGGTGCATTTTCTAGCTAGCCTCGAATATCAAGTTTTTGTGACGAGAACCACGAAAGATGCATCAATCGCAAGGAGTCTACAGTACTGAATCGGAGATCTTTGGGAACCAGGAACACATGGGGAATGGGACGGGGTTGGTTTTGATAATACAGCTTGCTGCAGCAGCTGCGGAACCAGGCTCAGAGAGGACACGTATGTCTTTGTGCCATCGTCCTTTGAAGAAAGATTGTGGCTAGCACACGGTACCGGCCAGTAGCCGGAGTCTCTTGTTGCCTTTTGGCTGCGAGGCTTGTTGTCTTTTTCAGTTTTAGAAACCCTTCAGTTTGGGGGGCTTGAGAAAACTTATTGGAAGGAGTGGTGTCATTGTTGCTGTTGAATCTGCAACTTGCTGGCTTCACTCATCAATGATCTGAAATAGCATTTCTCAGGATCCATGATCACGGGGATTTATCGTGGCCTGTTTTGCTGACCAAGCAAGCAATGGTACTGTCAATGCGTGTGCGCAGCTGGAAGGATGAGAAAAATAAATACTAAATAAGCCAATATTATTTGCTGAACTCGGCCTACCGTACACGTCCCTACGACTGTACCGTACCCCACTAGCTAGCTATTGCAAAAGGGTTGGCTACAGCAGACCATGCCTAAAGGTCAAATAACGGTACTAATACACTATTCATTTGAGCCAACGACTGGCACAATTTTTCATTGTATTTTGGACTAACATGTTTATCTTATAAAACAATAGAGAAGGCACAGCACCACGACATACACTCCGCCAAAGGAAACACAGCAGAATCAGTTGGAGCCAGCAAACGGTAAGACAAATATTCAGTACCAGCCCGCAACCTCCCACGCCTTAGACGAAGCATATGACGAAGCGATCATTGTCCATCATGTAGCTCCTTTCATGGATGATCTTCTGCCTTTGGGTATAACCGCATGGAACCTCCACCGCCCATGCCTCCGGTCATCATACCTCCAGTGGGTCCTGAGTAGTAGTCATCTGTGTAGCCGCTTGACCCTGTTCCGGACATGCTTCCACTCATGCCGCCACCGCCCATGCCTCCACTCATGCCACCGGTCATTCCACCACTGGGATAGTAGTCGTCAGCAATTGGTGGAGCGTAGTCATCATACATAGGTGCAGCATAGTCGTCTTGGCCGGGGTAGTAGTCATCCACATATGTGGATCCTGTACCAGACATTCCTCCAGACATGCCTCCGCTCATACCTCCAGACATGCCTCCCGACATACCACCGGACATTCCACCGTTGTAATCATCAGCCATCGGTGGGTAGTAATCATCGTAGCCGCCACCACCAGACATCATGCCACCAGGACCTCCTCCATAGTAGTAGTAATCATCGTAGGTTGGTGGGACGTAGTCATCTTGATACGACTGAGGAGTGGGCTTGCCGTATGTTGGTGGTCGAGGAGTTGGTGATGGCGGACGGTAAGTGGGTGGCCGAGGAGTAGGTGGGGGGCGTGTTGGAGGACGGTATGTGGGTGGTCGAGGAGTAGGTGGGGGACGTGTTGGCGGACGGTATGTGGGTGGTCGAGGAGTAGGTGGGGGGCGTGTAGGTGGGCTGTATGTAGGTGGGCTGTATGTAGGCGGTCGTGGAGTGGGTGCACTGTATGTGGGTGGACGAGGAGTTGGAGGGTTGTATGGTGGGCTGTAGTCATCATCTCCATAGTAGTCATCATATCCATAGTAGTCATCATATCCATAGTAGTCATCATATCCGGAGGAGCTGCCACCCTTGGAACCCTTGGAGCCTTTGCCTCCCTTGCTGCCACCATAACCATAGTCATCATAGTAGTAGTCATCGTATCCATAGTAGTCATCGTAGCTGCCACCCTTGGATCCTTTGGACCCCTTGCTGCCACCATAGTAGTCATCGTATCCATAGCCATAGTCATCAGATCCATAGTAGTCATCGTAGCTGCCACCCTTGGATCCTTTGGAGCCTTTGCCTCCCTTGCTACCACCATAGTAGTCATCATAGTAGTAGTCATCATATCCATAGCCTCCAGAAGGTGAGTAGCCATCATCTCCATAGCCATAGTCATCTCCATAGCCATAGTCATCTCCATAGCCATAGTCATCATAGTAGTAGTCATCATAATAGCCACCCTTGGATTTGCTGCCTTTGCCCTTGGACTTGGAGCCCTTGCCTTTGCTCTTGCTGCCCTTACCTGACTTGCTTCCTTTGCCCGACTTGCTTCCCTTGGACTTGCTCTTGGAGTAGTAGTGGTGATGGTGGTGGATGATAATTGGAGGTTCAGGAGTAGGACAAGGGGGTCCACCGGGAGTGTCACAGGGGCAAGGAAATCCATAGGGACCGCAGGGTTCCGGAGGGCATGGAGGTCCATCATAGGTTCCACAGGGGGGAGGAGGACATGGAGGTCCACCATAGGTTCCACAGGGAGGAAGTGGGCATGGAGGTCCACCATAGGTTCCACAAGGAGGAGGAGGGCAGGGAGGCCCATAGTCACCACCACAAGGGGGTGTCCAACCCTTTGATCCTTTGGAGCCCTTGCTACCCTTGGAGCCCTTGCTGCCATATCCATAGTCATCCGATCCATAGTAGTCATCATATGAGCCATAGCCACCCTTGGAGCCTTTGGAGCCCTTGCTGCCGCCATAGCCATAGTCATCAGATCCATAGTAGTCATCCCATCCTCCATAACCACCACCCTTGGATCCTTTGGAGCCCTTGCCTCCCTTGCTGCCACCATAGTAGTCATCATATCCATAGCCACCACCCTTGGATCCTTTGCCTCCTTTGCTGCCACCTCCATAGTAGTCATCCCATCCTGAATAACCACCATTGGGAGCAGGATTGTAGTCATCGTACATGGGTGCAGGAAAGTAGTCATCAAAGGCAGGACCAGGATTGTAGTCGTCATATCCTGGAAGGCCTCGGTAGTAGTCATCTTGCATGAATGGGCCGTAATCATCGTTTCCATAGTGGTCATCCCAACCGTAGCCGCCACCCTTGGAACCTTTGCTGCCCTTGGAGCCCTTGCCACCCTTGCTGCCACCATAGTAGTCATCCCATCCTCCATAACCACCACCCTTGGAGCCTTTTCCGCCTTTAGAACCCTTTCCTCCCTTGCTGCCGTATCCATAGTCATCATAGCCATAGCCATAGTCATCGTAGGAAGGAGTGTAGTCGTCGTATGGACAGGGAGGAGCACCTGGGATTCCACAGGGAGGAGTGTAATCATCGTAGGGAATAACAGGGGTGTAGTCATCATATGGGCAGGGAGGAGCACCTGGGATTCCACAGGGACAAGGAGGAGCTCCAGGGATTCCACAGGGAGGAGGGCCAGGAGTGTAATCGTCATAGCAGTTGCCACCATAGCAGTCATCCACAGGCCCATATCCACAGTCATCACCATAGCAGTCATCATATCCATATCCACAGTCATCACCGTAGCAGTCATCATAACTGCCCTTGGACTTGGAGCCTTTGCCCTTGGACTTGGATCCCTTGCCTTTTCCTTTGCTCTTGGATCCCTTGCCCTTGGACTTGCTGCCTTTGGACTTGCTGCCCTTGGACTTGCTTCCCTTGGAGTAGTAGTCATCATAGCCATAGTCGTCACCGCCGTATCCACAGTCATCACCATAGCAGTCATCATAGGTGGGGCAGGGAGGAGCACCTGGGATTCCACAGGGGCAAGGAGGAGCTCCTGGGATTCCACAGGGAGGAGTATAATCATCATAGCTTGGAGTGTAGTCATCATAGGTGGGGCAGGGAGGAGCTCCTGGGATTCCACAGGGGCATGGAGGACCTCCAGGGGTTCCACAGGGAGTGTAATCATCATAGCAGTTTCCACCATAGCAGTCATCTACTGGATTGTAATCATCATATCCATAGTAGTCATCGTAGGAACCAGAGCCGCCCTTGGATCCTTTGGAGCCCTTGCCTCCTTTGGAGCCCTTGCTGCCATATCCATAGCCATAGTCATCATAGTAGTAGTCATCATAGCCACCGTAGCCGCCCTTGGAGCCTTTGCTCCCCTTGGAGCCCTTGCCTCCTTTGCTGCCGTATCCATAGTCATCCCAGTAGCCGTAGTCGTCGCCTCCACTGTATCCGCCTCCGTAGCTGTAGTCACAGGGACTGCAGTCGCAATCACAGTAGTGGGTTCCGTAGTGGTTTCCACCCTTGCTGGACTCACAATTGCAGTCCGTACAGCACGATGGAATGGAATGGTGTTGCAGTCGTCTTCGGAACGAATCCTGTGGTGGCGAAAAAGTCAAGGCAGGAACAAGGAGTGAGTATTGGGTTGGATAATGGAAGTGGGTAGCATTGTTTTTGCCCGTAGCTCGGTGGGGTAGCATTGGGTCGGTAAATCACGCACCACCACATCCGTATCATCCTTCTCGGGTGTCTTGTCTGCTCCGCGCAAAGAAGCATCTCCGTTGGCAGTGCCAAGGAGTAGTAGTGCCAGAGACACCAGTATCGACAGGTACTTCATGGTGGAAGTAGCAATCGCTGTTCGTCTATAGAATGACAAGAAGATAATGAGATGGATGATGTGAGATAAAATCATTGGCTCGGGGTAAAAAAATCGCACGCGCAAGCAGGTCGACGAGAACTCCCTCCACCATGGATAGCGGTATTATTGGCGGTAGCATCGGAAACTGTAGACAAGGAAGATGATAATCATTGCATTTGGAGGATACGATAGCAGGGAAGGACCATGGTGTTGGATAATGGTCGCCAAAGGGTAGCATTCGACGAAAATGCTGGCCTAATATCCATCCGATGGTGCTAACGGCTACCCTCTATCCACCGATCCATCGCACCTCTGGCTACCCAGTCAATGACAATGCCAAAGGCAGAGTCGACTGGGCTAATACAGTCGAGGAGACAGATAGAACACGGAAGTGGCAATGCCGTGATCTTTTTCTCGGTGGGAGGCAATCCAATGCAATGCGAAGGAAGTGGTTGTCGAGTAATGTCTACAGATTCAGTGCTACCGCTTCCGCCGTTTCCTGCCATGGTGGTTGGTTGGATTGGGTTGTCGTCGTTCATGTTGGTATCGTACCTTGATCAAACTCAATAGAGTATGGATGCTGTTGTTGTTTGCTGTCACCGACTTGAGCTCACTCTCTCCGGTGCTATCTCTCAGTCAGTCTGATGGCTGTTGGCGCTTGGGATAGGTTTTCAGCGCGAAACAAATTGTGGGTGTAGTTCCAGGTTTGGCGGTCAATACTCACAACGTTGATTTCGAATCATGTAAGAAAACTGCTGCCAGCCGACCCAACGAGCCCATAACATACCAATCCTTCATGACGAATGCTTTATAAAAGCGGGCTCGGAATACGCATCGGCAGGTCGCGTCCGGCGAGCGGACAATTAGAGCTATGATGGCTGCCAATTTTTGTTAGCTAGGCGCGTTGTCATTTTGAAATGCCAGAAAGGTCTAATTGAGTTCGTGTCACACACTGTCACTATGGCTTTTAGAGTAGTCACAACGGAGTTCTACCTCGGCATGGGAGTGTAATTAGACGGCACTCATAGGTTGGTACTTAACGTCAGGCGTTGATGCTCCCGTCCCTGCTCGACTCATCCCACGGGGGCCGGCACCTCGAAGGGGGGTTAAGCCAGTACCTCAGTCGTACCAGATCTACTGTTCCATTGGTATCCTCGGGCCGAGCAGTCTTGGCAAACAAGCTTACGGGGGTCAATCCTTCGATCCGGGGGACGTTGGAAAGATCTTTTGTGAGAGCCAATTTTGTAAGACTCCTTCCGACCGAAAGGCCGTTGGTTGGCTTCGGTTTTCGAGAAAGTAGAACCTCGGACCGAGGAACGGATTCTCGGTAACGTTGTTGGATTAGATTGGATTCTGCTCTGTGTGGCTGCTAGCTAGCCAGCTACATGTAGTACCGATTGTCACCGGTTTTGGTGAGAAGTCTCTTCGTCTTTGCTTCTTTCCAAGATCAGACTTGACGACCTTGCTTCTCGCCCCCCACCAGCCACCGACCCCAATGAGAAGCTGTCCATGGTTTTTTCCGGGACACTCTTCCTTCTCAACTTGTTGCCTCGACTCCCACCAGTATAGCCCCCCCCCCTTGATCTACTCCCACTTCATCCCTCCCAGCAAGCAACTTTTTCGGCTAGCTCGAATCGTTGACACGTTCGTGAGGCTAGGTCTTTGATTCACAGCAGGTTGCTTGCGGCTACTAGATCAGCTGCCTGGTTCCATTGGGAATGGCCACCGGAACAACTCCCCTTGGCGGCCGTGGGAAGCAAGTTTGACACCGGAACAGGCAGATTGTATGTTTGTGCCCGCCTTTGGGCAGTCCCTGAGATTTCCAAAGAAGAAATCAGGCTGCAACCATGCACACGTAGTAGCAGTACTAACTAGCTAGTCGCATGGTAGATAGTGCCTTTAGAAAAAGCACTTGCTTGTGCGTGCTTTGATGCTTGGCTGCGGTGTGGCATGCGGAAAGCTGAAGCAGGTCCTCAGTCCACGATACTAATTTGGTTTCCACGACAATGTTCGTGGTTCTTTTAAAAGTCAACACAGCTGTTTGTACCGTTGACACGCTTTGGAGCCTCGAATCTCCTTGCCATCACAACGATTTCGCCATGAGAAAAGCCACCCGTGGATAGTTCCAATTGGAATCAAATTCGGCTAGCAAGTAGTAGGAGCTAGCTAGTTTCCCCATGCAACAATTGCCACCAGCTCCTTGGATCATGAATGAAAGACGTTGTAGGACGAGGAGAGATGAATCCTACTAGATTTATGTGCGAAAACGCGCATGAAGCGAAGCCAACAATCCGATTGGGAAAGGCAACGATGCAATTTGCTGCAGTGTTGTTGGAACCTATGAGTTCTCTATTCATTCCGTAACGATCGATATAGCTAGCTACCGGTACCAGCTAGGCTAGCTGATATTCGCACCAACACATAGAAGCCACCTCGCGTAGATATTACTAGCTAGCTAGGAACCCTGGCGCTGTGCATAGTGCTAACTACGTAAGATTTATGCCAAATCCAGAATTTCGGATCCAAGACTGCATGCTGTCGCTTCAACCTCGCCTCGAATTGGCGGTGCATGCGCCCTTTTCGCGCGAAGCTTCACTACGTGATCCACCGCTTCGCCCCCCTCGCTCCTTAAAACGTATCTATTTAGTATTTGTTTTTTGCACCGCTACGAGAGAATGAGAGCACACATCGCTCGATGACCATCACCCTCGAGAGAGCACCGGTAGAGGACAGCCAAGGGGTATTGTAGCTAACGTATCAGTCCAAACGAACCCACAGCGAAGCAAGGCCAGTCAGCCTTATCTTCTTCAACAATGGACGATGACATGGAACCGATGGTTCCTGTTCCGATGTCGGAGGGAGCCGACAAAGGTTCAGACTTGGATATCGAAATGTTGGAACCAGACATGGATATCTTGGTACCCCCCACGCAGGACGACATGAATATCGTGGTCCCATGCATGGGGACAGCAGAGGGGGTCATGCATCCACCACAAGAGGTTGCACCCAAAATTGAGAAAGATTCTCAGGCCAAACAGAAGGCTGGATTGTCCCGATCTCCCGAGGAGCTCATGGCCAAGCTGAACGAAGCAAGAGTTGATTTTACCTTTTCTAGGACAGAACCAAGTCCCTCTGTTCCTTCTGATGCTGGCATAACCAGTGGCAGGAGTGATGATGGTATCGACAGCTCGGTGGCAACACCAAGTGCCACTGTTCCTTATGATGCTGGCATAACCAGTAGCAGGAGTGATGTTGATACCGACAACTCGGTGGCAACACCAAGTCCCTCGGCTCCTCCTGATGCGGGCATGACCAGTAGAAGCAATGATGAGGGTATCCACAACTCAGTGGTTGCCAGCAAACAGAAGAAGGGTCTGTCCCGCACTCCCGATGAACTAGCAGCCAAGCTCCGAGCTGCAAGAGGTGATTATTCCTCTGGGGCAAGATCCAGCTCCTCTGCTCCGACCGGGGCTGGCATAAACAATGACATGAATGTCCAACATGGGGAGACTGATGCTTCTGGCACAAAACAGAAGCGAGGACTGTCGCGAACGCCCGAACAGCTTGCTGATAAACTCAATGCAGCAAGAGGCATTCATCCAACAAGATCTAGTCCCACCGCAACTGACGACCGCGAAAGCGATGCCAACCACCACCACCACCTCCTGCAAATGGCAACTGACATCAATGAGGCAGCCAAAATGGAATTATTGGCGAAAGCCACCTCTAATGCTGTGTCATCAAACTCACAAGATGCAATACAAAGAGAACTTAACACCGTTGGTGAAGAAACAATCCAGCAGCAGAGACAGCACAGACAACAGCAACTACCCCAACCCGGAGCATACTCCGCCACTCCAAGAGAACCCTTCCAGCAGGATAGCATTGGCCAGAGTCAACCACCACCGCAGATGGATGACAGTTCTGCCACAGAGCCAAACAATGAATTGCCAGATAACAGCAACCTTGATTCAACAGTCGACCAGGAACTGGCAGTGGCAAATCTAGTTCTCGAAGATCCGGAAGCGCAGCAAGAGAGGCCTGCAGCAGTTCCTGTGGATCTAGAACAGTATGCTGACAGGGAGGAAAAGAAGAAGAGGCAGATGCGCTTGTATTTTCTTTTCTTGTTTATGATGTTGATTGTGGGAGCCATTGTTGTTGGTGTTGTGGTTGGAACACAAAAGCAGAAGGAACCAGAAGTAATTGTTTTGAAATCAACTGAGGCACCGACTGTCTATGGCTCCATGGAACCCACAGAAGTGCCATCCTCTACACCCACTGGGGTTCTGGACTTGTTGTGGGATAGTCTACCAGATACCACATTGGCTAGCATCAACAACGGCAGTGAAACCCCTCAGTGGAAAGCATGGCAATGGCTGGTCAATCACCAAAACATCACATTCCTTCCCGAATGGAGGAAGGAGCAACTCTTTGCTCTGGCAAGCTTCTTCCACGCCTTTGAGGGGGAAAATTGGAATGAACCCATCAGAGAAAGATGGAGAGATGATGCAACTGAGGAGTGTAAATGGTTCTCCAGTGGAACTGGATATTTCTGGAAGGGAAGGTACATTCATTGGAAGGATGTTGGTGGGCGTTTTACTGATCCATGCAACAGATTTGGACAGTTTACCTCTCTTTGGCTGGATGATCTGCAGCTGTCTGGTTATTCACCAAGTGTTCCTCCAGAGATTACATTTTTGACTTCTTTAACCAGCCTACGATTGAACCGCAATGGCATTGGCGCACCATTTTCGAAATTGCTGCCAGCAGAGATCTATGACATGACTGGTTTGAAAGGACTTTCGTTCGAGGAAAATCCGTTGATTGGTCAAATTCCTTCTGAGCTTGGACAACTGACTGGTTTGTCTCTGTTGATCTTGGCGTTTACCCGAATGTCAGGTCCAATGCCTTCAGAGCTTGGGCGGTTGACTGAGTTGAAATATCTAAAGTTGCGTGGAAACCAGTTGACAGGGCAACTTCCTGTCGAACTTGGGCAGCTGACTTGTTTGACCCAGCTGTTGTTGTCCCAAAATTTGTTTACCGGGGAAATTCCTTCCGAGTTGGGGCTGATGGTGGGCTTTGACTTTGGCTCAACCAGCAGTGAATTGTCTGATCAAATCATATTTGATGTCGGATTGCTGACATCTCTATCTTATTTGGATGTTGCTTTCAATCTCCTGAGTGGTCCGATTCCAAGGGAACTTAGGCACTTGTCTGATCTAGCAGTCTTGGATGTGTCTGCAAATCAAATCTCAGGTTCCATTCCCAGTGAGTTTGGATTGTTCACAGCTTTGACTTGGTTGTGGTTGGCCAATAATGAATTGACGGGTCAAATTGTTACAGAGCTAGCACTCATGAGTTCATTGTTGGACATCTTTTGGTTGGATGGCAATCAACTGAGTGGGCAGATCTCAACTGAGTTTGGAATGATGACCAGCCTATCTATCTTTTCAGCCAGTACAAATCTCTTGACAGCTCGAATTCCTTCGGAACTTGGCTTTCTAGCTATGACAGAGATCTATTTGGAGAAAAACAGATTGACCGGAGAGATTCCCACTGAAATCTGGACGTTGACCAACTTGACTCAGCTGTATCTGTTTGAGAATTCCATCACTGGCTCCCTTCCAACAGAGATTGGGCTGCTCTCCTCATTGATTGAGCTGGACTTTTCTGAAAATCTCTTGACCGGAATGATCCCCAGTGATGTTGGCTCCATGACATCGTTGCAAAAGCTGCATCTTTTCAACAATAGCTTCACAGGAACCCTTCCCCAGCAGCTCAACAGCTCCATTGGTCTGAGACTGGACGGGAATAATTTCTCAGGAACGGTCCCAGAGCATCTGTGCATGGCTCTGTGGTGTGATTGCATGTCAAACAATGCAACCCCAGTATCCACCTGTGCTGATCTGAACAAGGCTGCAACCTTTCCAGGTCGGTTCCCACCCACGAGTGCCGAAGGAGAGGATATGATGGTGGCCCTCAACCTTGAATCAGATTTTTCCCCAGAGGACACAGATTGGCTTTGGCAGAAGGAAACAAGTGTGGATGGTGTTTGGGAGACAGTGGCAGAGTCTGCTGGGGCGATACAAATTAAATGGTTCCTGTACTCGTTCATTCTTCCTGTTGGCCTCAACAGCACCTACCGGCTTGTGGTTTCCGACACCTTCAGCAATGGCTTTTACAACTCTGGGTTTATCACTCTTACAACAGCCAATCACACAGTGCTGTTTTCCTTTGTGGAGGTTGGGACTGCCTTTTCCGAGCTTGTTGTGGAAATCTCGGTTGGAGCTGATGGTTCCATGCAACAAATCTCCTCTGCCATTGTGTGTGATCCTGCAATTTGGTATTGCTGAGTTGGTATCCGCTTGTCCCCATCCTAGTATACGTTGCTTGTGTTGTAGTAGTATGGTACATGTAAAACGAAAACTAATGCATGCTTTCATGGTTTCTATGCAACTTTCGTCATGAATGATGAATCGAATCCGCCCTGCCAGTTCTCTCGAATCGTTTCCCGTTGAGAATCCATATACCGCATCCTGTTCACACGCTACGGATGGCTAGTTTCATCTTCATGCACCGTTCATTGCTTGCGCTAGCTATTGGTCGATTGATTCAATTCTTCCGTCCACGATTTCTTCCTGTTCGACTATTGCAATGCTCACGGAGATTCCTTCTTCCTGATGGTGGTCCCCTTTTAATTGTTGCTGTTCGCCAGCAAAAAACAAGCTTTCCGCCAGCATATGCGCCGAGCTCCATGCCCTCTCTAGCTACGGTACAGTAGCCCCGTCGGCATTGGCTCTGGCGTACGAAAGCGTCGCAGAACTCAACTCATTCTTACTATAACTAAGAGGCCATCGATCGAGGGGTAGAACAACATCCTTGGTACCGGTACAGTCAGACAGGTTCGACACCACGGTTCCAAGTTTCCACGCTCGAGATGACGTCGCTTCCATCACGCACAGCTGTTCACTTCTTTACCAACGCGCGCACATCATGCGCTGAGAGCTCGAACGCAATCCAATCCTTCATCATTGGCGGCGGCTACCGGTACCATCCATACCTTCCATCTTGTCGATCTGTTTGTCTATCATAGAGTACTAGCTAGTATATCTTGTTGCCGCGGAAAATGGGTCGATCATTGCAAGTAGAGTTTGGTGCGATTACATCCGATAACGTGGAGCAGGTGAGTGTGTTTTTTGTTGAAGGGATGGATGGGTAGCATTATTTGACGGCAAAGAGTGCCAATGAAGATAATTGTACTCACAGTATTGTTTGTTTTCTATCATTTTTTTTATTGTTATGTATATTTTCTGTGTAGCTACGCAAAGTGAATACGGTGTCGTTTCCTGTGACGTACAATGAAGGTTTCTACCAAGATGTGGTGAAACGCAACAACGAACACTTGAATAAATTTGCCTATTACAATGGTTTTGTGGTAGGCGCCGTCTGTACGCGAATCGAACCCATCAAAGCGGGCGACAATCACGCACCTCCCACGGCGGTGGATGTGGAAGCTCCGCTTACAGGTCAACATCGACTCTATATCATGACATTGGCCGTCTTGGCGGCGTATCGAGGCCGTGGCATTGGCGCTCAACTCATTCAATCCGTACTCGACTATTGCGATGCCATTAATGATGGAACTGCCTCTACGGAAAAGAATGTCGTGCCCAAACGAATCGATGAAATTGCACTCCACGTACAAATCAGTAACGAAGATGCCATTCGATTCTACACCCACAAATTTGGATTCGAAAAGGGAGATATGGTTGAAAACTATTATCGACGCATTGATCCTCCTCATTGTTACATTCTCTCCAAGAAATTATAAACAAACAACAATACAATCTACCACTAAAACAACACAATTCAACAATAAGCAATGCTACCCTAACTGAACAGAACGGAATACTACTTACTAAATGATCATAGATAGCTTAGCACAAAAAACTCTCTCGTTGAAGAGTATCCAGACTTCGTCATAAAACGAAACTTTAAAACGGTTTCTGGTGGCGGTAGTACCATGTACATGACATTGTAATATGGCAGGCTTCCGCAAAGTCGAGGCGAAGCCAGTATAGTGCTCAGATAAGCTACATCGTATATAGATAGCTCCGACCGATGGGTTATGGGCGCAGCCGAGACAAACCCGGACACCCTCCACTTTCAGTTGGGGAAAAATCTACTCGTAGTAGAGCCAGGCTAATCTAGCTACTGGAGCCATCCATGGACGCAGCGGCCCCAAGGAGCCGGAGGGCCGCGAATCCTTCCGACACACACACAGGCTGCTGCTCCACTTCAGATTGCATCATGTTGTCGCTGGGGGGGCAGGAGCCCTGATGGAGGATCCAGCTTTTTGCTTCTTGCGGGTCTCGGTTCCGCCATCGTTCTCGGCAGGACCCCGTGGACTCAGTATTTGGTTCAGGAGGGGCTCAACCTAGCTCTCGCACTGTGCCTTTGTAGTGAAGCAAATCGCCCAAGCCTTCCTCTTCTTGGGCTTCTTGTTCACAGCAGACAGAATGCTCCTTGGGAATCATAGTAATGGCCAAGTCTCCCGTTTAAAGCAGCGGGCACAAACAAACACAAGAGGAATCCAAATCACCCACGCATTCAACTTTTGCTACGGACCTTGTCCTTTTCGACACAGATAATGTCAATCATGCAGTCGCTGTGGTGGCACTTCACGCCATTGCCAGAACTGGAGTTATTCTGGGCGCTGGAAGTTGCAACCCACGCACTTTAGGCGCAGCGACCGGAGCTTCCTGCCCAGTTTGTCGGGGATGCTTCGCAGGCAATTAACCCAAGCCAGGCAGTCGGCGTTGATTTGTCAAGTTCAAACTTCGAGATGCCCCAAGCTAGATATCTTGTATACAATGCGGTCACGCTGCAAACTCGACAAGCAGAAACGATTGTTAAAATGGTGTCCACCAAGATCCAGTCCCAAGCTTTGCAGTTTGAGTAGGTTCTTCAAGGCACAACAGAATTCTTCCAGGGGAGAGTAGCCTTCCGTCTTGATGGATTCACTTAAGAGCCTCCAACAGCCAGCCAGTGTTAGGTTGAAATGTGGCAGGTGTGGCAAGCGCTTGAGTTCATCACTCAAGAGAAGAAAGAGACTTGAGCTGTGTACAATCCTCGAGATCAAAAGTCAACGCTCTCAAGGAGATCAAGATCGCCCAACCCCCTTGATAATTCTGAAGATTCTTCAAAGTCAATCCACGTCAAGCCAAGTTGGAGCGAACGCAGCCGCTTTGGAAGTGCTTCTAACATAAAAATGCCAGCCTCATCCCGAAACTGATAGCATTCGTCGAACCTGAGTTGTAGTTTGCGATAGCCACTCTCTGAAAGCACTTTCCTGTACTTCTGAGTGGGAACGCCACGTTTCAAAGCCACCCGGTAGGTCAATTCAGCGAACCTGGTACGAAGCAATCCATTGATCTTGTCATACGACGCGTGCTTTTTGGTGGGTTCCAGGGAAGTAAAGTACCTTTGTTGCCACAGATATAGTTCAGAATGCTTTGCTTGTCTGCATCAACGGATGCATCTGCGTCCTCGATCGATATATCAAATGCTTCCAGACACTTGGGGAAGTCGGGTTGTGGTAAGAAACTTGCATCAGTTATGCCACAAGCATAGTGATTGTAGAATTCCTCACCACTGTGACTCGTCGATATCACAGTATAGATGTCGTGCAGATACTTATCTTCCTTCCCTTCCTGCTTCCGCCATTCAGGAACGTCTCGAAGTGCCATTGAGATCTCAAAGCTGACAATCAAGTCTCGTTGAGATTTGCTGAATCCAGACAAAACCGTCAACACATAAGCATGGCTCCAACGTACCAACACCAGATCCGAGAAAGCAGACCCTTTGAGGGTCCATAATAATAGACACCACGCCATTAGCCGATTTCATGGCACGCAAGAAAGAACTTTGGGACTGATCCGAAAGAGATGCATCCTCCTGAGTATGATGGTTGTTCGCATAAGCGAAAACCCAATACAACATCTCGTTGGGGCTCCCGCCATGGATCTCACAGCGATCTGTAGCATGTTGCTCAAGACACTCCACAAACTGGAAGACTGAATGACCCGACCAATAGGCGCGTGCTATTGTGGTTTCCTTGGTCCATCCGCAATCAATTCAACATAGCTGCATTGGCTTTTCTTTGTTTGCTGGTTTGATGTAGTGGTGTACAAGGTCATAGAAGGTCACTTATTCTTCTGGACAAAGAAGCTTGCCCTTGTGTTCTTCCTTTGTGCTTGTCCACTTTTCTTTTCCACAGCGCCACGATATCTCCTCAACGACTCCTTTCAGTTCGTGCAGCGATATGGCCCTGAGTTCAGTCTGCGGTATGGAACATGGGGCCTTGGAGGCCAATGCCTCCACACTGGATCCATGTGAAAGCCCGTCCACAAAATATTCAGAGATGGCGTACATGGTTGACTTTGTTTTTGGAATCCCAGCCATACGCAAGGACAAGTCCCCATTTCTAGAGCACGTGAACCTTTTCCCCTTGTACAAGAAAGTGTATCGGACCAAAGAGTCACGCCACTCTTGGGCCAAGACGGCCTGATGAAGATCTTGGAATGTGGTATCACGATTGAAGCCAGTCCAGTAGCGCCTCCCAGATGGCAAAGCAACACAGACCGAGAATGGCTCAACAAGAGTCGAGTCATGCAACTTCTCACAGTGTTTCTCACAAAAAAGCTCCACGCACTTTCGTGACTCGCAGAACAACGATACAGTAATACCAGGTAGAGTGCCAAAAGCCAGGAAAGGGGAGAGTGGCTTCCAAATCAGAAAGAAGCCAGATCGATCTTGCTTTATTCCAAGGTCGTTCTGATGACAACAAATGTCGCCTGCCTCTACCTCTACACCGCCGCTTTATAGACAATGAAACTCTTCCCAATCACACTCAAATCACCTCTCAATCACTGCTGTTATAACAAAGATCTTAGTCAAGTTGCAGTTCCACAATGTATACTTGTATACATTTCTTTGTATGCCAAAGCCAGGCCCTCGCTGGCTCCCCACTCCAACGTAAAACCCCTTCGGCAAGCACAAGGCCGGTCTTCCCCTTATTATCTCCTCTATGCAGCGGCTACTCCTTTTGAAGAAGGCTCCACCATGACAAGACCACCCAGTCCTCTACTAGACTCTACAGTGCTGATTGAGTGCTGAGAAGGGCCCTTGGAGGGCCTTTCCCATGGAGAAATACATAGCAAAATGGGAATCGAATCCAAGCCAGATTTTTCACAGAGACTCCATATGAAACTTTGGAGATTGCTGATGCCTTTTTAATAAACGGGTGGCTCTGTAAGTGTGTTGGGGAGCTAGTGCTCTGACAGAATCAGCTAGATCAATGTATTGGTTAAGCTAGCTAGCTAGAAACCATTTGGTCAACACTGTTGCCATGGCGGCAAACTTCTACGGTACGGTATCTTTCTTGGATCTTTTGTGTTTTCTTCTTGCCACATCCGGGTTCCTTTTTACGAACTGGACTCCGACTGAGTCACCGACGAGTCTCAGTCACTCGACTTTCACTCAAGTTGAGGTGCCAGCCACCAGTAACCGAACCGATGACGTCAAAGATGATTCTTAAATCCGCATATCCGCATACATATCATAAATGTCAGTTGAAAAGAAAAAGGGCATAACCGCGGAAACCGGTGCGTGCCGGTTGGGCTGCTGTGTCACCTCATCGATCATCAATCGAACCTTCCCACTTCCCACTGGTCCCGTCCATCAACTCTTCCCATTTATTTCCCATTCCATAGAAGGCAATCAATCCACAAAGTTTGAGAGTTGCTTGTACCGTAGTAGGTTGTATAATAATAGTCACCATGTCGTCGTCGAACAACCATGCTAATGATGAAGAAGCTCCTGATCAACCCGAGTTGGCTCCCAGTGAAACCGTGGCGATTGATGTTCTGACCAAACGGAGGGAGCTGGAAGCGGCTCAGTACAAGACGGACTCGGCTCGTCATATGGTGCCCGTCAGTAATCATACTGCTGATGACAATGTCATGATACCAAGGGAGGAGGAGGAGCAGAGTGACCAGAACAGCCACAGCTCCTTCAACATGCTGGAAATGGTGGAAGAACGAGTCAGCATGGCTGCCAAAGATGATGATGAAATAGAAAACGAAGACTTGAAAAAGGGAATTGACAAAGGGACATCAGATGACCTCACAAAGAAGAAGAAGCGCGACCCCACGATGGATACCACCACCACCAATAAGTTAGCCACGGATGCTCAAGTGAATGCCAAGCTGGGATCCTTGGGAGCCATTGCCGCTAGTAGTGCTGGAGCTATTACCGATGCCCAAGTGAACGCCAAGCTGGCAGCCAACTCCTCTACCAATCCCACGGTCCGCCAGATGCAACGCCCTGGTGCCTACATGGGTGCACCGGGAGTGGAACTTCAGAGAACCTCTACTGTGAGCTATCAAAATTTTGGATCGGCAAGCGATGCCGAGTTGAAGAGCTCCGAGTTTACTACCAGCATGGAATTTCGTTCCAGTTTGGTCGTCAATAACAATCATCGAGCAGCAACAACCCTTCCGGAACTGGACGACGACGAGGACGACGACGAGCCCCAGGCTTTTGCAAGTGGAAACTCGGCAGCCTTGCAAGAGGACTCTGGAGGACTGGTTCAAGCCAATCCGGTCCGGGACGAATTTCGCAACAGCAATCTCCAATCGGCAGCACCCGTGTTGGAACAAAACAAAAACCAACCGAGGGAACAACAAACCAACACGATTTATATGGCGGGGGCAGCGTTTCTCCTTTTGCTAGTAGTCATTGTCGTCGTGGCCGTGGTGGTTACCAAAAGCAAGGAAGACACGATTGTCATTGTGGAAGCTACCCAATCTCCCACGTCCAACCCAACTTTTGCACCCACAACATGGACCGTTCAAGATTATGTCTTGAATCTGCTTCCGGAAGCGACAGTCAATAGCGTGCTACAGGATGTCTTGTCGGCACAAGCACAAGCGTTCGACTGGATTATGGAAGATTTGATGCAGAATGCTGATCAAGACTTTACGGAGGACCGCATTGTGCAGCGATTTGTGCTGGCAACCTTCTTCTTTGCCACGGGTGGGATCGAAAGTTGGTCCCAAAACGATAATTGGCTCAACCATACCGTACATGAATGTGATTGGTTTGCCAAAGATGGGTCCAAACTCTACTGGCCTCCAAATGATGATCCTGACTTTCCTTGTTTTCGACACACGGCCACGTACAAACAACTTTGGTTGTACGCCAACAACCTCGAAGGAACACTGCCCATGAATGAGCTCAGTCTCTTGACCAAACTCACCAGTGTCTCACTCAATGCCAATCCCGGTCTACAAGGGACTCTGTCCGCTCTGTGGGGAAAATTGACCGATCTAGAACAGTTGGATATGGGCCGACTGGAGGGTCCCTCCAAATCCAAAATACCGTCCGAGTTTGGCTTGCTCACGGCCATGACAAGCTTGAATCTGCTCAACAACTTTCTCACGGGAACCATCCCGACGGAACTGTTCTTGCTCTCCAAACTTCATCACTGGTTCCTCGACAACAATGAGCTGACTGGGACCATCTCCACTTTGATTGGCAACATGAACGCGTTGCACAATCCGTACTTTCATTCCAATCTGCTTTCGGGACCCCTTCCCTCGGAAATTGGAAGGATCCCCGGCAATCATCTCTCGTTGGATCAAAACCTTTTGACGGGAACATTGCCGACCGAGTTGGGGCAAGTCTCGACCGTCGAGCACATGGTGGTGATGAAGAATGCGCTCACAGGGCCCCTCCCGTCTGAATTGGGGTTGTTGCATCGACCCAAAGATGAAACAAAAGGTTGGGGATTTGGTGCCGGACCGTGGTGGTACTTGAATGCCGGGTACAACCAACTGTCTGGAGAAATTCCTTCCGAGTTTGGGACCATGTTCTACATGAAACACATTTGGCTCAATGACAACAAGTTTTCGGGGACGTTGCCACAGGAGCTCGCCATCTTGGCAGCAGAAAATAGTAATGACACGTCGTTGCTGCTGTCATTGAATATCTTGAACAATCCATTCCTCTCGGGAGTCATCCCGGAGAGTCTCTGCTCGATTGGTCCCGATGCCAATGTATCGTGTCCCATTGGAGGCACATGGTACAAAGATTGTGGGCTTTCCTTTGACTGTCTTGCCAATAATAATGTCAGTACCACTGGAGATCATTATTTGTGTGGTTGCGGTTGTGACTGCGAATAATACAAAGACAAGAGCTGAAAAGGAGGCAGATCTGAACAGGGGACCGACTGTGCGAATGTGCTCTCCTTCAATTGGGGGAAGAACTGATTGGAGGCTGTTCTTCTTGCAGGGCTCACTTAGTTTGTAGACAACACTAGTTTGGGAGAACAGGGCTACTCTGGGTTGGCTTACTAGCTAGTAAATGAATGTTGCATCGAAGTCCGATCGTGGAGGCTTGATTCCAAATATCTGGCGAATGCTTTTGGTCCCTACCGGTACCGGTATTGACACTTCCAGCTACTAGCTAGCTAGCTCCATGTAGCTAGCTAGAGACTACCGGTGGAAGTTTAGAAGCCCTCGCAAAATCCATCCTAATAATCCAGAGGTTCGTCTTTTCTTGAAAAAGATCTTTCATTGCTCAAAGAACCCTGCGCGATTGCGAGATCACGGCCAACTTGTGAAGAAAGCATTGGAAAGGTAGCTAAGGTAAGTTTCGCATTAAAGATTAATTTTACTCAAATGATTTCCACGTCTGTTTTACCGCATCTACCAAACTTTCAAAGCTCTGTTCCAAAACAGGGAACCGTGGGACTGGTATCCATGCAGCTGGTTCCATTGAGGAAGGGTTATGCAACCCCAAATAGCACAACTAACCAAAGATTCTGATTCTAAAGCTCTGCTCCAAAGCTGTCTGGACAGGTATCCATCTGTTCCATTGATGAAGGGTTACAACCCCAAATATAGCACTACTATAACCAAACTGTGGTACGACACCAATCATCAACAAAAAGATGTTTCAAGAGGGCGCCACCACCGCTTTCAGCGTAGAATCGATCGCAGATTCGGAATCAGAAGAGGCAAAGCATGAGGAAGATGTTGCTTGTTCGCTCAATCGCGACCATAGTTGGTGCTGTGGCTGGGCTCGGTTTGATGGCAACATAACGGCACAGGGCTACTGTGTGCACGGCTTGGGGCGTGGCCCCATCTACATGTGCACAGTGTTCCTTTCAACAGCATTCATCTTCTTAGCATCAGAAGAAGTTGGTTGTGTCGACGAAGACGGTCAGATCGTTGAGAACTGTCAAGAACGTGTGTATGGCGTCTTTCGACCGGCTGCCCTGGTGACGAACATTGCCACAATTGCAGGTCTGTTGGTTGCCTTCTTTTTGCCTTTGATTGGAGCCATTATGGACTATACATCACATCGATGGACTCTAGGTGTTGTCACAGCAATCCTTCTACTTGCGACTGAAGCAATTCAGATTGGAACAACCTCACAAACCTGGTTTGGCATGGCTGTGCTTGAGGCTGTTTCACTTCTTCTCTTTGAAACCCAAATCACTGCATCACTTGCCTACATGCCTGCTATAGCACGAACTGTTGGAGATGAATCATTGAATACCTATGTAGCCTATTTCCTCATTGTTGAAGTAGCACTGGGACAAGCTCTCTACACACTGATTGTTGTGGCCATTTCCACATTCTTTGGACTTACAAATGTTGGCACAGCTCAGGTGGCACAAGGACTTGTAACAGTTTGTGCTGGATTGGGATTCTACTTTGGATGGAAGAAGTTTCCAAAGGTTCCTGCCAAGCATTTCATAGATCAAGATCCAGAAGACGAAGAAACTGATAAGCCAAGCGAGAAAGGAGCGGATGTCTCTGCCAGCAAAACTCCACAGCAAGAAAAGAAACACAAGAATCTCTTTCTCATTGGATTCATTCAAAACTGGAATACGTTTTGGTACATCAATAGGGAATACAAACATTCTATTCGCTGGTTTCTACTGGGATGCGTCTTTGGAGACGCCGCTGCCAATGCCTTTTTAACCGTTGCTGTCGTTGTACTCACAGACGAGTGGGGATTGAGTGCCAACGAGGTGGGGATCTTTTTGCTTGTTGGTCTTCTTGCATATGCCCTGGCATGTCGACCGGCTGCATGGGTCACCAACTGCACTACTCCCAACATATCCTGGAGACTTGCCATGATCTACACTTTTGTACTTGGTGTCATTGGTGCCCTCACCGTCACCAAGGAAAATGCCAAGCCTTGGTCGTTTGTTTGGGGATTTGTTGTGTGCCTTGGATTGGGATGGCAAAGTCAGGCTCAGTACACGTATGTTGCACTCATTACACCCAAGGATCAAGAAGCAGAGTTGGCAGGATTCTTCAATTATTGCAAAGTCATCTTGGCCTGGATGCCCCCACTGCTGTTCTCACTCCTGGTGGAAGCCAATGTGCCGCAGTATATTGGAATCATTTGCACTTGTGGCTTCTTTTTGCTGGCAGTTGCTGCCCTGTCCATGTCAGCACCATGGGACGAAGCCATGCGAGAGGTTCATGGCGCTGTACCAGCAGAAGGAGAAGTGGCGAATCCAGATGACGAGATGGCAGCAAACGAAGCAGAGCCAAAGAACACGGATGTGGAGCATGGAGTGGAGGTTGGAGTGGAGGTTCAGCCGTGACCGAATAGACCACTGGAACGTACGAACTGCTGCCGCCGAAATGTTTTTAAGTGGTGCGACGGTACCTGCCAATACAGAGTGCATTTCACGTGGTACATAGTAGCTACTAGCTAGTATGTTGTCTTTAGCTTGAATGTTAGCTGTAGTGCACGGTACGGTTTCACCCATGTCATCATGCATGTGGTCGCGTATCATCCACCCTTTCCTTCGTGTTCCTGCTCGCCCCCATCTACCGAAAAACGGACGTCAACATCCATTCCAACTTGAGGAAGCAAGCAACCTGCTTCCTCCTAGCGTTTTTCCTTGGCTGACCACGTACGTTGTCGATTCGATCGTATCGATCCATCTCATCGATCTGTTCCATCTCAACGCGGCCCTGTTTACACACCACGTTGCTGTTGTACAAACGTACGAAATCGGGTCAACGCGAGTTTGTATTCGTCCTCGGTAGCAGCAGAAAAGACACATCGAAAGAACCCGGGTCGTTCGTTGCGCATGGACAATCCGGGTGTAAAGAGCAATCCAAAGTCATTGACCATGGTCAAGTAGAGGGCCCGTTCTCGTTCTTCTTCCGTGTCGTCACCCGCCTCCAAAAATTCCGACAAGTCCATCCAACAAAACAAGCCACTGACGGCGGGCAAATGAGGAATTTCCAGTTCTTGCAATAACGATTGCCATGTATCGCCACGCGCTCGCAATCGATCGTGATGGGCCTGCCGAAAGACAGTGGTCCATTTTTTGTTGTCCTCGCCAGAGTCAGCGTCAGCAGTCATCATTTCCTGGACGAGCATTTGCGTGTGACTGCTGATTTGACACATGTCATTCATTTTTTGGAGTGGCATTCGAATCTCTGGATTTTCGGAATAGGCGACTCCGACCCGCATTCCCGACAAGGCAAAATCTTTGGACAGCGCGTAGACCCAATGAATGTAGGGACCCAATCCGAGTGGACCATCGTCATTGTCATCAGTGCCGCCAGAGGAAGCCAATTGCAGAGCCGACACAAAATTGGCGTCCTCCGGGCGATACACGGATCCGGCGTAAATTTCGTCACTAATGAGATGAACCCGGTTGGATCGACACCAGTCAATGCAGTCTTGAATGACATGGGGCGGATAACAAATGCCGAGAGGATTGTGGGGATGACTGAGTAATAACACTTTGGGGGGTGTCGTAGCCTTGGCGAAAGCGGCATCCAACGCGGCCGGGGTGGGATAATACATGGCTTCGTCGACACTACTTGTACTTGTTGTGTCAGTGCTGTCGCAATTGGCATAGTCCATGGTAGTAACGGGCACAATGTTCAATCCGGCACGGGCGACCAAATCGAATTCAAAAGCGGCATAATAGGGTGTGGGAATCAGACAGGTATCTCCCGGTTCTGCCAGTGCAAAACAGAGATTTTCCAAAACGGCATTGCATCCCGCTCCCACGATAATTCCATCGGTATCGGGCAACACGGGCAATTGTAACAAATCCTTCATGTATTCCGCCATACCCAATTTCATGCCGGGTCGTCCCGGGGTGGGTTGATAATAGATTCCGTCGGCCGTAAAGGGAATCTCGCGCGCCCATTGATTGAGTTTTGGTACCAACAAGTCTTCTACCAATTGACTTTCTGCCACACCCAACTGGAGTGCCCCATTGGGAGCCGTGTCCTTGTCATATGTCTGAACGGCACGCGCATCTGCCAAGTAGGTCGGGAGCAGGGATACCGCATGTTGACCACGACGACTGGCAATGCTGCTTCCATTATCTGACGATGTTGTTGAAGAACTGCTCGTCGAAAAGGAACTCAACGACGGCGTCTTGGACGACAAGGCTGACGTACTGCTGCTGTAGGGTAGCATGCTGCTTGGTCTTCTTCTTCTGGCGATAGTAGAGAATGGCCGAGGAACAAAATGGGAGAGAAAGGATGGCCGAGCTAGTAGAGTAGATGATAAGAGCATAATATATATAATCAATACCGGTAGTACAGAGTAAAAAGTTGGAGAGCTCAGTGGAAGTTCGTCTTGTGTGGATGGATGCCAATGACAATAGTCTAGCAAAGGTTGTTCTTCCGAAGAGGTATGTTGTTCCGGATTATTGTGTTTTGCCAATTCTCACCCTTTCATCGGCAGCAGCTTGTCCTTGTTTTGGATATTATCAGACCTCGCCTGGGGTTCGTCAGAACGGGCTCTCCACCAATCATTGGCGAAGCCATAACCCTACTGGTAAGTACGTCACAGAATAGAATCGAAGCAGCAAAAGATCGCGCCACTTTGAATGAAAAGCAAGGATCCGGAAGAGAGTGACTCGCCTCGATCAGGGAGAGCCTGCTGGGCTGGCAATTAGAGTCCGTTGCCACGAGTATCCGATAGCACCACAACACACTCCACTGCCTTTGTCGGAAACTACGATGTCTCCCTTGTGGATGTTGAGTCTCCTGGTCGTCGTGACCGTGGTGTCACTGCTGAGAAGGCCCTTTCTCAGCGAGAGAGGCAGAAGAAGATGAAGTACCAGGCTCAGTGCACTGCACAACGCCGCCACTTCACCCCCTTTGTTGTTTCTGCTGATGGCCTCTTTGCTGCCGAAGCTACTGCTGTTCTCCAATGGCTTTCCCAGCTGTTGGCTCACAAGTGCTCCAAGCCCTACTCTGTGGTTTGCTCTTTCATCTTGGTCAGGTTGAGCATAGCTCTCGCCCGCGCTGCGACTCTGTGTCTCGGAGGCTCCCGTGTCCCAGCTCTCAAGGTTTCCAATTAAGCGTTGGGATGACCGTGGTGCCCTCGATCTCTTCCGCTAGTCTTGCTCCTTTGCTCCTCCCTGCCCTCCTACCTTCCCCCCTTTCCTTGGTTTCCATGTTGCCCTGCTTGTGCACTTGATAGCTTGCCTTGCGTTCCGGCATCGTGCCCTCCCCTCTCTGCCCCCATCCTCATCTTAGCTGTCTCTTCTAACCCATAGTAACTTCCCCCGATTTCCACAATGAGCTCCATGGAGGCACTGGGATGATCGTGGTGCTCTCAACCTTTACGGATAGTCGGTCCCTGCTCCTGGCTCTCTTTCCTCTTTGTCCTGCCCTGCCTGTAGTTTCCTTCTGTTGGCCTGCTCATTGGTTTTCATTCCGCTCACGACCGACGCCATGATTCCCCCATCCATGCAGTCCCCGCTAGCTAACACATCGTAGCCAGTCCTAACTCCAATGAAACCATCACAGGAAAGAATCTGATATATACTATCCATTGATTATTTTAAAAGCGGACAATTCAGCGCAGCAATACATATTCTGTTTCAACTCATCAGGTAAAAGCTCCAGCAGTCAAGATTGCAACAATACGGCAACCTGTCAAGGCTTGTCTTGAGTTGAGGAACCTCCACCATGGGTCGTGCACTGTTTCTTCAATCACTCATCATCACCTGCAGCAACCAACATTTCAATACATGTAGTCTCCTCGTCATTCCCGCACCTAGCAAAGTACAGGGCAGTATGTCCATTCTTATCCTTTGCATTTATGCCCACGCCAGCATGTCCCAACAAGAGTTTCACAACAGCAACATGTCCTCTAAATGCAGCACAATGAAGGGCTGTCCAGTCATCCTCCTTCTTGGCATTGACATCCACACCAGCATGTGCTAGAAGGGCCTTGACAGTTCGTATCCAACTGGCCTGTGACTGCAGCAATGATGAGAGGAGTGAATCCACAATTGTACTTGGCATCAACTACCACACCAGCATGCCCCAACAAGAGCTTCACAACAGCAACATGTCCTTTGAATGCAGCAATGTGAAGGGTTGTCATGCCAAGTGCACCGTTGGCCCTTGCATTGGCATCCACTCCGGCATGTCTAGAAGGGCCTTGACAGTATCCACATGGCCTTGCACCGCAGCAAGCATAAGAGGAGTTTTCCCATCATTGTTCTTGGCATCAACTTCAACACCAGCATGTCCCAACAAGAGTTGCACAACAGCAACATGCTCTCGCATTGCAGCAAAATGAAGGGCTGTCATGCCATCCTCATCCTGTCCAGTGACATCCACGCCAGCACATTCTAGCAAGGCTTTGACCATATCCAAAGTGTTATCTCCAGCATCACAGGCAGCATGCACAATCAAATTCTTCATTTCCTCTTGGTGTTGTTCCAGTCGAGCCTCCACCTCAGCTATTTTGGTGTTCATTTTTTCATTGCTAAGAACAATCAATTCCTTCATTTCCTCTTGTTGTGCCAGTCGAGCCGTGTTCATTTCATTGTTGCTAACCAGAACAATCAATTTCTTCATTTCCTCTTGATGTTGTTGTGACAGTCGAGCTTCCACCTCGGCTATTTTGGCGCTCATTTCATCTTTGCAAACCAGAAGTTGTTTGCTGTCAGAGGCTTGAATATGCTGAGTGAGGCAAGCTTGAACTTCAGCTCCCATGGTATTTACATGATCATCCACATGTTCGGTTTCAGCCAAATGAGGAGCTCGCGCAAGTGATGCAACAACATTACAGCCTTGGTATGCAGCAGTCCAAAGCGCCCAAAGGCCATATACAATGAGGCAAGCTCCACAGGCGACTGCTGCGACACCAAAATAGCTCATCGGGTGCAAATGGCGACCATAGCAACCCGTGAAAGAATGGTGGACTACGGGTTGCTTCTCATTGGGCGCTTGAGAGTGACTCACTAGTGTCATACCACCAGTTGCGGCCATGTTTGGTTCAGCAATACTTGGATGGTGCAACGATACAGATGACTCATTTTCTTGCTGCGGCATGGTTTCAGCTTCTGCAATGCCAACGTCTCCTGGTAGAGTACTTCCGCTGTTGGAGGAAACCTCTTCGTGGCCAATGCTAAGTGCTTCATTCACCCAACTCAACTCACGTGCAGAGTTGGCTTCAGGACCCTTGTAGAGTTCTTTGAGGGCGTCATCAATGTGCGGAGGCAGCGGTGTATCCGTGTTGGGTGATAGTACTTTCACCTGCTGGGATAGCTCTGCGACATGGACTCGAAGTTGGTAATTCTGCAAGAAAGATACACAAGAGATAACAAGGGATCCGGCAACAATCAACACGACAGGGTGTATAAAAAACGATAGTGCCGTAGGAGGGGAGACACGCCGCATGGCCAAGGCTTGGCCAGAGTTGTTATTCATTGGTTCAAGCAAAGGAGGAAAGAATGAAGATGCTATTGCTTGTTGGTGTTGGCTTCTCTCGTAGATCGTCTTGTTGCTTTGTTTCGTGGATTGCAAAAGGAAAACTCTTCACTCTGTTCACAGCTCCACAGTATGCATACTCTCGCTGTGGACCCAGGCTCTCGCTGGGCTGCGTTGCGCCGCGCTGGTGAACGATTTGCATTGCTTCATTAAATTTCCCTGCGATTTTCTGGTGAACGATTTGAAATTGCTTGTCTTTTCGCGCTCGCTAATAAGGGGTGCGGGGGGAATGAAGCCATGTCATGGAACGGATAGTTCCACCGAACAACGGCACCGGTAGGCTAACCATGCATAATCAATAACTATGTAGTAAAATTTGGCTGGTAGCTGCGCCCAACTAGTAGTATCATTGTATCATTCATCCCGCACACCCAGGCGACTGGTTATTGCCATAGCCGTTTTAAGTTAATCTCTAGAGTACCGGTAGTGCGAAAACGTTGAACATCTTTGGCAAGTATCAATGCTATAGCAAGTAGCCCGTCAGCCAACGCCTCAGAAAACACCAATGTCCAACTTGATGACGAAGCTACGACCGTAGCCATGGACACAGGACTACATACATGTACGTCGCTGATCATCACTGATCGTCAGCCACTGTAAGAGGAACGAACGAGGTCGGTTTCAGAGTAGCGGTACTCGTAGGGACTATCCGAATCGCGAATTGCAAGTTTCAAGGACAAGGGCAGGAATGAATCTACTAGGTAGGTTCCACACGTACATGCACATCCGGACAATTTTCGTTGCCGCTCATAGACTGTCACTCGATTCCAAGGGGGCAAGGCGACGCGTCTCCTGCAGCGTTTGGTCTTGAGGGGACCGATTCCTACAGTAAAACTTGATGGATGACTCGACTCGAATACTGTAGAGCAAATCACTCAGGCTGGGTTGCGAACGGAGCTGTTTGTACGTTTGGGTGATGCTCATTCAGCCAGTTGAAGCGTGGAGACCAACCGAGGAAATACATACATTATTATTGTTTTTTTAAAAGCCGTCACAGTTGTTTTACATGAGAGGCAACATTCATTCGGAACTCCCAGACGGGGCAATAAATCTATCATTGGCAGAATTCTCGCAACGGAAAGATACGGTCCAAAAAGACAACAACAGCCAACAAATCGTGCCACAACACGTGCTGCAGCAGTGGTTGCTCTTGCAACCCAACTAAGTGAACAAACCCCTTCTTCATAACAGACGTGTCGTAGACTCACTGACGACACCTAGTCTTCCTACGAGCTTCCTCTGTTTTTCCTAGTAGATTTTGGACTCTGTATACCACCGACCACCCGCCTCAAGATGACGATAATGCGCCCATTTCCGCGGGAAACCATATCAGCGTTGCTGGTGCTGCTGCTCCTGGCATTGACCACTGCCAAACCAAAGACTAAAACCCAACAACAAGACAGTGCCGTTTGCTCGGAAGGCGATGGCACTTGCAGTAGTACTCGCCACCTCGAAGAGTGTGGGATCTGGTTGGCTCCCTCCAGTTTGCCAGGAGCTGGATTGGGAATGTATGCGGGCAGAGATTTTGCCAAGAAGGAGCCACTGCAGGAAACTGGAGATATTGTCATTCCCATCGTCGATATTATGATGCATCAAAGAGGGAGAGGGCGTTGGGTTTTTGTGTGGGATGAATATACATGGAATGGAAAGAGTTTGGGTGGGTATATACCTATGCATATATTATTTGGCACTGACATACTTCACAGCAAATACTCACTTCAGATTCTCGCTCTTTTTGCATCAGGTCTTGGCCACGAAGTGATCAAAGAGATCAATGCGGCTTCTCCCGGTGCGTGTTTCGTCGTGTTGGACATGGATTCGATACATTGGTCACAAAAGAAGATCTCATATATTTTTTTTGTGGTTGCTTTCCGTGTTCAGGCTTTGGATCTGCCGCCAACTCCTTTCTGGACCTTGTCAATGTAGACGAAGGGGATCCCATAAATACCATGCCTAGTGGATTACACCGTTCCAGAGATCCCGGAGTCGGTGCATTTTCCACCTACAACGATCGTCGGTCCACAGCCAAGGTCAAAATCAAATCTGGACAAGAGCTGTTTGTGAACTATGGTCAGCATTGGTATGTTGCGTTCCTATCGATAGTATGGGCATTCCGTCTTGGTTGGGTACTTTTCTCATGTGTTTATGCGTCACCTTTTTTGTCATGTACTAGGTTTGAGCAGCGCATTCGGTTAGGACCCATTCCACTCCGACGTGGCCTGAAACAATCTACAAATTTGTATCGAAGGTTCCAAATGTTTCGTGACAAAAACCCACAGGTGGATTCCAAAGTGTTCGGCGCGCTATGGGAGGAATTCGTCAAGCACACGGTGTATAATGAATCTCGGATCCTGGGAGCCTTCTACAATACACCGTCGGAACTGGAAATGCTGGACAGAAACATGACACTCAAACAAATCCGAGTCCATGAAGGCACACGAACGAAACAATGGCTATTTGACCATGGAACCTGTGCCGATCACATTCGAGCTGATGTTTCCACCATTCGACAGGCTGGAAGGGGCGCATTTGCTACGCGGGATCTGCCAAATGGTGCTATCGTTTCATCACTGCCATTGATTCAAATCATCAACAAGAATGTGTTGGAAATGTACGAATTAAAAGACATCAAAACCAGGAAACTGGAACAGAGGAGAAGAGTTGGATATCAGCTGCTCCTGAACTACTGTTATGGACACGTAAACTCGACAATGTTGCTCTGCCCCTATGGCCCGATTGTCAACATGGTGAACCACAACCAGACAAGAGCCAATGTGAAGCTGCGGTGGTCAGACCCTGAAAGAGGGAACCACGAGCCAGGCATGCTGCAGCAGCCAATTGATACCTTTTCAGAGGACAGGACAACCAAGCTGTCCATGGATCTGGTGGCCATTCGGGATATCAAGAAGGATGAAGAAATCTTGCTGGACTATGGGGATGACTGGGAAAAGGCTTGGCAAGAGCATGTAAAGTCGTGGAACATAACTGATGCCGACAAATACATTTCTGCATTCATGTTGAATCAGGAAGAAAACACCACTTCCTTGCGGACAGAATTCGAACAGCTGTCCGACCCATATCCAGGCAACGTCAATTTGGAATGTGATTTGAACATTTGGGAAGGGATAAACAAAACTCTCTTCAATACGACCCTTGTAATCAACATCACTAGTACAGACGACTGGGAGTACTATCCTTGCGAAGTGCTTCGACGTCGAGTTGTCAATGGGACAACACTCTACACAATCAGCATGACACGCCCACCAAAAGAAAAAAAGAAGGACATCAAAGTACCAGCGGATTCCGTTCCCAAAAACCTCAAACTATCAGACGTCCCCAGGATGGCTATGCGCTTTACAGATCGCCCGTACACATCCGACATGTTTCTCAAGGAAGCTTTCCGCCATCACATTGGTATCCCTGACAGTATGTTCCCCTTGGAATGGATGAACTACTCTCCAATCTAGCTAGTAGCCCCACCTTGTTCAATGGCGAAGGTTGATTCTTGTGACTGCTGATAGTCAACGAGGAGTCGCCAACCACGGAGTTGGCTGGTTTGGAATTTTGTTGTGTGGTCGTCCCTTTCTTTGGTCTTTTTTGTAGAGTTAGGGTTAGTGGAGATTGCCTTGGGTAACGTGGGGTTAGGTACGGTACGTAGATTAGACCATTACCAGTACGCGGTACCGGCCAGATGTAACCAAACTCCACTCCTCAATATAAACGGGGGTTTAGGCAGATTAGACCATTACGTGGTACTGGTCGGCCAGATGTAACCAAACTCCACTCCTCAATAATGTAAAGGGTGTTTTTGGTAGATTAGACCATTACGCGGTACCGGCCAGATGTAACCAAACTCCACTCCTCAATATAAACGGGGGTTTAGGTAGATTAGACCATTACGCGGTACCGGTCGGCCAGATGTAACCAAACTCCACTCCTCAATATAAATGGGGTTTCGGTAGATTAGACAATTACGCGGTACCGGCCAGATGTAACCAAACTCCACTCCTCAATATAAACGGGGTTTAGGTAGATTAGACCATTACGCGGTACCGGCCAGATGTAACCAAACTCCACTCCTCAATAAAAAACGGAGGTTTAGACAGATTAGACCATTACGTGGTACCGGCCAGATGTAACCAAACTCCACTCCTCAATATAAACGGGGTTTAGGTAGATTAGACCATTACGCGGTACCGGCCAGATGTAACCAACCACTCCTCAATAATATAAACGGTGTTTTTGGTAGATTATTCCATTATTCAGTAGCTATCTAAAGCAACTATACATTCTGGGAGTCCATGGCAGTAAGTATTAGCTATTTGCCTATCAAGTGACAGCTCTTTTTGCTGTTTCTATTTCCGTGGTTGGCGCCACCGGAGGCATCTTGTTTTGATAGAAGGAGAACCCGTAGAGAATGATTCTGAATGATTTTGTTTATTAGTTTCATTAGCTTGTGATCCTTTCTTTTCTCTCAGAGTTCTGGAGCGTTCCTCAATCGTGTGTCCCGTTAAATCTGAAAAATAGGGGCGGATTTTTAGAATTAGGGGCGTTTCCTCTTTAGGGGCGGGTTTCGAAAACGCCCCTAATTAATAGGGGCGGTTTCGGGAATCTGCCCCTAAAATAGGGGCGTTTTGGCGATTTTGGGGCAGGTTTGGAAACTGCCCCTAAATGGAAACGGGACTGAATAGTAAATACATTGAAAACGCCCCTATTTTAGGGGCAGGTTTGGAAAACGGGACTGAATAGTAAATACATTGAAAACGCCCCTATTTTAGGGGCAGGTTTGGAAAACGCCCCTAATTATTAGGGGCAGTTTCGGGAATCCGCCCCTAAAATAGGGGCGTTTTGGCGATTTAGGGGCAGGTTTGGAAACCACCCCTATGTTTTGTCGTATTTAGGGGCAGATTCCCCGAAACGCCCCCTATTTTAGGGGCGGATTTAAGATACTGGCACGACTGAGGAACGCTCCTGGGGTTATGAATAATATGCTCAAAACGAGGAGGAATCGGGAACGACGACCTTCAGAACTATGCACACCTCGAAGCTCTTACACGTTCTTGTCGGCCTCGTTTCGTAGAGTTTCAAGTATGCGCACGATGCCTCGCTCGCCGGCCATACGAACGCATTGCCAGCCGCCAATGAAGGAATTGCGGGTACGACGCGGCCTCCGGTTTGCCAGTGCTTCCAATGCGGGCTAAACTCGTTCGTCCTATCGATCAGTAGAGAGCGGCAAATCGTCTTGGGAATTGTTTCGAGCTCGTAAGCCGCAGAACGATCACAATCCTGTCCCGGAGAAGGATGATTATAGCCACATGATCATGCATTGACTCTTGGACACCGCTTGTCTCCGCCTCAACTGAATTCAAAGCGTGAACAGCTCAGATCCAGCCCAGGAGTTACTTTTCCACAATACGACAATCTTACCGTATTCAGCCAGCTCAATTGCCAGGATCCGCATAGTCAAACACAAGATTTGCCACCTCCACAATCTCGTCGCGGGAAGTCATCATGCTCGTACTCCACACGTCGCCCGCCCGGAGAACGACGTACCGGTAGGTTCCTCTGGCCTGCAAAAGCAGCCACGGGGGTGATGTTGTCTCCGACCATGAATCCTAGATAAAAGGCGACAACCAACTTGAATACAGTATGCTCTTGGTTGAGAATTGAAACTGATCATGGCTGGCTCCTGTTGGTTGGCTACGGATAGGTGGACACAAGAAACGAATCTTAAGTCTACGTCGTCTCAACTGACTTGTAAGAGCACAAAACCAAAAGAGTCCAAGCGAAGTCAAAAAAGGCTCTCTGTTACTAGCCGCCACCCACTTGGGAGTCCCAAAGCTCACCGAGAGTTCCTCTATCACCACATGGCTGCTTTGAGGCCAGCTCCTTGGAGGGCTCAAGCACGTCACCTAATCGCGGTCATGACTCGTCAGTGGCTCGACTCTGACCAGCTTGATGGATGGAACGCACTCCTACGGTAAGCTAAACGAGGATCTTTCTATCAATAGTTGGACTATAGCACCATTACCGAAGAACCGCATCCTCCCATCAGGTTGGTTCCTTCCGCCCATCCACCTACTCTAAACCCCCCCTTTGTAGGTCTACCAGCTAGCTAGCCTTTTCATTACAGTGTACTATCGTGCCGTTGGTAACTTCCACCACAAGTTGAGTTGTTTGGCACGTTCTCTTTGAGCCCATTAAATGATTAGATCCGTCTTGGCATCAATATCATTCGTATTACCAATCTTCTCCTTACTAAAATCAACGAGTTTGTCGGGTCCAATCCATCCTCCCACCTTGTAGAGTTCGTATCCACTTCGAAACAAGAGTTTCAGTGCCACCTTGTTGATGCCAATGGCATCTTTCATGTCTTTTCCCGTGGGTGCCACTGAAATTTCCATGAAAACATGCCGAACGAGTTTGGCCTGCAATAGGACACTGGCTCCTTCAATGACAAAGGGATCCAATCCTTCCACGTCCACCTTTAAGATGGCAATATCCGGACGTGATTCAAACCATCCCCGTGTTCGTGCCAATTGATCCAAATTAATGACACGGGTCCCCTTGTCGTCGGCATTGGCACTGCGTCGGACAAATCGTCCTTGTCCAGGATTGTTGGGATGGGCTTTGAAATTAAAATACCCTGGGTCTTTGCCGACGCCGTAATCGTACAAATTCACGTGCGATTCTTGGGCAAACGCTGCTGGGGTGTTTTCTTCAAATTCCGATGTCCATTGATTGAGTTGGAGGGATTCGCAAAAGCGGAGACGATTCTTGTCGTTGGGTTCAAAGGCATCGACAATGACGGGACCATTGGCGGCTGACAGGTGCGTAAAGAAACCAATATTCCCACCAACATCAATCACTCGTTGGGGACGTGTAGCTTTGGGATCATTGAGGACTTCGATGAAGGCCGCCGTGACGGCTTTTTCGTAGTAATCTCGCTTGTCCATAATGACCCATCTTGTGTGATCGAATTCTTGGCTGTGCAATGAAATAAAGAAATTGGGATGATGGTCATTGCCCCGTGGGACTTGAGCAGCATGGACGACACCCTTGTTAGGATCGTCCAGTTTTCCGGCAAGGTGTTGCTTCAAATAGCCAGGGCAATCAACGGGAATCATGTCGCCGGGGTCTCGTAATTTTTGCTTGGTATCAGACTTGTGTAGATTGAGTAAGGACTGTCGATGTTCCGGTTGATAGCTGTTGTGACTGGAATTATAGAGATGAAAGACCCCCGATAATCCCAACAGACCCAAGGCTACCATCACCGCAACAGGATGCAGCGAATATTCACTCTGCAACCTTCCCAAGAAGTTGCCATTTCTGTGCGAACCGTTTCTGGTCAATGGTCTTGCCATAATGAGGGAAATATATATAGTTGTCTTGGGGTATATAGAATGACTAGTGGATGGATTTGTGGGGTAGCTCTGAGAAGACCTGGTCAAATAGATCTTTCCAATGGATGACCAACGGTAGCAATGGCTGCGCCTTGAAGTGTGATCAGCAGCTCTTCTGTGGTTGCTTTTGCTTGCTTTGAGGTTGGAGGCGTGCCTTTGGACGTTGTTCTGAAATGTATTTGGAGAAAAAAGAAAAAGTCATTATTTGGCCGATTACTCAGTTTATTGGCCACTCTACGCTAAGTAACCTCTTCAATAGAAGCGCCGCAAAATGTTAGAAATTTGGTGTCACAAAACGGTACACAAGATCCATCGATGACTGCACTCACTGTTCCCGCAGACTAAAGACCCAGATGTTGGCACCTGGCAATGGTGTCTTTGGGACCGTCGGATCTTTTCCCGTTCGCGAGTGCACGCGACGAACTTGATCATTATCATCTATCTTGTTTCTTGACAAAGATACATGTAGATCTAATCGAAGTCAACCACCATCATGACAAGCAGACCTGCAACAACGCAACAACCACAAAAGCACTCAAAGGAGAACGAGAAAGCAAGAGTTTCAGATACCTTTTCACAGAATAGAATCGACGAAACAAGATGACAGAATGCAGTATTGGTCACCTGATGTGGGAAGGAATGACTACTTCCGGTACAGGACTGGCCAATGCATGGAATACCTGTCTCTTTTTCATTGGGTATGTTGTCATGCCAAGAGAAATCCAGTGCCAGTTGTCTCGTGGTCTCACTCTGTTCTGGCATACTTATGGTGCAGTCTGACCTATGCTGTCTCATTATTGTCGGGCAATTATTCTCAAACAGACAAGCTGTGGAGCATTACTCCATGGGTTTACGCTGGGATCTTGGTCAATGATACCCGCACACTCCTAATGGCCTTTGTGGCAACTGCATGGGGTCTCCGGATGACCTACAACTTCAGTCGCCGTGGAGGGTATACATGGCCACCATGGTTGGGAGAAGAAGACTACCGATGGGCAATACTGAAACGAGGGGACTACATTGCTGCGCTCAAGAATCCATTTGTGTGGCACATTTTCAACTTTGTCTTTATCAGTTTCTACCAAAATGTACTCCTCTTCTTGATTGCCGTGCCATCCATGGTGGCACATTTGGTGGCCAGTAATGAGGAGTGTTTTGGTAACAATCACCCACTCAACTTTTGGGACATAGTGGCAGCAGTGCTCTATCTGGCATTCTTATTGTTGGAATCTCTTGCTGACAATGCTCAGTATGCCTTTCAGACTGAAAAATATCGCTGCAAAAATGCTGGAGAACCCTTGGAAGGCGAATACAAGGATGGCTTTTTGCAGTCTGGTCTTTTTGCCATTTGCCGAAAACCAAACTATGCAGCCGAACAAGCCATGTGGTGTACCTACTACCTCTTTTCAGTTGCAGCCTTGTGGCCAGTGGAATCACTGAGTTGGACATCGAAGTGGTTCAATGCATCAATTGTGGGTTGTCTCCTCTTGATGTCCCTGTTTCAGGGATCGGGACGGATGACAGAATATGTTACAATTTCCAAATATCCCTCCTATGTGGAATATCAAAAGCAGGTACCACTCTATTTGCCCAATCTGCTGGGTAGCAGTAAGAGTAAATCCACGTAAATGATCCTAAGCACAGTTAGTCTACGGTTGCTTTTGAAGATTTCAGCTAGCCACCATGATCGACTGATTAGCCACCAAGCTGACCTCGGTTGCCCAATAATCATTAGAAGAACCGTTGCAGATAGCATGGTACCAGATGGAGCATCGTGCAAAGCTGATTCAATCATTCCAGAAATACTACTAGCTAGTAAGCAAAAGGAGGTGGCTGTGTGGTTGCATTCGAAGAGATTCAGCATTCGTTTTCTTTCTACGAAGCTCAGTTGCAAAACAGCTCAACAAGCTTCTATTGGGAAACCAGAACAAGCATGTCATTTGCAAAACCAAAGCCGCACAAAAAACGGCTTGGACGGTCATCTTCATCTTTTCCACTCAAAGTTTCCGAACAATAATGTCCAACATCATGAGACGGTGCGCCATTGGCATGCCTCCAACCTGAAAACAAGCAAAAGCAATCACAAAAGAACGGATAAGGGGTTTAGAATAAGGAGGTTATTCACAGAAGCACTGCTGATCAATCAAGGCGCAGCCATCGTTTATTGCTACCTTGGGCCAAGATCTCTCTGACCAGGAATATCAGACTACCCTACGAATCGAATCCTTCCATCAGTCATTGTATACCTCAAGACAACCTTTCTTCATTATGCCACGACTATTGTCCATAAATGGTTCACCCAGACATGGGTCGCCCAGACACGGTTCACCCAGAAAAGGCAACCTCTTGGGAAAGTTGCAGAGTGCTTATTCACTGCATCCCATGGTGGTGATGGTAGCCTTGGGTCTGTTTGGCTTAACGGGAGTCTTTCATTTCTATCAATCCGGCGACAACAGCCATCACCCCGAACATCGACAAACCTTACTCCATCTACAACAGTCTCCTCCACAACAGTCTACTCCACAACCGTCTACTCCTAATACCAATCCAAAATTACGAGATCCCGGCGACATGATTCCCATGGATTGCCCCGCCTATTTGAAGCAACACATTGATGGCAAACTGGACGATCCGAATGAGGGTGTCGTCCATGCCGCTCAAGTTCCACGCGGCAATGACCATCATCCCAATTTCTTTGTTTCGTTGCACACCAAAGCATTTGATTACACCCGATGGATCATTATGGACAAGCGAGATTACTATGAAAAAGCCCTCACAGCGGCCTTCATTGAAGTCCTCAATGATCCCACCACCACACGACCCCAGCGCGTCATTGATGTCGGAGGGAATATTGGGTTCTTTACGCACTTGTCGGCGGCCAATGGTCCCGTCATTGTCGATGCCTTTGAACCCAACGGAAAGAATCGGCTCCGATTTTGCGAATCCCTCCATCTCAATAGATGGACGTCAGAATTTGAGGAAACCAACCCGGCAGCATTTGCCCAACAATCGCACGTGAACCTCTATGATTATGGTGTCAGCAAAGATCCGGGCTATCTCAATTTCAGACAGCACAGCAATCCCGGAATGGGACGTTTTGTCCGGCGCAATGCCAATGATGAGGGCAAGGGGACCCGTGTCATTAATCTGGATCAATTGGCACGAACACGGGGATGGTTTGAATCGCGTACGGATATTGCCATATTAAAGGTGGATGTGGAAGGATTCGATCCTTTTGTCATTGAAGGAGCAAGTGCCCTCTTGCAGGCCAAACTCATTCGGCACGTTTTCATGGAAATATCTGTGCAACCGGCGGGACAAGATGCGAAGGATGCCATTGATGCCAACAAGGTGGCAATCAAGCTCTTGTTTCAAAGTGGATACGAACTCTACAAGATGGGAGGATGGAATGGACCTGACAGACTGGTTGATTTTAGTAAGGAGACTTTTATCCTCAATAGGAATGATGAGGATGCCAAGACGGATCGAATCATTGAATGGGCTCAAAGAGAACGTGCCAAACAACTCAACTTGTGGTGGAGATTACCCACAGCACGAAAGTAGATCGAATTGTGGGAGTCATTTCGATATGTGTGCGGTTATGAACAGGCTACCGGTAGCTAGATCGACGTACGGTAGGTACATATCCTATATAGATAGGCGAGACCCAGGTCTCCCTCCAGAATGGATCGCACGAGGATGAGCTGAGGCTCTTCGTTTCCTTGTAGATGGGAGTCATTCTCCAATGTGCAAGCTGACTTCCGAACGGTGGCGACATCCGGCTAGCGGCGCTCGAGCTGTCTACAGCTGTAGCAAGACCTCAACACAAAAGTCATGTTGATGTTGTCACTGCTGCTGTCATTGGACACCATGGAGTGGATGTCAATGAGGGAAGCACCGTTATCCTTGCTCAGAATCTGATTATCAACCGAGAACTGGGATATTGATTGCACTGGTGCTTGTTTGGTGAGGTGGCCCAGAAACAAGAAAGAAGATGAGATAGCAGCCTCCCTATTGTTGCACCTGATCCCACGGAGCCTAGCTTGTCCCGAATGCTGCCTCTTCATTGCCTTAGACAGATAACTTTCTATTCTACAACCTCCTCCATCTTAGTAGTTTTGTTGTAACCTCCCCTCTCTAGCTAGTCCCCGTACAAGTGGAGATCAAGGAAGTCCTGTCATTGTGAGTTTGCGACGCTCAATTAAAATATCTCTGACCTTTCCTCCCCTCTGGACCAAGGGGGGCAATGGGCGGGGGGCTACGCTAAACTTAGACGCGAAGGGCAGCAAGAATGCGCATGCCGGGCAGATCTCGTCGAAGATCCCACAATGGCTACGACTGTACCACCGCCTGCCGCCGCCTTTTGACGAAGTATCCCGACCATACTATTTATTCATTAAAGGAACCCCAGCACGAAGATGTTCCCAGCGACCCTTCCCTCACCCCTCCAGAGAGCTAGAGAATCTGTGGCATCAGCACTCATCAGCGCAGATCTAGAAGATGAAGCACAAGAAATTGCCTACGATGCCATGGAAGTGACGGATAACCCAGCCGCCAAGATTCGCTTAGTGGAGGAGGCTTTGGCTGTATACCCCTTGAGCACCGAGGCCTGGAGTGTACTGGGGTGTCACTATCTGGATTCCAGAAAACCGTACCTGGCGCTGATTTGCTTTGAAACGGCCGTGACAGCAGCACGGCGAATTGATCCTTCTTGTGGCATCGACAGGACAGAACCACTGGAGTGGGGGTATATTGAGAACCGACCCTACTTACGGGCCATGCGAGGTCTCGCAAAAACGTATCTTGCGACTGGAGACTTGCACAGGGCAATTGAAACAGCTGAGCTGCTCTCTCGTTGGAAAAACACTGCCTTGGACAGTTCTCTGTGTGGGTGGTATTTGAGGGCGGGAAGGCTGGGTGATGCCGAGCGATTTATCCAAGCCCTTAAGAAAGAAACTAGATACCAGGATTGTGGTATAGACTACTCTCGAGTGCTGCTCAAATATCATAATGTGCAGTGCGGAAGAGCAGAGGCATCAGAGCTCTTTCAGGCATTGAAACAAGCTTTGAAGTCAAATCCCTATGCGCCTGATCTCCTTTTGGCTCCAGAATCTCCGCTGGAAACCCCCTCTTCCTATGGAGGAGGTGACGAGAGAGAGGCAATCCTGTATGCATTTGATAACCACACGGTATGGAGGTCATTTCCGGGAGCGTTGGACTGGTTGGCCGAAAGCAAATCTCGCCATGGGGACAAGCCAGATGAACCGACTCTGATTCAATTGCTGCGGGGCAAGCAGCCAGTGTTTCTGTGCCTATCGGACGGAAGAGCCTTTCCAGCAACCCAAAATCGCGATTGCATGAGAGGAAGAGCCCTTCCTGATTTTCGAGTTCCTCCACAAGTCACGGCCCGCCACACCAATGGTGGTGACATTTGCGTTCAAAATCATGACACATCCAGCGACGATTGGGTCAGTTTCCGGTACACTGATCTTGCAGGGGTGCCATTTTGGAACGTGCTGCTTACAGCAACCTTGGAAGAGGAGGAAACGAAAGAAGAAGAGGTCTCTCCACCAGGGACACCAAAATGTTGGTTCTGCTCTGCCCCCGAAACCCCCGACAAAAAGCACAAACGCTGCTCTGTTTGTAGTATGGCAATGTACTGCTCACGAGAATGTCAAACAAAGGACTGGAAACGAAAGCACAGGAAGGAATGTAAACGGATCAAGGAGAGCAAGATTTGGGGAGAGTTGGACACTCAAACACTTTCCGTTATTACAAGCTACCTGAATCTCAAGGAAAAGGCAGTGGTCTCTACACTCAATAAGGCATGGCTAGAGGCATCAACCTGTGATAAATCTGTGTCGATTGATCCTGATGTGGTTGGTGCCAATTTGGATGCTGTCCTGGGTTTTGTGGGAAGAAGATTTCGCAATCTACTTGACGTCGACATTCACATCGAGCAACACCACTTCCTCACCGAAGAAAACGCCGTCTTTGGCGAACAAGTCGAGCCGTTACTTCTTCAAGGTAGCTCCCTAAGTTCCTTCTTTGACGACTGTCCTCCTTTGCGCTCCTTCAGTCTTTGTTTCCCGCAGTGTGTCGAGAATCACTCGTCACGGATTCTAGTCCAAGAGAGGGGACTTGAGTCTTTACCCAGGCAGACATCATTGCGGTCTCTGACTCTCTTTTGTGCCTACTTTAACAACCTTCTGTGCTTCGCTCAATTTTTGACACCTTTGACCAACCTCAGGCACCTCGCAATTGGATACACTGTTTTTGATGAAGCTGCATACCAAGGCGGAGAAGAAACATGGTATCGGTACACACCATGGCAATCTGGGTCAGATCTTTTGGTTGTCATTGGAGGGATGACAAACTTGCGCAGCCTCTTGATTGACGATCATCGGCTCACAGACCTTGACTTGCGCCAATTAATCCCTATTTTCCCGGGGCTGAGCGTTTTAAGCTTGGGTGGTCAGTTTGGAGACAGCCCGCCAGCTCTGGTGTCCCTTACGGACTCTTCTCTCGAGCTCATCGGTGCACACTGCCCACACCTTCAACGACTTGACGTGAGCTTTAATCGACGCCTTACAAGCGATGGAATTCGGGAGCTTGTCAAGGCATGCCCCCTTAGAGAGCTATGTGCTTACGAGACTGGCCTATCTGCAGCTGACATGGTTGATTTGGTGGAGCTTTGTCCTACTCTTCGGTTGGTGAGATTTGGGAATATGGCCCCCATGATATCCAAAGAGGACGAGAAGCACCTCCGAAAGGCAACAGTAGCTTCTGGTGGACGAGTGGTTTTCTCCGTTCCAAAATGTTATGAGCCTACATTTGACCGGAAGTTGATGGCCCGTCACGAAGAGGCTGTTGAAGCACTTAAAAAGCTTGAAGCAACCGAATCCAATGGCTGGAATGAATGGGAGGATTGGCCACTGGAATGATTGATGTAATGAGTTTGAAATCAATCAAAAGGAAACGATGTAGGAACGGCCTTCAGGAGCCCAGTGAGCAGTTGTCTCAATCATCTTCACTGCCACAGCTGCACAGTATGCCAAAAACCAGTACCTGGTAACTAGAAACACTATTCTTATGAATTATGATCTTGTATCAAGCAGCGGCCCCATACATCTGTGGTACGAACGACATGGGCTTGTCACAAGCAAGGACAGGTACGGTATAGTGAATACTTCGAGCATTGCTGGTTGTTGGTGTCATCTACTACATCATATTCAAGGGGGTTGCACGCATTCGTTCCTTGTGCAATGCCTCATTTAATCGTTCGGTGGTTGCCTTCCACTTGGACCGCGCCACCAACAGCGTGCCTGTGCTTCCACCGACCGCCATGGCTCCGTACGCAGCCATGGCCGGCACAACCCACGAGGCGGGCGCTGCCATGCCCATCAACCCTACGGTAGCAGCAGTTGCCTCTTGTGCTGCCGCGGCACGGCCAATGGCCATGGTTCCTCCCCACGTCGCACCGGCCAAACCGGCGGCACCCTGCAACGTGGACCATTTCCCTGGTACGGCAGATACAAGAGAAGCAAAGCTGTGAGCGGTATGTGTGACATCATTCATGAGGTTCCTTTGCCTTGATCGATCAGCACGTACCTGTCTTGCACCACGTCGCAACGCATTCGCAGTTGGCCCATAGTAAATGATATTTGGGTAGAATGGACGAACGAAACGTATCGTTGGCTTCTCGTTCCGCTTGGACGAGCAAAAAGTTGACCCGGTTCAAGACAACTTCGGGTGCATCACTGGCCACCGCCGTTGTACTAATACCCGATCGAGAAATCATGGTCTTCCAACGCGGGGCACCGTATTCTACCTTGTGCCAAGCAGACGACAATAGAGATGATGTGTCCTCTGTACTAGAGTGAGTTGTTGTGTAGACCCGCAAGATTCCTCCTGTGGATGCGCCCATGCCCACAAAGGAAGTATCGGCCTTGTTGTTCCATCGAAACGACGAGGGTGGCCTTGGCGGCAATTCATCACCATTGCTGCTCTTGGATCTCTTGGACGGGGGCAAAATGGTCAAATCCACACCATCCTCGTCGGTTCCCTTGGATTCGATATAAGCTACTACTTGTTGTTCTTGTTCTTCTGACGGCTGCGTTCCTGGTTCCGCGGTTTCTGGCAAAAAGTTGGAAAAGTCGGCAATGGTCAACTCTTCTTTCCATTCTCCCTCCTTGTCTCCTGGGTGGATCGACACATGCATCACGATACCATGGTGCTGAAAGACCCGGGGGACTCCCGCTATACTGCACCATTGGTAGACGTGATCCCCTCGTTCAAATTCGGGTTTGTAGTCTGCAAGCTTCGTATTATTGTCAGCAGATTTCTTTGCCTTCTTGCCAGCACTGCTTTTGCTCTTGTTGGTAGATTGGCTGCTACTGTCCATAATGTCAATCTCGCTAATGTACTTCAATTTGTGGTCGCTGCTGCTCATGGTGGATGGACACGACATGTCAATTTCATCCATGTAGTTGCTGCCATAATTGTTCCATTGTGATGTGTTGACTTGAGGAGGAGACACGATCGCATCCTCTTCATCGGTCGGATACGCACTGGAGCTGCGGGAGGAGCTTCGACGTGACACTGTGGACTTGGAGCTCTTTGTGGATTTGGAGCTCCTGGTGGACCTGGAGCTTTTTGTGGATTTGGAGCTCCTCGTGGATCTGGAGCTTCTAGTAGACTTTTGCGAGACGGCTGACCGCGTGCTCTTGTGGGACGCCCTGGAATGAACCGTGGCCAGACTCTTGTTGTCGTCGTCATCTTCATCCATACTGACGAGGTTTGGTTTGAGATTGGCCATGAGTTGTGTCTGAGCATCTGCTTCACTGACGGTTCCAATACTCTTATTGTTGGTAATGGAAGGAAGACTCTTGTCATCTTCGCTGTCGCTCGGTTCCAAAATGTTGGTACTGACCGAAGAGAGATATTTCTTGCTGCCTTCTTTTGACGACAGGGAATAGCTGGACGAATCAGCAATGGTAATCTCAAATCCCACGCCATCAGTAATAGTAGTACCATCATCATCTGTATCTGAGTGTTCATTCTTGAACTCTTCGGCACTCGTGTCGGTAATGTAATGCCGGTTGGTGCTGATACTGTCATGGTCAAAGAACTCGGATTTGGCTCCTCGAATTCGGACGGATTCATCCGTGGACTCGAACGAAGACAAGAATCCAAACGAACCGCCAATGGACGACAGACTGCCAAAGTATTTGTAGGACGGAATCGAAGAACTCTTGGACGTGGCAGTGCCAGTGGCCGTGGACGTCAAGGATCCCGACTCATCAGTAGTCAGAGTAAAGGGCGAAAAGTAGGACGACGAAGAGGCGGACGACGACGACGAAGAAGAAGAAGACCTGAAGGTTTCCGTGGAATAGTCAGAGCCAGACTCGGAGATGCTCGAAATCGAAGGAGCAGCCTCGCTGGCCGCCGTGGAGTAGTTGTCACTCTCATCACTGTTGTGTGCCGTCATGGTCCGTCTTATTCTTTTTAGTTGTCTCTTGACTTTAGACGCCAAAAACCGGACGGCTGCTTTCCTGCTGGTTCGGCCAAAAAGATTGTGGGAGGATCGCTTCTTGACATGATGGTTCCCAGGGGTTGATGCTGGTTTCCGAGTGGGGTTCCTTGTCATTGTTACCTGAAACCACAAGAAGTCATCAAGGTGCGCCCCACGAAACAAACTGTCACAGCGTCACTGCGCTCACCAAAAAATGAGCAGCGCTCGATCCATGGAAGAGTGAAATTGCACTCACTATTAAGATACAGGTGAGGTCTGGGCTCATGGTACCGATACAGTAGCGGCTATTACAGAAGATTTGCAGATCGGTTGCTCTAGCTAGCTATCCAGTACCGGTAGCAAGAGTTGTAAGCGACGAGGAAGGCTGGTTGGAAAAGGATTATTTGCTAATATAGAACAGTTTGTCTTCAGGTTTGGCCTGGCTCTTGACTAGTAGGCGTCTTCTGTCAAACCAGAGACAAAATTCTGCTGCAAGGAAGATGGATTGCACGATTTACTGTTTCTTCTGGTACCTACCAAGTGCTGTATCATAGCTGTGATTCTTCCGGGCTTGTGCATTTCTCCCTGTTTCATTGTCGGCCTCCATCGACCTTACCGTACCGGTACCATGACGACCCCAATCTATCAAAGTAAAGCACTACTGGTACATAGTACATTTATTTGAGCTCTTATTTTTCAAAAGTCTAATGAATCATTGCCAATCATTCTGTATTATACCGGTACACTGTAGTATGACAATGTACCGAAACCTGTCATGCTGCCAAAAGCGACAGGTAGCATTCGAGGCAAGATCTTATAAAAGAGGGATTATCGCAAGTAAAAAGACTCAGAGATTTAATTTCACTAAATCTATGGTGTGAATGCATATTAGCAAGCATGCTCACGTTTTTGGCCAAGGGCAACTAACTCGGAACCCTCCCAAGCTGAAACATCTTTCTGCGATGATAGAACCGTTTTGGTGGTCTTGAGATGACTTGATGAACTTCCTCCGCTATCGGATCTCCAAATCTTATATAAAATACTACCTGTAGTTGTGGGAGCCAACCAAGCAATTTTTAAACTTGGACAGAGAGAAGTGTACGACCATTACTTGATGCATCGGAATGTCTTTGAATGGAACAGAGGACTCTTGAGCTGCCAGAGATATATATAGCCAGCTTGGTGTAGCTGCCTAGCTAAGTTGCGAGTTCGGTGATCAGGCTGCATGCCAACACAGGTAGGTTCGTAACATCATTCTAAGTGGATTTACTCTTGGTGCCACTTCCGAACGGATTGGGCAAATAGAGCGGCACTTGCTTTTGATATTCCACATAGGCGGGGTACTTGGAAATTGTAACATATTCTGTCATATGTCCTGATCCCTGAAACAGAGACATGAGGAGGAGACAACCCAAGATGGATGCATTGAACAATTTGGATGTCAAACTCAATGATTCCACTGTCCACAATGCTGCCACTGAAAAGAGGTAGTATGTACACCAGATAGCTTGTTCGGCAGCATAGTTTGGTTTTCGGCAAATGGCAAAAAGTCCCGACTGCAAAAAACCATCCTTGTATTCACCATCCAGTGGTTCTCCAGCATTTTTGCGCCGATATTTCTCTGTCTGAAAGGCGAATTGTGCATTGTCGGCTAAGGTTTCCACCACTACCAGCCCCAGTAAGATCATTGCTGCCAGGAAATCCAAAAAGTTGAGTGGATGATTGTTGTTGCCAAAACAGTCCTGCTTGTCATTGCTGGCCACCAAATGTGCCACCATGGACGGCGTGGCAATCAACAAGAGGAGTACATTTTGGTAGAAGCTGATAAAGACAAAGTTGAAGATATGCCACACCACTGGATTCTTGAGTGCCGCAATGTAATCTCCTCGTTGCAGGATTGCCCATCGGTAGTCTTCTTCTCCGGACCACGGTGGCCACGAATATCCTCCTCGACGATTGAAATTGTATGACAACCGGAGTCCCCACACAGTTGTTACAATGGCCATGAGGAGTGTCCTGGAATCATTGACCAATATCCAGGCATACACCCACGGAACAACACTCCACAGTTTGTCCACCTGCGAAAAATTGCCCGTCAATAAGGAGATCCCATAGGTCAGCCTGCACAAAATTGGGAAAAAATGCCAGAACAGAGTGAGATGTCAATAGAGACATAACAAAACCATGGATTCCTCTTGATGTCATGGCAACTTACCCGATGAAAAAGAGACAAGTATTCCATGCATTGGCCAGTCCTGTGCCCGAGTTACCGATGCCTTCCCACAGCAGATGACCAACACCGCATTGTTCCGACATGTTGTTGTTTCGTCAGTTCTGTATTTCAACCTCTCGCTTTTCTCCTTCCGAGTGCTTTTATGCCGTATACCAAAGCAAATACCGGTGTCTTTGGGTTGCTCGGGCCAGTTGCGGGTTCTTTCTTGGGCACTCTGGCTGCTGTGTGATGGTTTGCTCCGTGGTGGTGCCGTCTTTGAAGCTCGGGGAGATCGCGAACAAAAGGTGACTCACTCACTCAGAACTGCTGCCAACACGTCATGTGCCTCTCATCGCATCGTGGAGGTGAGCGCAGCGTGGGATAGATGAACAATGGGGTTAGGGTTAGCATATAGCGTGGTGGCCGTATCTTTGGTCTGTACCTCTGTCCATGCCTCATCATCGTGGATCTTTAGAGGCCAATGGATTTCTTTTGGCTTCGCTTGCCTCCGCTGTTTTCTTCCGCACACATCCATTTTCCCATTCCGACACCATGAAGTTGGTGGTCCAGAACCTCTTGGCAGCAGCCTTGCTGCTCCTAGCAACAACTTGCCAAGCCGTCAAGGTCGGCGACAGCATTCCCACCGATGTGGAACTCCATTTCGGTTTTCCACCCGAGAATATCAATTTGAGTCAACGCATTGCCTCGAAAAAGGTGATTTTAGTGGGTCTTCCCGGTGCATTTACACCGACCTGATCCACCCGCCAAGTGCCCGGGTACTTGGCCAATGAGGACGCATTGAAGGAATTGGGAATTGACGAAGTGATTGTATTTTGTGTCAACGATGGTGCCGTCATGAATGCCTGGGCGCTCGATCAAAATGTGCCCACCGACAGTATCATCAAGTTAATGGGAGATCCCTACGCCGTCTTGACGGAAAAGTTGGACATGGAATTGACTCATGCCGGGCCCAAATCGGTGGGACTGGTCAATCGATGCAAACGGCATGCTCTTTACATTGTCAATGGGAGTGTCAAAATTGTGCGAGTTGCCGAAAAAGACGATGATCCGGCAGGTGAGTTGCAGTGCATTATTTGTGATGTAATTTTGAATGGGGTAGCATTATTGCTAATCGGTTTTACTTCTCTTTTTTGATCATAGGCGACGACTTTCCAGATATCACTCTGGCCGGGAGCATGATTGAAGCCATCAAAGAGTTGAGATCCAGCAGTCCCAAAGAGGAACTGTAACGTTCTCTTTTATTAGACAAGCAACGGCACAGTGGTGGCAATTCGTTTTTGTTTCCATGTTCGCCTGATATCATGTCGTTGTTTTGGCAAGCCGTGAATGACGTTTCCTCGACAATACGCTACTAACTTGATTGGAGTATCATATTACAACAATATCGTAGATGAGAAGGGGAAACCGAAAAATTTGGGAAGGGCACTTTGTTTGGTTGATTCCGGGGACGCGTCCTCTCTCGGAACAAACGAAACCAATGGCTCCATCCCGTTTGAGCTGCCAAAATGATAGAGATTCAGGGAATTTTGGGAAGGGAAAGCAAATGTCTACAACTAACTAACTAGCAGGTGCTGATTAGAAACTGAAATTTAGATTCATTCATTCATAGAAATCTCGATGGAATAGTTCCGCGGGCAAGAAGCACTGAATCGAATCCTACTTCCGTGCGAGCTCGCCTTCAATTTGTATGGGAAAAGTAGAAACTCCCAATGCCAAACAATATGTGCAGACCGATGATCGACCAGGCAAACAACATAACACCAAGCAACCCTATACTGTCCACGTGAAAAGCATTTCCAGAAGAAGGACAATGTCAAAGCTCATCACTGCCACTTGTGACAGCACCTGCTGCAATCAAGGCTCTCTCAACATCTGTGAAATATCCACTCTGAGCAACATCCAAGGGTGTTTTACCAGAAGAATCCTTTGCATTGACATCCACCCCATCGTGTCCAAGCAACGTGGTAACAATGTCCAAGTGGCCTTTCTGTGCAGCCAAATTGAGGGGAGTCCCGCCACCAATTAACTCTGCATTTGCATCCACACCATCATGCCCTAGCAATGCTTTGACAACATCAACATGATCAAACCATGCAGCATGATGAAGAGCTGTATAACCAACCGGTCCCTTTGCATTTACATCCACTCCATCCTGTCCTAGCAATACTTGGACAACATCAACATGACCCGTCCATGAAGCATGATGAAGGGCTGTCAAACCAAGTCTACAAGGCAATGATGCATTGGCTCCACTTTCCAGAAGTGTTTCTATCACACTGACATGACCATTGACAGCAGCTTCATGTAGAGATGTAGTAATGTGGTTATTGTCCACAGGAGAATGACTGGCGCCCTTCTCCATCAAGACTTTCCCCGAAGTCGTGTGCCCTGCAGCCCAGTGCAACATGGCCAAACACGAAACGAAAAAGGCTCCACGAACCATCCAAACCACAGGATACGTCCAAAACGAGAGCATAGAGTTGCCTCGGCCACTTGTAGTAACTTGGATTTCGTCGTTCGTCATTGGATCTTGGATTGGATTGCCGGTAGCCTTGTGTTGCTCGATAGATGTATCAATCTGCCAGCAGAGCGCTCACTGGTCAACATCAAACTATGATAATGGAAGCAATCGCTCACATGTGCACATGGGGTTTCCCGTCGGCAAGTACCAAAGCACGAAGACGTTTTACTATATAGTATTCAGAAGAGTAGGATTTTTCCGTGAACCCAACAGACGCAATGCAGCATCTTGACACAGCATGAAGCAACATCATCATCTCATCAAAACCAACAATGACAGTACTATGAATAGTACAACGGGGACTGAGTCACTCTGGCTCCTCAACGTTACATTGGTGGCAACCACTCGATCAACGCACTTGTGGAAGGCCCCCTCCGAACGCCTCGCTCCACCGGAAACCTTGAAATGCTGGCATGCTTGTTCCGTATCGGTTATCAGTACTCAGCGTAGTATTTGTTACTCCAGTGTCATACCGTACATGTATTTTGTAAAGTAATGAGCGGAGGTTTCTTTATTTCAACCCAGCCAACGTGGCTCGTATCTCGGGATCGGTGGGAAACCTTGGCTGACCCTCTGACTTGGGACGTGGAAGGTGCAAAAGAGGGCAACTTCCACGTTCCGTGAGAGATTATGTGTGCGTCTGAAAGATACTGGTCTACCAAAATGGCACACCAAGCTTCCCTTCTCAACCTTGCAGAAAGAAACTGAAGGCTGATGATGATCCTATGTACATAGCGAGCAATGACATCCCGTCACATGCACATCAAGCAATGCTATAGAATAAATCCTGTGTTTTAGCGATTCGGCAGTTTGTGAGTAAACTCACTTATAGTTCAGTCACTTTTGCTAAAATCGTATGGCTATTGTCTACTCTACATGCGGCAATAAAAGGATGCTAACTAGAAGATGCAACAACATAACCATAAAATGCTGCCACCAACCTGCTTTTCCAGAGGGCCAGAGGGGCAATGCTAAAGTTCATCATTGCCACTTGTGACATCACCCACCGCAATCAAGGCTCTCACAACATCTTGGAAATCACCACGCTGAGCAACATCCAATGGTGTATTACCAGAAGAATCCATTGCATTGATATCCACACCATCATTTCCTAGCAGAGCGTTCACAACATCAAGGCGGCCTTTCTCTGCAGCCTTGTGAAGAGCAGTCTCACCAAGTAATTTATCCCTTGCATTGATATCCATCCTATCGTGTCCAAGCAAAGTATGTACAATGTCAAGGTGTCCTTTCTGTGCAGCTAAATGAAGCGCATTCTCACCAAGATTATTAGTTGCATTGATATGCACATCAGCCTGTCGAAGCAAAGTCTTCACAATGTCAAGATGACCTTCTAGTGCAGCCAGCAGAAAGGCAGTCTCACCAAGGGAATTGCTTGCATTAACATCCACTCCATCCTGTCCTAGCAATGCTTTGACAGCATCAACAAAACCCATGGATGCAGCACAATGAAGGGCAGCATAGCCATCCATTTCCTTTGCATTTACATCCACACCATCCTGTCCTAGCAATGCTATGACAACATCAACATGACCATATCCTGCGGCATAATGAAGGGCTGTCACACCACCTCGATCAGCCAATGAAGCATTTGCTCCACTTTCCAGAAGTGTTTCTACCACGCTGATGTGACCACTTTCAACAGCTTCGTTCATGTAGAGGTGTATGGTGGAGATTGTTCAAAAAAGAATGATTTGCTCCCTTCTGAATCAGCTCTTTCACCAAAACTGTGTGCCCTTCAGCTGCAGCCCAGTGCAACAGGGTCCCTCCAATGGCGTCTTTGAAAAGCTCATCTACATGAGTACTACTATCATCACCGGCACCATGTGCTTGTATGATATCTTCCAAGACATGAGCATCATTGTTGCGTACAGCCATTTTGATCAGATCCTTTTGAGGCTTTCCGGTATAGTATTGGATCATCTGTACAATTCGCTTCTGCATGTCCTTCTGTAGTAGCTGCTGCTGAGACAATATGCGGTGTGTCTGGGTGCTTTCCAAGGACTGCAGGGCTGTATCCATGTGATGTTTGAGTTCTTCTACCTGCCGACTTGAAAAAGAAGAAACTTGCTGGCTCAAGTGTGCCAAGATTGTTTCCACAGACTGCATAGCTGCTGTGAGTTCGGATACTTTAGATGCTGTTTGTTGAGTTTGTAAGAAGGACATACACGAAATCAAGAAGGCTCCAACTACCATCCAAACCACGGGATGCGTCCAAAACTAGGGCACGGAGATGCCTCGGCCACTGGTATTGCTTGCACCGTTCGTCATTGGATTGCTTTGTAGTTTTTGTATTGCTTGATGTACTGGTACTGGTACTGACTGTATCAATCTGTCAACAGAGTGCTCGTCGACAATTAAGAATCAAACGAATGGAAGCGAATTTATGACCTTCGCTGCGGTCATCATGCATTAGTAGTTTCCGAAGTGGACCGATTGCCATCGTGGAAGTTTCAAAACTCGTTGGAGATTGCGTGAATACTGTACTCATCGAGGAAAAGTGGTATTAATAACCGACGAAAATCGACGTTTTTGCGACTTCTATAGACTTGGACTACGTACCGGTACCCCAAAAGTCGCGATTTGACTTCGCCGACGAGTGACTGAGGACTCAGATTGAGTGACGAGTGACCCAGCTTCCGTGAAAGATCGAGCGTGCGTCTGAAGCAAGCAGCATCGTTGGCTTCTCCTTTTTGCCGACATTCAAAAAATCTTCCGCGGCCTCCCCCACCTTATTGGTGTTGTCTATGCTGAGATCCATTGGTTATTGTTGTTGTTGTGGTCCAAGGGTGGCACCTCTTTTTTGTTCCTCCAGTGCGACCCCAGCTCTAGAGCTCACTAGCTACTAGTACACAAAAAGAAGAAGAAGAAGAATACGATGAACGGTCGCGGCCGTCTTTCCTTTGGCAGCACCGGCAGCACGGGAAGCTATTGGCCGTATCCGCCTCCTCCACAGCCGCCAAAGACGCACATTGTCTGTCTGACACTGGCCACTACTACTACCAACACTACTCATGATGACAATGATGACTCGGAGATTATTCGACGTGCCGTCCGAGAAGGCGACGGATGTGTGGCAGAATGGCTGCGCGAATGTGTGGAAGGCAGTCTCGATTGGATGATGAAGTTGTTGCGTCGTCACGAGACCTTTTTGGATGGCAATCGATCCACCGATGACAATGGCGCCATTCGATTGGTATTTGGCGCTGGCTATGAATTGGTGTTGTTACTTGGAACTGCCGATATTCCCGATTCAGTGGAGCGACTCAAGAATGTGCGCAAATTGGGAGTGGCATTGACGTATATTAGTAGTAGTAGTAAGCCAAAAGATGAAGAAGATGGAGAACCTTCTGTCATTACAGAACAACAATTGGAACGTCAAGGACCCATCTTTCCCAAAGATGCCTTTTGGGATCATGTGGATTCGGATGCGCGTCATCGACAAAAGGGAAACAACAACGACAATTGTCTCTATGGAGTCTTTACGACTCAAAAAACATGGGATGGACCTGATGAACTCAAGAATGTCAAATTATTCCGGATTCAAATCGACCCGGATGATCCATTGGTGGGAACTTCCATTGAATGTGTGGGGCATTTTGGAGGAGACGATGATGAAGATGAGGAACACACTACTACTACTCCAAAAAACAAAAAGAAAACAAGCAAAGCCAAGCAACAACAATCTACAACCGATCCCAAACCAACCAAACGAGGACGCAAATCCGAGACTCCCACCAAACCTCCCGCCAAACGTAGATCTTCTTCCAAAGCGGTGGAACCCAAATCTCCCGGCGCTGGATCCAAAGTATTGGAAGTCGAGACGGCCGATGAGGTTTCGCAAGCCGAAATGGCGTCTCCACCACTCGCCAAGAAAAAGACGGCCACGACAAAGAAAAAGGATACGGAGGAAGAACCAACGACGACTCCTGCCAAGAAACGAGGGCGGCCTCCCAAAGCAAAGACAGCGGATGCCGATGATAAACCAGCAAAACCAGCTTTAGCCAAGAAAAAGGGCAAGGCTGATGAGGAGGAAGAACCGACAACCACACCCGCCAAGAAACGAGGGCGGCCTCCCAAATCAAAAGACGATGATGTACCAGCCAAAACAGCGTCTGCCAAGAAAAAAGGCAAAGAGGATGACGAGGAGAAGCAACCAAAAACGACAACTCCGGCCAAGAAAAAGGGCAAAGCAGCAACAAAGGATGATGCTGAGAAGGAACCCGCCAAGAAACGGGGGCGGCCTCCCAAAGCAAAAGTCACTGACGACAACAACAATGACGAAGAAGAAATCTTGGCAGGAGCACGCACGCTCCATCAACGGGACACGCTCTCGGAATTGTTTGAGAAAAATCCAAAATTGAACTATGACCAAGCTCATGCGAAATGTGAGGAACTGTTCAATGAGCTGCCGGAAGAAGAACAGCGCAAATACAAGGAAGCAGCTTCCAAGCTGCCCGAGTTCAAACCCAAGAAAAAGGCATCCAAATCAAAAACCACCACCAAGAAATCATCAGAGACCGCCAAAGCGACAAAGACGGCAGAGACGAAAGCGACAAAGAAAACCAAAGAAGCTGTGGCAAAGAAAGCAACCAAAGAAGCTGAGGAAGAGGAGGATAAAAAGCCAGCCGCCAAGAAACGGGGGCGACCAAAGAAGGATGCCACAACCGACGAAAAGAAGGAGGAGGAAGGCAAGGCCACTCGAAAACGAAAGAAATCGACGGCAGACGAGGAGGACGGCGACAACCAGGAAGCACCCAAGAAAAAGGCAAAGAAAGCTCGAAAGTCGTCCACGGCAGACGAAGAATCCCCGCGCAAGAGTCCCAGAAAGAGCAAAAAGGACGAGGATGAAGAGGCAACGAAAAAGTCTCCCGCCAAAGAAAAGGCGAAGAAAGCAGCCAAGAAGAATTCAGAGGAAGATGACGACGCCAAGAAAAAGTCCAAGAAATCCACCGAGTCTCCCAAGAAAATGAAGAAGAATGGCGAGAAAGACAGCGGAGAAGCAGCCAAAAAGAAGTCAGTTGCCAAGCGCAAGAATTCCACAGCTTCCGCCGTCGTCGATGGAGAACACGACGACTTTTTCCGGCTGGCCAAACTGCATCCGAGAGAAGTATTGGCGCTCCAAAGAGCATTCCAAAATCAGAAAAAGAGGAGTGCCGAAACGTACGACTATGCGGATTACTCGCAACGAGATTTATTTCACGCACAGAATGCCTTGGAATTCATGTATGGCGATGAAGGCGAGCACATGGAGGAAGCAGACGAATGACTTCCCACCGTACGGTATGGATGGTGAAGACTTACTTGTGTATCCATGTTTGTATGTGTGAAGGCTGTGTGTATATGATGAATGTTGTGGCGCCAGCATTTGGTCGCACCTGTACTCTTGGACTGTTGTTGTTATGATGTGATGTTCCACATCCATGCCGTCCCGTCCGTAAAAACACACTCCAATAAGAACTAAACTGTAATGTTCAGTATGATCAATCGTTCTAGTTTTGTTCTATCTATGATGTTATCCGTGCTACCTTTTTATTACGCGGCGGCGGAATAGTTGCAACTGGTGAGTGCCATGGTTGGCATTGGCAGCAGCATTGACGAGGAGCTAGCGTCTTTGACTTGTTGTGGCTTGCGTTGTTTCCGACCACGAAAAGACTGTCGCACCACCGCGGTGTAACTGTGCCGTTTCAGCAGGTCCGAGATTCTCCTTTTCGGAACGACATTGGACGATGCCGAAGACTTGCGGTGTGGCGGTTGTTGCTGCTGTTGTAGCTGCAATTCCTGAATGACCCGTTGATCCGACAGACCCAACAATCGGGCAAAGACGCGAGCGTTGCGTGTCATTTCGTCCGATACCGTGGCCAATTCTTCTTGGAGGGCATCGGGTTTGGCACCGGCAGCTTTGAGTTGCTCTTGAAGCGACAAGACAGCAATGATGGACTCTTGTTGAATGCCTCGAATCCTCGTGCGATGGTTGGCTGAGACATGTCGTTCCAAGCCACGGATACAGTCTTCTTCTTCTTCGTCGTTTTGACTATTCAATCGCACCAACAGGTCAATGCGTTCTCGTACGGGAATATCAAAGATTCGAGACAGCTCTTCATCTGTGTGGGGCATCTTGCGTTTGCACTCCTCGGCATCGCCATGCACATTCTTGGACAGTTTCTGCAAGTGTTGTCGGGAAATCCAACGACTCTCCGAGTTGCGTTGGCGTTTGAATGTGATGGTCACAATCTCATCCGAGAATCGGACTTGTCGTCTGTTGTGTGTTTGCATACTAGTAGTACTCGTAGTAGTCTGGTTAACCATGGTATCAGGTTGCTTCTTCAAATAATGAGGAAGAAGATCTGAGGATAACGAACTACTGACTTGGAACTGCAGAAGCAATGAGGAACAAACCAGGACACCCATGCAACCTCTGCCTGTGCAATGCGGTGCTGGTTCGAACAGTGAGTGAAAAATGTGAGACCGGGCGTCACTGGGTCACCATTTATCCAGCTTTGTAACCAGTGTAGAACGAAAGCGTTAAAGAGTGTGTTCAACAGAAGCTTGAGACCTGCAAACAGAATTGTCAAAGATTATAAGAGCTGTACCCTCTGTTCCCACTTGCCGTGAGAGGCCCAATGCTTCTCACTTTTTGCTTCGGAAAGCTCGTTTCTTGCTGTGACCCTTCACACTCGTGGATCTGACTGGATGAAGGTTCCCCTGCAACAATATCCTTCATCATTGTGGGAGTCACTAGATTTCTCAACCAGTAGTAGTTCAATTGGTTTCTTCTTACTATCTACGGTAGCTAGTGGAGCAGGGGTATAAGCGGCAACCGTACACGGTACTTCGAAGGCTTCTATCTATCTGGAATGTCCCTGTGAATGAAATGTTTCAGTTTCCCGTAGTACAGGTTGCTTTCTTGACGACTAGTATGCTAGCCGCTAGCCAATGTCGCCCCGAGCACGGCCTTGATTCTGGGTCATGGTTTGGGCAAAAGAGCCAACAGCTTGCACTAGTAACCAGATAGGTAACTGCAGAGATATCAGTCTCCGGGCTGTTTGCTTCAACCCAATCAAGGCAGGTGCAACAGTATGACGTTCCAGGATCAGCCAATTGATGAAGCGATCGTGCTTAGCTTGGGGGCAAGGCGCTGAATTGCTTCCTTACTCGAGCCACTTCAGAAGGATACTTGCAACTGCAACACCAAGACGATCCAAGATCGCTCTACTGATGCAGCTCTTTGCTTGCTCCCAAGCACAGGGATCCTACTGCTACATGTAGCTAGCTAGATGGAAAGTACTGCCATCCGGAGAAGATCGGGTCTCTATGTGACTCAAAATAATGTGATGCGTGACCGACTGGCTGTGCAACCAGTGCCGTTCCTAAAGAGGATCTACCCGCTTTGACCAAATAGCTACCTGGTAGTAGCGGTGAACGCCCACGTCTTCTAGTTGAAATAAACAAAAGGATCACGAAGGTCCCTTCGATGCCCAATTCTTCCAAACGAATGATTCAATCGGATCGTTCCTGCTGGCTAGCTAGCTCGTCCAGACAGATACTTGCCGCCTCCACCGAAAGATGCCCCTCGTGGCTTTCACGGTACCGGTCGGTACACGGCCACCGCAACACTCAAAAAGGGCAATCATTTCGCACGCGAAATCTCCACAGCCCACAGCCCTAGATAGCTAGTACCGGTAGCTGCAAAAATTTCAGCGACGACCGATTACTAGCTTGACCTACAAAGGATGTTACAATGATGATTATGAACTATCGTACCAGTGGATAGTATACTAATACAACTACTATAAAGAATGAAGCCATGATTTCGTTTGTAAAGATTGTCTACTATGTGTTATTGTTCTATAATTATGTTTGGATGTATTCTTAAAGGATTGTAGCATAGCATCAACAATGATAGAGGTTGGTTGTCGGGTGTCACGGGTATTAACTTTGGACTTTCGTCGCGTGGAGGACGTTCGGACAAGCACTCTGCAATAGAGGCTGCCTAGCACAGGAACCACAAACCTGGCTACCTTCGATGTGACCCTTCAATTGAACCAACTATATTCATCTCCGCAAATTGTTGTATAGCCCTGCACCCCACCAGATGCTTGCTCACTGTGTATTGTATTGTGTTAGTCCCCCAATCCGTCGTCGACGTCCCCACTTACTTACCTGTTGTCCTAGACTGGAATGTACCAGTCAGGCTTTCTGACTTGCCGTCCAGAAAGAGTTGTTGTCTGAACTGTTGTTTGCTGCTGTGTATCCGTCACAGGTTGTGTCGTCGTTGTCTTCTTCTTCTTGCCCTTCGCCTTTGGCTTTGTCGACTTCTTCTTGGTGGCCGCCACCCGTCTACGTTTAATTCTAGGTTGTTCAACTGCCACCCGCCGTGGCTTCGTCTTGATTTGTTCTGCGATTCTCTGAGATGCAATCGCCGCCATGCGTCTCTTTGATCGTCGCAAAGTTGATTGTGCTGTGTCCACATTGTCCTCCTCGTCGACTCGGTTGTCGACCAGTGGTTCATCAGCATCCACTTGTTGTTCCTCGACCTCGACCAGTGGTTCTTCAGCTTCCACTTGGCCAGTCACTAATTCGTAATCCGTATCGTCCGAGGCAACGCCTGCCTCCAATCGTAGTGTCTTGTGTCGCCGCATCATCTCCTTCACAAGGTCTCCACCATCCTGCATCAAGGCTGCGAGGATGTCGTTGGGTACCACTCCAAGTAGCACACCATTCATCATTCGCAACCCCAATACAAATGGTTGTTGTCCATGCACACTGATCTTGAAGTGTGTCACATGCCACTTTTGAATGTATGGGACCACTGTTGTGCATGTGGGAACCACCGCTGCTTCGCATGAGATTGTGGCATCGGATGCCATCGTGTTGTCATCGACGGTCGAGACTGTTTCTATTGTCTCGATGTCTTTAGTTGTTGTTGTTGGTTGTTGTTCTACTTCTACGGGTGCTACATCTTCCATGCAGACATCCTTGACCTTGCGATAGACAAATCGTCGGTTGGCAATCTGTTCTCGCGTATTCAAGGTGCAAATTTCGTCGTCAGCGTTGCGCTGAATTCCTCCGAGGTGCAAGTGGCACATGGCGAGTTCGAACATGTAAGTGTTCTTTTCGTTGACCATGAACCAGTGCGAGACTAGCTTGTCGTTTCCTTTCTTCGCCTGGATGAAACGAACAAGTCCCTCGAGGTCTTGATGCACGGCATCAATTTGAATGTACAGTTGGGCTTGTCGTAGGTACGCTTTGTCGCTTTGGAACCATAGGTTGTTGGTGATCCATTTGGCCACTTGTTGGTATCCGTACTCTTGAATCAACTGCACGAGATCCAAGACGCGTTCGTGGGGTGTTTGTGTGCCGAAGGAAATGAATTGTTGTTGGGCTTCGTGCCAGAATTCGTACCGGGCTTGTGGCACATGTTTGTTCATGTCTCGATAGACACGACGGTTCTCAGCTTGTTCGATCTCGTCAGAAGAGTACCCCACTACAGTGTTGACGGGAGCAAAGGATAAACGGTTTCCATTGCTCCGTTCGGTGTCTTGACTGTAATGAGTCTTCCAGCGAGCGTTGGCTGATTGACTGGGTTGGATGCGACAGCCTTTGGGCTGGTGCTGGTTGTATCTGTCGTATCCGTAGTGACCATGCTGATCCGCAGGAACCAGGGAAAGGTCATAGGCACCTAGGTAGCGACCGTGCTGTTGGAACTCCACATCAGGATTCGTTCCGTACGTGTGCAACAGTGCCGCGGTTTGGACGACCGGCTGGTCCAACTCGTCCAGTTGGAATGTTGGGACTTCCTCTGCCGCAGGAACGTCCTTGTCGTTGTTGTTGTTGCCCGTCATCTCCTTGGCAATCTGGAGAACGGGGGTCTTCTTGGTGTTGCTGTTGTAGTTGTCGGTGGTCATGGACCACGAGAGCAGCTTGATGATAGAAGAAGAGAACTTCATTTTGCAATTGATAGGTATTGAATAGAAGATTGATAGAAAGGGTAATTGAGGGTAGGGGGGTTGATCTGGCCTAGGCTTATCAACAATCGCGAAAGTCTTCCTTGTTCGGTTGGGTATGCAACTCTAGCAATCCGGTTGAACAAAAAAGTGAGCTCAGCATGGTGACCTCCAAATTGGGATGACGGATTCTGCCAGATGTTGGGATGACAGATTCTGCCAGATGGAAAACAACAGGTGACGAGATGAGACTGAGCCACTGATGAGCACTGATTTCATGCTCTTTTACCCAACAACACACGTCCCGGTCTCTCAGAGTAGTCTTGACGATAGATGGATGCTTGGTCAGTCTAGTGTTGTCGTTTGAATGCTGCTCTTGGATGGTGTGGTTATTACCGGAGCTGTTGCTTGATGCGGTGCTGCGGAGGGTGCGGAGGCTCGGAGAGCTGCGGAGAATCGAATCGGGACTCAATCGCATATACGACTAAAAGAGTGAAGCTAATCACGGCTGGATGAAACCTTCCGCTGAACGAGGAGATGAATGATCGAATGAATCGATTCGATTCGATTGAATCATTCGATGAATCATGCCAGTCGGGAGGGACACACCGGCACCTTTGGGTGCTGTTTGCATGGCTGCGCTCTTCACTAGCTCTCAAGACGGTACCGGTACAACTGTACTAGCTACGAGTAGAACTGTGGCACCCCCCAAGGAAAAGATATGGATAATTCTGTTGCTACATACAGTACGATCCTCTGTATTTCGACTGGTATTCCAAACCAAAAGCCCCAAGCTTCGATTCCGGCACAGGAAGGAGTGGATCAAGGACGAACGAAGCATTTATGGACTAGTTTCGTGCATGCTCTATTGATCATCATCTATTGAAGTACAATTTCTCGTATTCCCACCGTTCCCTGTTGTTTGACGGCAGCCGCAATGGCATCCACCGTGGCAAAACTCGCGGGGTCGTTCTCGACGCGGGCAAAGACACAAAATCCACCATAGGCGGCATCCAAATGCGGATTGTCGGATAAATTGATAAAGACTTCACTGCTTCCACAATCCGGAACATCAAAGTGAGCCAAGGCCGCCGTCCCCCGTGCATTGGACACGACGCCATTGTAGGTCGTTTCGTTCACGGTCATGTCGCCATGAGGATTCTTCTTGGGGTGGAGACCAAATTGAATGACAAAATCGGAGCGATAGAACGATGTCCCATTGTAGATCTTGGAATCCACCAGTTTGGAGACGTAGGCCACCGTCTGTGGTGCTATTCAAGAATTCAAACAAGCCCAAAAGAGAGAGGACAAGATCAGTCATTCTGCTACAATGTATAGTCAAGCGTCAGTAGAGACACCTTATCTATCTTACCAGACTCGGGTAACAGCCGGAGAGTGATTTCTCCGAGATCCGTTCGAAGGACTAGTGATGAGGGCATTGGTCGCTATTGTGCGTGTACTAGTACTGAGTATCGATCGAGGTGGTTGTTGGGTGGAGGTCTAAGGGGGCGGTACCGAACCAGACGAAAACACGAAAACCACACTTATCACCGAGAGAATGGCCTAAAGGCGTACGTTCTTTAACGCGACGAAACTTTGTTCGGCAACAAGAAACAAAGTGTTATAAGAAGGAAGCAGTGCTACCGATGGTCGACTTTGGCTCCTCTGGGGCTTGGGATCTTGATTGGATCTTTTGCCTTGGTTTTTGGATCTTTGCATTCACTGCCATCAACTGAGGGAGCGGTTAATGTCTCCGGTGTAACAATCCAATTTGCGGCTCGCCTGGCTTATATTGTTCTGTCGTGCATGGCAGCCACAGACGCCGGCCAACACCCCTGCACGCCAGCACGAATGGCGATTCGATTCGCTTCATTCCTGCTTGGCACGAGTATTGCGTGCCAACAACTCCCGCAGTCATACAAGCATGTTTCTCAGCTGTACCAACACCAACCACCGAGGAGACAGCCAACAGATAGATAAGCTCACAAAAAACAAAACCTTCAAACAAAGCAACAAAGAAAGCAAAACAAATCAATCAATCAATCAACAATGAGCAACAACAACACAGCAGTAAGCATGGGAGCCCCAGTGGACACTGTGAAGTCAACGAAACAAGGCCACTCTTTCTTGGGTTGTCTTTGTGACATGAGAAGGGCAGTCATCATCCTCAACACACTTGGCACGATTGCAGGCATCATTGGCCTTGTAGCTGCAATTATCTTTGACAAATATGGAACAGAAGAGGATAGGAAGGCGTTGATGCTTGATGGCTATGATCTTGGTGCTCTTATTGCTATCTACAGCGCCGTCATTGTTTGTCACCTCTGTGGAATCCTGGGTGCTGTGACATTCACCATTTGCCCTATTTTGATCACCATCCTTATGAACATTGCATATGCTGTCCTTGCTGGCTTGGACAAGAACTGGATTGGTCTTGGTGTCTACATCTTCCTCCTGTATCCCCATGTCTTCCTTTGCAATGAGCTTGCCAGGGGCATCATGACCAGAGAGAATTACCGCAGCCAAGAGCGTCAGTCTTGTTGCTGTGTATAGAACAGAACAGGAAACGAACAGTGAAGGAGGCATTGACCGGTGTGCAATTCAATAGAACTGAAACATGATAAACATTAGAGAAGACATATTTAGACAAGCACCTGTGCTTTGGGAAGTGCCAAAGGAACAGTAGTTTGAATCGGAAGTATTACATGTACAATCACTGCTGTTATGTGGCTGCTGTTATACAAAGTCAAACGCTACAGACAGAGTGGCTATTGAGAATTAGAGAGATGCGGTGTGGGTGGTTGCTGTGTAGGATAGTTAGACTCCATGCGAACCATCGGCTTGAGAGCGGACTTGGTCACCTTGGCCTCACTTCTTCGTGTACAGGTACTGTACACCACCATGATAACTGAAGCTGTCACCAGTCTAGGATAGGGCGTTGGTCTGAGCGGTAGAGGAGGCGGTACGACTCCGATAGACTTCTTGGAGCTAAGTTTGCATCAATCAACATCCAATGAAGCTTTTGTACGTCAAGTGAAGCCTGTATTGGCTTCTTGTACTTCCCTGGTCGCAATAGAAAGCAGACTGAGTCACTCGACTCAGATTCCTCAGGATTTCTTTGCCATGGTTGCAGTGGTGGGAGCAAAGGAATCCTGGCAAGTAGTAGAATCGTGTACGTCGGGAATCATTCCCTTCCATGAACGTACTCAGATCTCACACCAGCCAGCCAAGCAGTGAACGTCATTTGCGGGCTCCGATGCAGCTACCTAGACTCCACAAAAACTTCAACCAGAGAATACAGTTTTAGTTGTAGAAGAATCAAACAATGAAGGGGATGAATCGATACGGGGTCCGTTCGCAATAGGCGTCCCAGCTTTTTTCAAAGTGTGCCTTCATCAATGCTTCTTCCTTACGAACGTTGACACACAAGAACAGGAAAAAGCCGAGTGGCAAAAGTGCAAAGAGACTTCTCGTCCACAGCAACTCTCCAGTGGCATAGACGACCAAAAACGCATAGCCTGGATGGCGGACCCAATCGTAGAAACTCGATGTAATCAAGCCTCGGGAATCTGACTTGATAGAATAACTGTAGGTAAAGAGCGGACCGAGCAAAATTCGAAGTCGTGTATGCAGTCCGATTCCCAAGTAACACAGAAAGATCCCAAGGATGGTTTGTGTGTCGCCATCTTCAAAGGATGTATCATCATAAAACAATCCACAATGGAGAAACGCCAGAGTACACAAACAGGGGATCAAGGATTTCTGCAACACTTTGAAGGTTCGCGTCTTGAGACCACCGCTTTGATTTCCGCGGATTCATCCGGTGGAATCGCGTGGATGAACGCCAACACGGCAGTCACAAGAGCCAAAGTTCGTGCAAATTCTTGCATGATGTGTGTTCAAGGTAGCAGCAGAAAGCAGATCGACACAACACTTGATTGCTCGCTATCTACCGGTATACGGTAGTCGAAGAGAGTCAGGAAATAAATGATCTCTTGACTTTTGGAAGGTGATTGTGAGAACGCGATGGATCGGACTTTGGTTTTCAGTCCTGCCTAAAATCTCGAGCATGTCACGGTCAGCAAGGCTACTGTGGCGTTTGATCCCACCGCGTGGTTGGCTGGAGCTTCCTCTCCACAAGCAGGAGCCCCCATCCGACGACGGTCGAGGTGTCATTGTCGAGGTGCCTTTGCTGTGTGGTCGAGGTGTCATCGTCGACGTTTCGAATAGGGAAAAGTACGGCACGATTTCAAAAAGCCGGAGCACTACTGGTGCGTTCTGTATTCTAACTTTTTATGCCAACAAAGAAACGAATCACGAATCACATGGTATATCCTCAAGCTTTCAATAGAGAACCCTATCAGACAGCTTTCTTTGCCCTCAAGCAGCTAGCTAGCTGAGTTGCTGGCTATCTTTCCCTGCTCAGAGCAATCAGTGGATCTAGGGCTCCAGATTGTCTCCTGGTCGTGATGCTGCGTACAGACAAGACACACACATAATAGCAACCAATCATAATAGCAACCTAGGTCTTGCTAAAGCAACATCAGAACGCCACTGCCAAGCAACCCAAACCCCCACCAAGGACAGAGTGACCAAGAAGTTTCTGCTCTTGAAGTGGATTGTAATGTGGTTCCAACATTTGCTTCTTCCTCTGATTCGGTTTCATCTGCATTTTCTCCTTCCCCAGCTTCTGCCCTTGACACTTCCTCTCCATTCTCAGCTTGCTCCAAGATCCCAAAGAAATCTTTGATGCGGGCCACCAACTCTTGACTGGATGCAATGTCCTGGACCATGGTCGCCAGTGGTTCTGTCTGCATTTCGATAATCGTGGCGCCCGCAATAAATGTAGTGATGGGGGTGTTTGTATTGATCACCAAGATTTCCACAGATTGCCCAGCCTTGACTCCAAAAGCTGCATTGTCAAGGGTTGTTCCCTTCAAAATGGCTGTGGACATGTTGGAATCCTCCATGGGTTGTAGATCAATAACGATATCCTGAACGGTCAACGTTTCTTCAAAAATCTGTGGTGATCGGTATGGGACCACAAATCCAGGCAGCCACACATAGTCACCCGGTGCAACATCGTGATTGAAGGAGCACTCAAAGTATTGCAGGATCTGATCTGTATCATACGACCCGGGCACGAAATCTTGATTGGTGTTGGTTAGCACCAGTTTCATAGTCTTGCTGAGATCCCCACCCTCTTGATGATACTGAGCCACATTGATGGCAACTGAAGGATTGTCGGCAAAGGCTCCATCGAGAAACTGACCATCGGCAGGTCCGCAGGGATTGGGCCACTGACTGCACACTGCAAAATCATCAAAGACTCCATTCTTGAAGATATTTCCTGCAGTCAAATCAAATGCCGTCAACCCGGCCACAGCGGCGCCACCGCCATCTGTTTCCAGCCCGTCTCGCACCGACTGGCGTTGCAAACTGAGCGCTTGGGCAAAGACGGTGGGAGCTGCGGGAGAGAGGGGTCCCGCCGCGGCGGAACTAATGGCGGCAGCTTGGATGACTGAGGCCGCTCCTCCACCAAAGGGTGGCGCCAATGTCCCTGTGGATGTCATGTTGACGGCTTGCGCCTTGTACCGTTCTACCAAATCTTGGTCAATTTCAGTGGTGGCATTTGGTGTGGGCCACGTCCAAAAGCCTTCGTTGGGCCACATGTAGTAGGCGTTCCAGTCGTTCCATTTCCAGAATCGGCTGGTTGGAGAGACATAGGTGGCCAATTCTGTAGAAGACGGAGAGTCAAATGTACTGTATTGAAGTCCGGCAAAAGTATCATTGACAACATACGCCGCTGAGATACCGACACTGTAGAGCGGCCAGTTGGAGTTGCTCTCTTGACTTTCTGGTACGAGCGGCCCCAGGTAGACCATGAGATCTTGATTGTCAATATCCCCAAAGAGTGGCTTTAAATAGTCCCATTTCTCGGTTGGTTCGTAGTATTCATCTTCAAATTCAATATCAATTTCTTCCGATGCCTCTTCTTCTGCGGCCGTACTACGATACGGCCCCAATCGAATTTTGGATCCCGGTGCCAGAGTGGATTGAATGAGCATATCAGTGGATTGCATGGCCGGAATACGATTTTCAGGATTGGCCTGGATATCGGCAAAGACACCCTCATGTCCCAAGTCGTCAGTGGCCCCTGTCAACATGGCATCCACAAAATTGGCCCAACTGGCATTGCTGTGATAATAGAGTCCCCAGAATTCGCTGAGATAGGTAATGACATTGTGTTCCATTTGTTCTCGTTCCGTGCCAGTTTGGAGAGCAGCAAAATTAATTCCCAGCGCCTCACTGACATCCGTTTCGTTGGGAGCCACATCGCGGGCAAATGCTTCGTAGGTTCCCATCCATTGCACGGTAAAATTGTAGAGGTCTTCTGGAGATGCTGCCATGACGGTCTGATCATAAAATGCTTGAGAATAGAAGAGCTGCACCAAAAACCAAGAGGCTCCACTGTTGGTGGCCTACCGAAATAACAAACGAAAATGGAGAAGTGAGTGAGTAATAGAATAGGTGTGGCTGATATTGCCAATCGAGTCATCGAGTCTATAGCCTGCCTTACAATGGCCGAGAAGAGCGAAGAATCTTCAGTCATCAATCCTGCTTGCTGAAAGACATTGGCAAAGCCAACACAGGCAAACATTGCTCTCCATCCTCCTCCCGTAGAACTCCAGCGAAAGACAGCGTCGCTGTCATCTGCCCTTGCCAAACTCAAGACAAGAATGGTTGTCAACAAGGTCCAGAATCTCATCATCTGCAATGTGGATAGATTCGATACGATCAATTATTAATTAATTGGAAAATGAGACAGCAATTGAGTACACTCGAGGGATAGAGCAGCAAGCAAGGATCCAATCAATAAATCAAAGGGATCGGTTGTGTTCTGATGTTCTGATATCCAAACCGGCTGCTGGCGGAAGTGGGTGCTGTGGTGCTTGGGATCTTCGGTGTTCGGTGGTTGGAAAAAATGAGGGGGAAAGATCCAACCACTGTAGATCCATGATAAAAGATTTAATGTTCTGGTACGGTAGAGTATACTGATATCTTACGTACGGTACCTGGTACGGTAGATTGCCTTTAAAGCTTCGACTAGCGCACCGGTTCTCAAAGCAAATCGGAAATTTACAACAAAGCCATTCAAAACCTCGGGGGCTTATTAATTTTGCGTATGCGTATGCGTTTGCGCGACTATGCACTAGTCAGTACAAAACACGCAAACTTTCACTATGACCAAAATTGTATTAAACTTAAACCAGCTAAAGAGTTATTACTAAATGCTATAGTTACTTTGACTCCTTGGTGGACTTCTTTGTGGATGTTGTGTTAATTTCACCAATAACTTGTACCATATATTTCTGTCGCCATTTTTTTGTAACCAGCTTTTGAAGATAAGCCTTTTGCATTTTCATTAAGCAACCTGTTTTGCAATGATATTGTTTGATATCATCGTATTTATGTGTTTGCTTTTTCTTATATCTGTGCCGCAAACAATAGTCATCCTTTTCGATCTCAAAGCCGCATCCTTTGCAAACAGGCTTCTTACCCCGTTTCTCTGGTTGTCCAACATTATTGTACCTATGAGCAAAAATAGAATCAACAAGCACACAATGATCTCATTGTATGTACAGACAGAGTAGTGTGTGATTGCAACCACCTGCTGATACAGAGAGACCCTTCAGGAGGCCGTAACTGGCTTTAGCACCTGGGTTTAACTACAGCCAAGCTAAGCAACACAGTGGTGTTGGAAAATGAATGAAAGTGTTGTTGCTGCAGAAGACATGTTGCCATGCAGTTGGTCAATGCATTGCCAGGAAGAGCCAGCCTGCAAGGTAAAGTGTGTCCTTAAATAAACACACCAAATTACCGGGAGTTATTCTCCAAGGTAAAGTGTGTCGTTAAATAAACACACCAAATTACCAGGAGCTATCCTCCAAGGTAAAGTGTGTCGTTAAATAAACACACCAAATTACCAGTTGAACACACCAAATTACCAGGGAAAAGCACTGCCAGTTAATTAAACACACCAAACCAACACACCAAAAAAACACACCAAATTCGCAACAACCAAAACCTCGCCTCACAAAAAGCACACCGTCCATGGCCAAGGAGATTGAGGAGGAGGGAGCATCCTAGCTATTAGTGTATTTGTCTTAGCTCTCTTGTCATCCTGCCACAGAATTCATTGAGAGAGGAAGGACGTTGTGGAGTGCTCCAGTCAGACTCTTGCTCAGCTTGGTCCAGACTCCTTGGCAACGGCCACTATTCTTCGACCATCGACGTCCGACGCCATGGCATATACTCGTCGACGGCGTCCAAGCGTGTGAGAGACTACTAATCAAGAAGACACGACAATGCCGTCCGCCAAGAAAGGATGGTCGTGCTCGAAATGCACTTTTGAGCATCAATTTCCAGGTGACCGCTGTGTCATGTGCGGCTCTCTGCGGACGACAAAGGAACAAATGATCGATTTCATCCAGGGCAAACCCATTCCAGAGTCTTCCAAAATCAATTGCTCCTCAACGTCAACCACATCTGCTCCAACCAACAAAAAGAGAAAGCCGGAATCACCACAAGCCAAGCCACCGCCGAAACCACAGCAGCCGCCGTCGACCGCCACTGCCTATTTTGCTCCAAAACCCAAAGGGTCCTCTACTGGTACCGCTGCTGCTAGTAGCAATACCGACAGGACAAATGGCCCAGCAGCCAACCACAACTCCACATCTTCAAACTCTGGTTCCAATTTGCCTCAATCATCACATACGCGCAGACGCAATCCATACTCCAAAAACCCATCCAGGGCTTCAGTATCCACAGATCAGCCTTCAGCGAATACCAATGCCAATAGTCACCCAACAAATGGAAATCCCCACCCAAACAATCACGACAGATCAGAGGAACAAGAATCCACCAATCATAACAGCAGCAACAGCTTACAACAAAACCAACAACAACCATCTTTGAATGCCCACGCTTACAAGGAAAATCAGCAGTCCAATGCTCGACAAACAAGCTTTCTCAAACCACCACCAAAACAATCCACGTCCAACCAGAGAACCGCAGTCACCACCGCTTCTACCAAACAAAGTGTCGCGCGTTCCAACAACAGCAGCAACAATACCCGAAAGCAGCAGCAAACACTCCTTCCCATGCCCAAGAAAACCACTAGCTACGCCAAATATATACAACCCCGCATTGCTCCGTACGAACCAGGTCCGGTGCCATTTGATACATCCACCACCTCCACGTGGGTCTACCCCATTCATCCCAAATATGCCAAGAGAGACTATCAATTCGAAATGGCCAAATCCGGCGTCTTGGAAGACACACTCATTTGCTTGCCGACTGGATTGGGGAAAACATTGGTCGGTGCCGTGGTCATGTACAATTTCTATCGATGGTTCCCACAAGGCAAACTCGTGTTTTGTGCGCCCACACTGCCGTTGGTACAACAACAAGCCAAGGCGGTCTATGATATTGTCGGAATCCCCATGTCCGAAACGGCCGTCTTGACGGGACGCGTCAAATCGGAAGAACGCGCCGCACTGTGGCAAACCCATCGACTCTTTTTTTGCACGCCCCAAACCATTGAAAATGACATGCGCAATCAAGTCATTGATGCATCCTCCGTAGTCTGTGTCCTGCTGGATGAAGTCCACAAGGCACGCGGGGATCATGCCTATGTCCAAGTCATTCAGCTATTGCGCACGCAAGCAAAAGCCAAATTTCGATTGGTCGGGCTCAGTGCCACACCCGGGTCGACTATTGAAGTCGTACAAGATGTCATTCAGACGTTGCAAGTGTCCAAAATTGAAGTGCGCAGCGACGACGATCCTTCTATTCAACAATACACACACAATCGCGTTCATGAAGTGATTGAAGTCGCCGAAACGGCACTCGTCACCAAGACCAAGGACGTCTTGCTCAATCTGATACGGGCACCTCTGAAACGACTCCAACAAGCCGGCTTTTTGAAAAGTTCCGGTTCCGGAGCCACCATTTCCACCTACTCGGTCCTTCAGGAACAGCAAAAGTACTACGAGGGACTCAGCAAGGGCGATCGACGGTGTCCCGGCAAACTCCGTGCCGATTTTTTGCTGGTGCACAAGTTGATTGGATGGCGCGATTCCGTGGGGGTATACGGAATCCATCGATTTCGTAGCAATGTTGCAGAATGTCGCAATGATCCCCGGGCAGCATTTACGCTGGCTGCCGTCTTTGGAGACAAAGATTTTCAAGAACACATGGAAGATTTCAAGGAGGCATGCAAGAAATCCAAAACTGACGACTCCAAAGTCCAGGACATGTTGGCAGAGAATCCCAAATTGCAAAAGCTACAAGAAGTACTAAATGAGCATTTTGAGCGGGCACGAGCACGGGCCAGCAGGGAGGGGGGCGAGGTGTCCACGCGAGCCATTGTCTTTTCCCAGTTGCGTGGGTCAGTTCAAGATATTGTGGCATCGTTGTCAGCATTGCAACCGCTGGTACGTCCTCGGCGCTTTGTAGGACAAGGAAAGGGTAGCAGCAAGGGAAAAGACGCCAAGGAAGGTGTGGCCGTCGCCGCAAAGGATGAGGAAGACCAAAAGGGGATGAATCAAACAGAGCAACACAAAGTCTTGGCAGAGTTTCGTAGTGGAATCCACAATGTACTGGTCTGTACTTCGATCGGGGAGGAAGGTGAGTTGGATGTGAAAAAAGTCACTGCTTTGTCTCGAGTCTTGGTTCTGGTGGTTGAAGAGTAGCCACTCAATATCTCTCTTTCCTTGCCGACAGGTCTGGATATCGGTGAAGTTGACCTCATTGTGAACTTTGATTGTCTCAGCTCTCCAATTCGTATGCTGCAACGTGTCGGGAGAACGGGGCGGGCTCGTGACGGGAGAGTGGTGTCGATTCTTTCGAAAGGAGAAGAACAAAAGCACAAACGATCCAAGGCACGAGAGAAGACTCTCATTAGGGCTCTAAAGGACCCTACCAAGATGAAGTTCTTCCCGAAGGTTCCAATGTTTCCACCCAATCAGCCACTACCGACCCTGATAGAAAAGAGACTGCGTCGCGAGGACGATCTGGAGTTTCGACAGTCTCAGGTGGACGGGATGCCACGGAAACGGAAGCCGCGGGGGAGTCTTGGGTCTGCGTCGGGGAGCAAGAGGTCCAGAGGTGAACGCAATAATACCGATTGGAAACTAACAGACGGAGAAGAAATGTTGCGAAGAGACCTGTTTGGAGACGATGTTGTGAAATGCTGTGAAAGTGATGCAACCAGTGGTTACGGGTTTCCTGCAGCCTTGAGGAAGCGGTTCCTCAAGGCAAGGACTTACTCATACTCTGCACAGACACAACTTGATATGAGCCGATATCCATTGGGCAGCACTCTCACCATCGCTCGAAAAATGCAAATGGATCATGGAACCTGTTATGACGTTCGCCGACCCGTTTCGCGATCTTTTTTGCGCGATGAGGAGGAAATTCAGCAATTGTTCCCTGTAGAGAAGGGTACAGCCGAGAGTTGCTCCAGTTTGACGAAACTGCGGGAAAGCAAATCCAACATTGAACATGTAAAGAGACCGACAACAGAGGCGCGTCAACAAATAGCTTCCTCTGACAGGGTCGGTCAAAGGAGATCGCTGCCGCCAACCAGCAACGCAAAAGTCAGCAACACCGGGAATGTCATGGAAAGAAACGCGCACATTGCCAGGGTTGACGAGTCTGTCCGGGGGAAACAGCAAGGGATTGCGTCTACAGCTGAACGCCGAGCCATCCCAGGATCTAAGCCAGACGACAATCGACATGCCTCCAATTCTAGCACCGCAACAGCAGTTCGTGAAAACATGCCAGCACCGGCAGCACGCCCAAAGCCAGTGAGTCGAGGTGCTGTGAATCCGTACAGGAAAGCGAGGAGTGCTTCGACAGAACCCAAGATACAACGGCAGGGAGACCTTTCCACGCATGATCCCCTTTCTTTGCCCAACAGGGAACACTCAATTCCCTCGCTTGACAAGGCTAAAGGTTCTGCTTCAGTTTCGCGAGATCAGAATGCTCCCGTCGTTGGTGGGATGACAGCTACTGTCAAGTCCACCATGGCGGAGCTACATGTAGGACAGAGCGAAAGTGCCGGTCTTGGCAAGTCTACGGAAGCGCCTACATGGGAGGCAGCCAACGAGCCGGATACGAACGACGTGGATATTAATGATGGTTTCTACCTGCCGACTCCACCGGATTCTTCGTCTAGTGAGAGCGATGGCAGCGTTGGCGACGATGCTAGCTGTCAACAGGAAACCAAAGACCAGCCGAAAGAGAACCGAACAGAGGAGTCCTCCGCTCCTCCGATGAAGGTTGTGATCGAGAATTTGCCAACAGAACTCAATAGCGACAAAGCAAGCCACCAAGTCAAACCAGCGCCCCACAACCAAGACGACGGTTCCTTTCACCTGGCTTCTCAGTCGTTCCGATTGCCAACACAAAGCTCTTCATCGTCTTCATCGAGTTCATCTTTGGAGGATGAGAGCCAAGGGAAGGCAAAATGCAATGATGGCAAACACCCAGATGTCACCGCGCATATCCCTTCGGATGCCAAAGATCAGCTTGGTGATGAAATACATCAAGCAGACCCCAGCGAGGCCGAATCTCCCCCAAAAATGCAAGACGAAGGGAATGCTACAACTCCAGGCAATCGGTCACCAGCGGAAAGCCTGGAGGTTTCCGAAGAAGCAGACTCGGAAGTTCCAAACTTCAAACGAAGGAAACCGCTGAAAGCGAAGCGAGACATGTTTCTCACTCAAGTCAAGCCTCGCTCCGAAAGCCCCAAACCTGAAACTCCGGCAATAGAGGCGGGGAGCTCAACCTTGGTCGACACACCTGACCAACTTCTGGACACTCCCGAGACCGCAATGAAAGTGCAAAAGACAAAACAAGCGGAGCTCATCGACACCCCCACACCAAATTGTGTACATGACAGAGGAGCTGAAGTTGTGTGTGTGCTGTGTTTAGATCCTAAATCCCCAGACGAGGATCCGATCCTGCTTTGTGACGGCCCCGATTGCAACCTTGCCGTGCACTTGAAGTGCTATAACATTCATCCAAGCGTCCTCGAAGACGATGAAGATACTCCTTGGTTTTGTGACCCCTGCAAGTTTCTTCAGGAAGTGCGAAGGGGAGCAACCATCACATCCGTTAGGGAACAGGGCATCAAGTGTTTGTTTTGTCAACAAGGCAAAGGACCTTTGAAGAAAACAACGCCAAGGATTTGGAGCCACCCATACTGCGAAAATTGGTCCAAAATGCTAGTACAAGGGGATGACACTGTGTGTGCGATTTGCTCCGGGAGAAATGCAGCGCCATGCGCCAAAGAAGGATGCTCCGTTGCCGTGCACCCCCACTGTGCAATCACATCCATAATGAATGGTTCAGGGTCCTGGACTCTCGTAAGAGCGAAGAGCGATCCTTCCAATGACTCAGCCGCAGAGGAAGCTGTGGGAGAACAAAACGACAATGCACTGTCCGTGTTGTTTTGCCCCAGCGACAAACAGGAGGCCAGCCGTTTTGCGAGTAGCTTACGGGAAGCCGCGAATCAGATAGTTGTCATCCCGCCAGATAGTTTGGAAATTGCTGCGAAGGGGCACAAGAGCAAGCTTCGAAGACTCAAAAGACACGCGCCATCGAAAGAGAGTGCTCAGGATGAAAGCGAAGTAGAAGTGGTTGACGTTGATGCCCAAGACAAGAATACAACTGTTGATAAGGACGACGATGCCATCCGAGATCGCAAACGAGCCCGTATGGAGCGCCGCAATGCTGCTCGACGATTCATTGACGAAGAAGCTGGGATTGACTCCGATGAAGGCCATGACGGAGATGATGCAGAGCAGCGAGAGCTTGCCGCTTTGGAAGCCGAAGAGAACTCGTTGAGCAGTTTCATCAACGACTCCAGCCAACTCGGTTTCACTCAGGATCAGCTTGGCCGGATAGAACCGGATAGTGGTGCAACCAATGAATCTTCGTTTCCCTACGAAAGCGACGCACTGCATCGCCGGCTTGACAATGAAAACGCCAGGAGAAACGAGTTCGCAACTCCGTTTCTCAATCGCAGGATGCAAAGAGATTCCCTTTCGCCCTCAGATGCCCCTTCGTCCGAACGCGGACTTGGAAACATGCATTTTGTCCGTTCTGTTATAGAGTATCAGCGACAGGGCGGGTCAGCCCAGGAAGTCGAGGATTTATATAATCGTTTGGAGCAGGAAGCATCAACGCAACTGGGCCAGGATGAGTCACCTCAGCCGGCTCAGGAAGAAGATTGAAGTCGTGTGTTTGCAGCAGAAAATTGACGTCTCCGGAAATGAGAAGCAAGAGGATGCACATTCTACCAGTCCTGATGCGGTCTGTTCAATCGTTGCAGGTGGCCGAACTGGGATCTTGTTACCGAGCAACTCGCGAATTTGTTGAATTGAATCGAATCATTCTAGTAACGATTATTTAATGGGAGTGCTGTAGAACATGCAATTAGTCATATACTCGTATCTGTCGCGGCATCATGAACTCTAAAATAGGAAGTATCGCTGTCCCAGCGGAACTTCCGAAACGGGGTCACACTCGAGCTTCACTCCATCTGCCACCACTTCAAAAGTTTCTGGATCCACTTGCACGTCCGGAGTGCTGTCGTTGAGGACCATGTCCGCCTTGGATACATTGCGACAGTTTTTGACAGCAGCGACCTTCTTTCTCAAACCATACTTGTCTCCAATGTTCTCATCGACAGCTGCCTGTGACACAAAGGCAAGACTGTGAGATCCTGGATTGGATGTGGCTCCAAACATTGGTCTCATTTGCACGGGCTGTGGGGTTGGGATGCTGGCGTTGGGGTCTCCCATTTGTGCCCATGCGATCGTTCCGCCCTTGACAATCATCTCAGGCTTGGCTCCAAAGAGACCACTGGAAACAGAGACCAAGAGTAAATGCAATTGAGATGAATCAGATGGCGTTTTGGCTGTCGTGGTTGTAGTCTTTTTACTTACGGCTTCCAAAGCACCAAATCGGCCAGCTTTCCAACTTCCACCGATCCCACCAAATGAGCAAAACCATGTGCCACGGCAGGATTGATTGTGTACTTGGCCAAGTATCGCTTGATACGGAAATTGTCATTGTTGGGGTCATCTTCTGGAAGCGCTCCTCGTTGGAGCTTCATCTTATCGGCGGTTTGCCAGGTCCTGGAAATGACTTCTCCGACACGTCCCATGGCTTGGGAATCGGACGAGACCATGGAGATGGCTCCCAGGTCGTGTAGGATATCTTCGGCGGCAATGGTTTCCGGACGAATACGAGATTCGGCAAAGGCGACATCTTCGGGAATGGAGGAATCCAAGTGATGGCACACCATGAGCTGTGGACAAAGCAATAGAAGATTTTTGATTCCGTCGTGAGTCAGTCAGCTAGATTACAGTGACAGCTTCATACAGTGGATTTTCGAGTTGTGACACGTACCATATCCAAATGTTCATCCATCGTGTTGATTGTGAACGGTCGTGTGGGATTGGTGGAACTAGGTAAGACGTGCTGCTGCGAGACAATCTTGATGATATCGGGAGCATGTCCTCCTCCGGCCCCTTCGGTATGGTACGTGTGAATGGTACGTCCCTTCATGGCGGCAATCGAGTCATCGACAAAGCCACTTTCGTTCAACGTATCGGTATGAATGGTAATGGCAACATCGTGTTGATCGGCAAACGTCAATGCTTCGTCAATGGCCGACGGCGTGGTCCCCCAATCTTCGTGCAACTTGAAACCCGCCGCACCGGCTTTCAAGACATCCGTCAAGACACTGGAGTTACTGGTATTGCCCTTGCCGGAAAAACCAAAATTGAGTGGATACTGATCCGTCGCTTGCAACATCATTTCGACCTGAGAAGGTGCCGGAGTACACGTGGTGGCACTGGTCCCCGCGGACGGTCCTGTACCTCCTCCAAACATGGTGGTGATCCCCGAAGCAATGGCATCGTCAATTTGTTGTGGACAAATCCAATGAATGTGTGTATCAATACCACCGGCGGTCAAAATGAGTTTTTCTCCGGCAATGACTTCGGTGGTGTTGCCCACAATCATGTTGGAGTCGACATTGGCCATGATATCGGGATTGCCGGCCTTGCCAATTCCGACAATGGTATTGCCTTTAATGCCGATATCGGCCTTGACAATCCCCGCGACAGCATCGACAATGAGGGCATTGGTAATGACGACATCGAGAGCGTCGGCAGACGACACGGATGTCGCTTGTCCCATGCCTTCCCGCAATGTCTTGCCACCACCAAATTTGCATTCTTCACCGTACGTGGTCAAATCCTTTTCGACTTGAATCATCAAGGAGGTATCTCCTAAAACGACTCGATCGCCTACCGTAGGACCGTATTGATCGGCATAATTGGAACGATCCATGACATATGGAGTTCCACTCTTGACTGCAGCACCACTAGTAGGTACATCCAAGAATCCACCCTCGTGGACGCGTTGCATAATTTCATCGTGCTTGTCGGGTGCCGCACTTCCATTGGTCAAGCGATTGCCCGAGATGACGATTTGATTTCCGGCTAGTTCGACCAAAGTAACCGGTTTGGTTTCACCCGGTTCAAAGCGAACACTGGCACCACTGGGGACATTGAGACGTCGTCCAATGGCGGCCCGACGATCAAACGAGAGGGCCTTGTTGGTTTCCACAAAGGCATAATGAGATCCGACTTGAATGGGTCGATCACCGGTATTGGTAACGGTCAATTCGACCAAATCGCGGCCTTCATTCAAAGTAATGGGACTGCCCGAATCATCGGGCATGACAGCTCCTGGAATCATTTCCTCCTCCAAGTCATCACCAAAGACATCCAGTGAGGGCACGGGCAAGAAACTGCCTTGCAATGCCAATTCCAAATTGCCATCGACACTCGCAATCGGCGAATGAATGGTGAGCAATTTGGTACCATCGGGAAACGTCGCTTCCAGTTGGACATTCGAGACCAATTTGGGAACTCCCGGCAATACTTGTCGACGACCCAAAATTTGTTGTCCCAATGTCATGAGTTCGGCGACGGTATGATGCCCATCGCGAATGAATTCCATGAGTTGCATGGTGAGAAGTGCGACGGCTTCGGGATGATTGAGTCGAACGCCACGGGCCAAGCGGTATTGCGCCACGCGACCGGCTTGATGGAGGAGCAAATGATCCTTTTCACGTGGAGTCAAGTGTAACTGGCGGCGTTGGGTTCTAATGGGTGGAGATGTAGTAGTTGTAGTGCTAGTAGTAGCATGGTTCAGAGTGCCCAAGGCAGCCGCATGATAGGAACGTCCACCACCAAGGCGTCGTCGACTGGTAGAGACGGCTGCTGACCGTCCCAGTTTCCACAGGCGAGAAGAAGGAAACATGATCTAGCTATCCTTCTTCTGCTACTTCTACAAACTAAATAGAATACCAAATAAGGACCTTCCTTCCACGAAATAAATGGAGATGGTTGATAATCCAACAGTGCCAAGGAGGAAGGAATCTTTCGATCCTTTGATCTTTGATGAAGCCAAGGTGCTCAAACTTCCCTCACAGATGACAGAACCTCGCTCAAATAAGAAGGATCTTACTGGAGGTCTCCACCAAAACGAGCAATGGAAGAGACACCAAGTGACAGCTACCCTTCAAAAAATGAGGCTGCATTTGTGCCGTATCTTTCACCGTACCGTATCTTTTCTGTGTCAAACTGACGTCATAAGCACGATTGATATCCAGATCTTTACCGTGTCATACTGACGTCACAAGCACGATTGATATCCAAGACAACACCCACCATCCATCTCCAGTCCAGTGGATTGATGCACCACCCTCGCACCCAAATTGCAGCTGCCAAGACGACCTTCACCATCACAAAGGACCCTGCCACTCCTCACAAGCGCAGGGAAAGAGAAAGAGGAGTTCAGGCATGGCGCTCAGCACAATAGAGGGATAAATCTTGGGGACAAGCCTCCGCGCTTCCATGTTCAAAAATGCGCACTGCTGACGATTGATTGTGACCATGGCCAGCTGTATGGATAAAGGACATCCTCCCTGTTTTAAGACGCGGGGTCTTGGAGGCACTGACTTTCATTGTGTGAGATCTTGGCAGCAGATCCTCACACATCGACTGCCAAACATCGATCCTTCATTCAATCATTCCATTGCAATGATACCAAGGACCTATGGTACGTACGTTGGATCCAAAGATGCTACCTTTGTCCTATCTAGGCTGTTGCTCTTTGATTAGAAAACTCTGTTATTAGCTCTATCTGATGTTTATCCAAAATATTTCGTGAAGAACTAACAAACGCATGTATTACATGAGAGCCAACAAAAACATCTAAAATGGGTCAGAGATTTGTGTTTTTAAGTGTCTGCCATCTGACTATTGTTTTTCCCCTTTTTTCCTTTTTCCAGATTAGTGGAACGACAAACGGGACGTCATGCCATGTTGTATCAACAATCCACCAGCCATTGGGTCAAGAGTCTGGAACAACCGACCAATCAGACGAAGACAAACTTCCAGGTATGTACAGGAATGCACTACGCATGTTGTTTGTTCGGTTTTGTGATATAGTTTGAGCAGCGCATGACGACCCAAACTGCAAACTGAAGTGCTTTCGATGACAGTTTTGCAAATTTACCAATTGATCCTTCCGACGCTTTTCATTTGTTTGCCTTGATTTTGTTTGTCTTGATTTGTTTTGTTTTTGTTTTTGTTTTGCAACGGCTACATGATCTGCCATGGAGGAGATGTCCTTCCCATGACCATCAATATTCCTCCGCCATATGGAAGCCAAGACCAATCCAGCCGAGCAACTTATAGGAATCGGCCCAACAAGACTACACGACGTTGGGTGGAGTCGAACGCTCGTGACAACTCGTTTTTACTTACGTGCATTGTCTTGTCGAGTTTGTTTTGGACGAGGCACCTATCATATGCATTCTCACACTTTACGTTTGCTTGCTTTTGTTTGTTGCCTGCTTTGCGCGCAAGGCAGAGAGAATAGAATTGGAGGAGTGGACTTTAGCTAGGCATGAAAACAACAATGTTTGTTATCTTTTGGCGCGTACGGTACGATGGGATGCTTTGAATGTACCGTAGGTGACACAACAGCTTTGATCGGTTGTGTGCCACCAGCTAGCTAGGGCTCGCGATTGCCAACAATGCGACCAAAGCGACGACATGCCGGCGAGCTAGACGAGGGAGTTTGGTGGGATGGAACATGTTGGAGGAGGGATAGAGGCACGGCATCGTCTACTGCCACCAGTGGCAAGATTCCGGACAATCATCATGGAGTTCTGCTCCATAGCTAGCTAGCTAGCTAGCCAGTTATCTGTTTACGTGCTAAATTCCTGCACTTGTCTACTCTAGCTACCGGTAGCCCCCACTGTTCTGCCTTCGTACTGGTTCCAACGCGAGTGACGAGTCATGGTGTGGTGGTGTCCAACGCAGTGTGTATGGTGACGTCGTATCCATGACTGATATCTTTTCTGTCGATGACGTAAGTGCTCATTCACAGCGATATTTGACACCTCACCAAACACAACCTTCCAAACCGAGACAAAGAACGGTACGCTTTCAGAGAATCTGACTGTGATCACTGTGGCCATCGCAGCTCGATCCCTTTGTAGCTACTAGTATAGCAAAGGTGGCTATATACGGTAGCAAGCAAGCAAGATTTGCCCATCTCATCCCCTCCCACTCTCCGTTCCAACAATTGAGGTAGCAAAACACAAGAAGAAAGAAGGAAAGCAATAAGATGAGAACTCCTACCGCTGCATGGTCCACTTGGCTGATCTTGCTGTCACTATTATTTGAGACCAGCCGAGGGTTTTCATCCTGTCATTCGTCTGGTGTTGTTTGTGGTACTAGTAGAGCATCCAGTCGAACAAAGTTGGCAAGAATACACCAGCATGACCACAGCATCCATACTACTACAAACAACCATGGTAGAAGATCACAACAATTGCATCTTGCCATTCGAAACAGTCATGGGGGTGCAAATGGCAAGAAGAAGAAGAAGAAGAAGAAACCAAAGCGAAGCTTGCTGAGTCGAATCTTTGGATTTGGTAAGCAACGAGACACGAAAGAAAGGAGTGGACAAGATGTCGTACAAGCCATCCCCGTGGAATCCATCCCAGCAGAAGAAGAAGAAGAAGATGTGGAAGCCCTTCTACTAGGAGAGCCAACTATCATGGAAGATCAGTCGCAGGAGAAAGAGAAGAATCTAGAAGAACAACAAGTTGATAGGAAGGAAGATAATGAAGAGGAGGAAGCAAATGACACCAACAACAACCAGAAGAAAAAGAAACCAAAGCGAAGCTTGCTGAGTCAAATCTTTGGATCTGGCAAGCAACAAGACATGAAAGAAAGGAGTGTACAAGATGTGGTGCAAGTCATTCCTGAGGAATCCACCCCAGCAGCAGAAGAAGAAGAAGAAGATGTGGAAGCCATTCTACTAGGAGAGCCATCCAACACGGAAGATCAGCCCCAGGAGAAAGAGGAGAATTTAAAAGAACAACAAGTTGACGAGAAGGAAGAGGAGGAAGAGACTTCTGAGGAAGAAATGTTTAGTGAAGTTACAGCAACCAACACCACTGTTAGTGGCACTGATACGGAACCAGAAAGCACGCAACAACCGGAGATTGTCAGCCAAGATAGTGATGACCACGACAAACCATCCGATGACTCTGAAACTTTGGCTGGTGAGGAAAAGACCACTATTGCTTCATCATCAGAGTCAGGAGAAACATCATCAGCTTCCACCAATCCAGAACCAAACCAACAACAAGAGCCCCCTTCTGAATTGGGGGAAAAGGATGCTGGAAAGATTGCTGGAGAACTCAAGGAAGTACCCAGGGAATTCCAAAAGGGATCACCAGAGGGTGAAGCAAATGCTCTGGTCACCACCGCTGGTGCTTCGGATAATGATAAGAACGACAATCAAAAACAACCTCAGAAGAAAAAGAAAAAGAAAAAGGGCAAGGGATTGATTCAAAAACGAATCGCACAATTCATGACGCTGCTCTTTCTACTCGTGTTTGTGGGGCCCTTTGTGGCTGATGAATTATGGGAAGGACAACCACCCGTGGTGACGGCCAAACAGCGAATCGTTGTCGAAGAAGATCCTTTTGACATTACGACGTTACAAGAAGACACCATTCAACCCGACATTGCCGTGGCTACCCCGGATGAAACCAGCGTCCAACCACAAAAAACACAAGAGCAACGACGTCAAGTGGTCCTATCCTTTGTCTCGGATGCCGTCAACAAGGTGGGACCCTCCGTCATTCGGATTGATACCGAAACACACATGTTGGGAGATCATCATCAACCACACGAGCAAGACAACACTGATGATGGACTCGTATCACCTCCCGGTTACGTCCAGCAAGGACAGGGATCGGGATTGATCTTTTCTTCCGATGGACTCATTCTGACCAATGCACACGTCGTAGAAGATGCCACCAAAGTCACAGTGACACTCACGGATGGACGCATGTATCAGGCCAAGGTGTTGGGACAAGGTAAGTTTTCCACTTTTCTGCTATTCCGTTGGAAGCTAGATTTGACAGCCAATGTCCCGCTTACTCTTCCCCCCCTCGCATTTACGGCTTGTTTGAATTGCTCCAGACGAGATTGTGGATATTGCCGTCATCAAAATCATTCCCGAAAGTCGAGGAGAAGGAGGAGGAGACCATCTACCAATGGCCAAGCTAGGTGACAGCGACAAGCTCAATGTAGGCCAGATTGTTATTGCGGTTGGAAGTCCAGGCGGTTTGGATAACACCGTCACCATGGGAATCGTTTCCGGGTTGGAACGATCCTCCACTGTCGTCGGTATACCCCACAAAAAGGTAGATTACATTCAAACCGATGCGGCCATCAATCCCGGAAATAGGTACGCCGTTGCTATGCATGTGCTTTTGTGAAACCTTGTAGGACAGTGATCCAGAATGGCTGTGTCGACTAATCTTTATCATTCTTGGTTCTTCGCTGTTGATCTTCTCTCTTTCTCAGCGGTGGGCCACTGGTCGACGTCGAGACGGGTGAAGTGGTGGGCATCAATGCCGCGATTCGAGCTCACATGGAAGGCACCAGCTTTGCCATCCCAATCAATCGCGTCCGCGAGATCATGAATGATTTGGCCGAAGGTAGGGAAATACATCATGGCTATTTGGGCATTTCGTTGGCTACCTGCACGCCCGATTGGGCCCGTCAGAACAATGTCAACGTGAAAGATTCCAAATCGCACATTCCGGAAATCTACGGAGCACTTGTACACAACGTGTTTCCACGAACACCTGCCGAGGCGGGTGGTTTGAAGACCAATGATGTCATTCTGGATATTGGTGGAAAGCGAGTGCAGTCGTCGGATGATGCTCGGAGGTTGATTGATGGAGCACCAGTAGGCGAGGTAAGTTGCTTTGCAGCCAGATAGCAGTGTAGCTGGGTCCTCTGGTTAGGTGGTTCGTTTCTCATACTGCATGATCCATGATTCGATCCCCCAGGAGGTTCGGATATCTGTCTTGCGGGATAAACGACAAATAGAAGTGACAGTGAAACCCGTGGACCTGGCCACCAGGCTACGGGATATCAAGCGAGAGCGACAGCGACAGTTGCTGCAGGAAAGGCTACGGTTTCAGGAGCTGGGTCCTTACCGGTCCATGCTGCAATAGCTACCTATGTCAGAATGGTGCAAAGAGAGGAGCTGGAACGGCACGGGCTTAACTTGCTAGCTTTGCCTGAGAGCGTCCGGGACCGGAATGTAAACAAGCTCAAGAGATAGATAGACTGCCACTCAAATCGACTGTACTGTCCCTCGTAGTACTGTAGCGCTAGCAAGCCAGACTAGCTAGTCTACGCTGGCCAGTGAATGATAGATTTTATCAAATCGAAACAATCCACGTTTTACGTTGCCTCTCACTTGGGAGGTCTCTGTTTCGTTCCACCATGCTTCCACGCTTCCACGGCATCCAAGGATCACGAATGAGAGGACACACCCTGTCATCCCAGAACCGCGGTTGTGGAGGAGTGCCCATGTCGTCCTGAGGATAGCACATTATTGTCGTCGTTCAGAGGTGGAGGTACTGTATGACACAAGCTCAACACAGACAAACAAAAGTAAAAGAAGGGCTCTTCCAAACTATGTGAGACTGTATGATCGTGGAGTGAGATGGCAGCGAGGAAGAAAGAAGGGAAGGTTATGCGCTTTGAAATCTCAGTGAGGTTAAGGCTTATCACGTGCGGCGAGCTGCTCCAAACTGGCTCTTCTCACTTTCCTTCTTTCGGGTCCGGTCTGATGTCAGAGAGTATGGCCATATCAACGGGTGTGGACATTATGTTTCCGGTAGCGGTCCTGCATGATGCTGCATCTGTTGGTCTACGGTACTGGTGGATACTGCCGTAGCGGTGGTAGTACCAATCCTGGAATGAGTTTTAAAAAACTGAACGTAACGGATTCGATTCAGACAACAAGTAACGGAGGTTTATTAGAGTAGGTAGATTAAATACAAGAAGTGCTTGAGGACGACCCCTGAGCCAAGGCCCGGGTGTTTCCCTCAGTCAAGTCTGGAAAGAGTTAATAAAAGACTTCATATACCCAAGCTCTACAAAGACCAACAATGGTCACTACAAAGCTCAATCCAAAATCCTTCCCATGGGGGCTGACAAGGGCAGGGAGGTCTCGTCTCCGTCCTTACCACTTGATTGGACCACTGGTAGTACTGTTGCTCTTGTTTGGAGAGCGCATTGTCTTTCCTCGTGAGGATGGTGTGTGCCATGGCAGAAATCCACCAGTACAAGTACAAGCCACAGACCACGCAAAGAATTCCGTAGAGCATGAGCATGTCGTTAACTGTACGGCCCAGACAATTGATGATCCAGGAGTGAATGTTGCCCTGTACAAAACATGTATTGCTCCACCCCTTAAGATGAATGTGCACTCTGGAAACGAAATGATTTCCAGGGATATTGAAACCTCTGGCTGTTTTGAGTGCAGTATTTTGAAAAAGTTGATGCAATTCATGGAGCAGACACCGCCAGATACATTCTTCCTTGACATTGGTGCAAACATTGGCATGTACAGTGTGCACGCAGCTGCATGGGGGCGAGATGTGTTTGCCTTTGAGCCATTTCAAAGAAACTACCAGCGCATTTGCAAGTCCATTTCCATGAACAAGGGCTTTGAGGAAAGAATCGTTGTATTCAATATTGCACTCACGGACCATCCAACAACTGTTGGGTTTACATCTGTTTCTGAAGAGAATTTTGGTGGGATTCATGTGAAGGAAGAGGCTGCACAGGAAGAATCAGCTCCTGTACGTGGAGTAGACTATGCTCCAGGAGTCCAACTGTCTTCGTTGAAAAGTGTTTTGCCCTTGAATCGCCCTGCTGTCATCAAGATTGATGTGGAGGGTTCTGAGTGTGGAGTTTTGGGGGGTGCCATGGATTACTTGCATGCCCTAGATATTCTCTATGTCGCGATGGAATGGTCCCCTGAAATGCCAAACTGTGAGCACATGGAAGCTATGTTCAAGTTGTTCCAGAAGAACAGGCTATCTCCCTATCAACACGTCTACTGGCAAGATATTTGGAGGCCGGTCAAAGCCACAGAGTGGCGTCAATGGCACTACGATTGGTTCAAAGATAAGGGTTGGAACACTCGTCTGATGGATATCGCCTGGATTCGAGAATAATCATGAGCACTACATGTACCATCTTTTTTCATGTAGCTAGCTATGTCTACAGCCAGTTTACACTCATGGAGGAGGAGACAGTTTCGGCGGCAACATGGCCACACCGAAAGAGGATTGGTGGCAAAAGGGCCAAACCGAGAAATATTATACTTGTAGAGGAGGAAGATCGGCGGCAGCAGGGCCACACCGCGATCGACGGATCGACTCTGTCATCGTGAAAGCACAACAACAAAGACCGAACAACAAGGCCCACGCCAACCACAGCAGCATCCTAGTCCACGCTAGAAAAACAAATACTAAGTAGATACGTTAAGGAGCGAAGGGGGCTAAGCTATATAGGCAGAGCGGTGGTATCGGTAGTGGGTATCAGGAAGTACTGGGAGAGTGGGGAGGACAGGAGCAGGGCAAAAGGGAGCTAGGGGGGGGAGAGCATTGAGCAAAGGAGGGAGGAGAGGGGAAGTTGAGAGGGAGTAAAAGGGGGCAGGATTAGCGGAAGAGTGCAAGTGTGCACCATCGGCATCCCAGAGAGAACGACGGTAGCTCATTGTGCCAGCAGGGACACGGGAGCCATGCATTCAGAGGTGGCGGGCTCCAAGAACAGCAAGGCTGAGCCGAGCATTAAATTAGCCACGCACCACTGAGTAAGGGCCTTCCCACTTTCCAGCAAGCAAAGCGGAAATACGTTTGGCGAGTGCCTCAGCTTCAGCCCCAGGGATACCATCAGCCGAGACGACAAACGGACTAAAGTGGCGGCGTTGGGAGAGGCAGGCGTCGAGATAGTTGCTTTTCTTGTCGTGTTCGCCGTTGCGAAGGACCTTGTTAGGATCCTTGGGACAGAATGATAGATCCAAAAAATCGAAACAATCCACGTTTTTTGAAGGTGCTGTCCACACGGCAAATCATGTTTGGGATCATCACCTTGGCTCATCTGACAGTCTCGACTCTGATTTTGGCTTCCTTATTATAGATGCTTCTAACGCCTTCAACGAATTGAATCGAACTGCCATGCTTTATACAGTTCGCCATCTTTGGCCCGAAGGCGCCCGCTTTACCTTCAACAGTTACAAACATTGGTCCCTTGTTATTTTTCACGACTCCACCGCTGAACAGCTCACATTATCCTCAGCGCTGTTGGAGTCGTGCAAGGTGATCCTTTAGCCATGTACTGCTACGGTTTAGCCTTAGTTCCTCTCATTAAACGGCTTCATCATGAGTTCCTCACCTTTGCATCTCTGGTATGCCGATGATGCAATGCTGCCGGCAAATTTACTATTTACAATTGCTTCTAGCCGTCTTATTCGGCTAGGCAAAACCATTCGGCTACTTTGTCACGCAATAAATGCAAATTATTACTCACAGTGCCATTTTCACACAGCCACCACTCATTTTACGCGTACCCGCGGCTCTCAACTCAAAGTCACCAATGGTGCAGATTTCTCGGTGGTCATATCGCGAACCTGAGCCCTTTCTCCTGGGTTTTTCCAAACACAACTTGGACGGCCTGATTCAATCTCTTTGTGAAGTAGCTCAGTTCTACCCCCAGTCGCTTATATTGCCTGCCAAAAGTCTCTCCAAATGGAATGGCAATTTGTGCAACGTGTCTGTCGTGTCCCTCGGACTCTTGGCTTCCCTTGAAAATGCTCTGGATTTTGACTTCTCCCCGCTCTCTGGAACCTTCATTCAAGCGAACTACCCCCCCGACTCTCACTTCCCTCCCATACAAGTTTCTGGCCTTTCTCTCCCCACCCCATTACGGAAGCCCCCTCCGCTACATTGCCAGTCGCAAATTACTTCGGAAATTACCCGATCCCTTTTGCCCCCTTGCCCTTAATTCCCATCCCCCTAGCCCCCTCCACGACCCTGCCACCCCCTTCTTGAGCCCCCACGCATCCCTTCAGAATTGAAGACCATCGCACAGCCCTCACAGAAGGTCGTATCAGCGCCACCAAACGCCATCAAGACGCCTACCAAGCGGCTTTCGAGACCCATCAAGCCACTTCACTCCGGCTGAGCAGTCCGCCTCAATCGCAGTCGTTGCACTGGCTCCTGGCTTGCAGTCATGCCGATATTGCCAAACGCACTCACCTCTCTGCTCAAGAATGGCGTGATGCTCTTTTTCTCCGTTGGTCTTACCCCCCAGCTCTTCCAGCCTCTTGTGATGGCTGTACTGGTCCCTTAGCGTTCCACATGCTCTGGATTGCAAACGCGGTGGCTTAATCATCCGTCGCCATATTGAAATCCGCAATGAACTTGGTTCATATTGCATGTGAATGCTTTGGTTCCTCTAGCGTCCAATCCGAACCACCCTTCCATCTGTTCCCGCCCCTACTATCCCTGCCGTCACCCAATTTCTACCTACCTCCCCTCCCCCCCCTCTCAATCCCCCTCCAGCCCCCGAGCTCTTACGTGGTGATCTTTCCATTCGCGCTTGTTAAACGAGGTCTACAGCTATTATTGACGTACGTGTCACTGATTTGGACTGTGCCTCTTACCGCAACAAAGATCCCGTCAAAGTTTTAACCCAACAAGAACGCGACAAAATTTCCAAATATAAAGATGCGTGCGAGTCCAATCGCGCTTCCTTCCACCCCTTTGTTGTTTCGGTGGATGGCATGCTTGCCCCTCAAGCCAAAACTCTCTTACAACGCCTTGCTTCTGCTACTGCCTCCAAAACTCAATTTTCCTACTCTCAAATGATGTTCTTCATGCAGACCCGTATCTCCATTGCCCTTGTGAAAGCTACCCATTTATGTCTCCGTGGATCTCGCAAAGCCAAACCCTTTGCCCCCCGTAATGGTCCTCAATTTCTTGCCCCTGATCCCACAGAACCTAGTCCTGAATTTCGACTGTTCTTTGCTTAAGCCTGGCCCCGGCTGGCTTCCGTAGATAATTTCCCTACTCTAAAACCCCCCTTATATTTGTGTTGGCTCTAATATATTTGGGAGGTCAGTCGGTGCGCGCCCGCTATGAGTTCGTTCCAAACATGCTGCCACGCTTCGATGGCATCAAAGATCACGACTGGAGGGCACTTTGCCATGCATACAATGTCATCCTTTCAACTACACTGTTCTCTCCACAACCCCGTTCATCGCAACTCTCATCCCCTTTCATCACACTCCCACTCTGCCACCTCCCTCCACCAACATGAAGTTTCAATTTCCAAAACTCAAGCGCATTCGCCTGGAGGACGATGACACCGCAAGCACTGCGAGCACCGGCAGCTCCTTTAGCGGTGATTGCGGCTCCTACTATGCGGTGGACATGAAACTGCCTTGGGAGCTACCTCCGTCAGATCCAGCAAAGTTCTGCCAGGCTTGGACACCTCTCTCCTTGGAGCAACGCATGAAAAACCTGGAACGCTCGCAGGAGATGAGCAAAAAATACGAGGCACATCGCGAAGGAAAGGTGTACCGCCCCGATGAATTTGCGGTCGGCTCCTCCACCTGCGAGCAAGATCAAATCTTCTTCAAGCAAGACACGGGTCTCTGGCAGTGTGTCCATGAAGCTTGGATGAATCATTGGAATCTAAGGACCTCTCCCGATGACTGGTGGCACCCAGTGGCTTGCCGAATTGCCAAAGCCGTGGCGTCTGCAGCCAAAGAGGGCCGCTGTGGTGACAAAACATCACAGAAAATCCGTGATTTCTTTGTGACACACCAAGGTAAGGAGACCATCAGTGTTCACATTGACGCACAGTATCTGGAAGACGCAGACTATGAATCTGTATTCCAGCAGTTTTCGAGCGAGCTCGAAGACAGAATCAAAGTGCCTGAATACGCTGAACTCATGCAGGGAGACTTTACCACAACAACGGCGAATCACAAGATCGCTTCTCAAATCAATCTCATGTCCAGCCTCAAGGAGTTCTTTGAGTACAAGTTGGTGTTCATGGGGTGCGGCATCAAGGCGATTGAAATGTATGGCAACGAATCTGATTGGGGCCGCCTTGATGAGAAGCTTAGCGCACTGAAGAAGACCATTGAGCCCATCCTGGGGCACCTTCGGTTGCCGCGAGATTTTTGGGAGCACGCTTCCAAAGTATTTCAGAACTTGGCCTTGACTCGCAAAGATCCCACGAACCCCGAAGTGATCGAGTTCTGGTCGCAAGTCATCACCAAGACCCAACACTGGGAGCCCGGCGGCTTCTATGGAATGGGCAAGGGTAAGAAACAGGTGGATGCCTACGATGGTTGGCTAGTGCAATTCCTTACAGGGCAATCGGTGATCAGGAAGCGCGATGTGGGTAGCGAATCAATGAGCGGGTTGAATGCGGTTCCTGTGAAGGTGGAAATGACATGGTGCAGCCCACCCGTCTCGGAAGTGACCAACGTCATTGGTGGGACGATGGGCTTTCAGCTCCATCCTGGTGATCGTACTAGCAACGGAATCCCTTCACTGCAGCCCGTTCATATGTGGGCAATGATGATCCCTGGTGGGTCCAAAATCCCGCGCCGAGGCAACAACCATCAAGGAATCGAGGTGTCGTTGTGAACTAACCCAGCTGCCTGAAAGCCGAGACAATGAGCGGTTTCTGTCTCTCCTCAAATTATCAACTTTTCGTCGAGCTCTATCGGATATGAATCCACGTCCTCCACGGCTTGGACGAAACGCCTGGCTTCCGTAGATAATCCACCTACTCTAAACGCCGTACTTATCCACATTGCAACAGTTTTGTCCTTCGTCACCAGCGCCTGTGGAAACCCAATGCCAAGACCAGCCCAGGAAGACTCCTGGTCTCTTTAGTTGAAACTCTTTGGATTAAGCTTAGGGTTATGATGATCCTGCGGGTTGTTGCTCAAGATTGGGGCACTGAAGAGATGAAATAGGGGCCAGAGATGATGGGAACTCAGGGCAACCGAACTGCACTGAAACTGGCTTTCTGAAGCGAGCTATTTGTACGAGTAAAAAGCTCTCCCATGGATGTGATGGACTGTCACTTAGTCACTCTTTCAGCAGGTCCCAATTCGATTGCGCACTTCCAGAGTGAGATCGCATTCGTCGAAAAGGCTTCATCAAGGACACACGCGACTATGATTTTGGCGAACATGCGTCAAACGTGGATACTGTTGACAATGCTGAACCTCTTTTCCGCAACCTTCCGCTTGCATTTTTTTGCAATCACCTGCTGTTGCACGCTATTACTGAAGGATGCGAAGACGCAGACTGTAGAATGATCACCGCCCACGTGCGCCTACCGAGAACTAGCCAAATCCGCGGAAGTGATCATGGCAAAAGCCAGAGTTTCAGAGTTTGCCTGGGAGTTTTCTCGAAGAATTCATATTTTCGTCAGTTTTTCGTTGTTGCAAACTTGATGATGATGATGATGCCTCGGCTACTCTTTGCGTTGCTCGCTCTTCTTTCGAACATTGGGCTCGCTAAAGCAGCTAGCCTTCGTGGGAGTGATACAAAGACAGTCGTCAAGCGGAGCTCCTGTGATGCGTTCTCTCCGGGTGTACCTTGCTCCTCCAAGTCAATTTCCGTAGATGTTGGGCAAGAAAAAGTCAACCGAGTGCCTGCAAGTTTTGATCCTAACGCAACCGTGAAACCCCCAACAGAACCTCCATCAACTACACCGAGACCTTCTCAGGCAGAACTTCTACATTTACCGACAACAACAATCGAGGGTACTTTGGTCCAAACAGAAAGTGAAACCCTTGATCCAACTACCAGTAGTGCTCCTGTTGGTGTCACAGAACAGTCTGCACTCACATTCAGTCCTATGGTAGCGCTGCAAGATGAAAATGGTTCATTGACAACCATTGAAAGTACTCTGGCCCAAACAGAAAGTGCTACCGTGCAGCCAACATCGGGAGTTTCTGAACCAGATACATCCGTGACATTAAGCCCAACCATCATTCCAACTGAAGAGGGTCCAGAATTGGAAATGACATCCACAATCGAAACTGAAACTTTCCAGCCTACATCAAGCAGCTCTGAATCAGAACAAACTTTCATTCCCACCGAGGATGCCTCAGGATTGGAACTATTAGGCACAGTTGACGGTACACTCATCCAAACAGAAAGTGCAGCTGTTCAGCCCACACCAAGCAGCTCAGAGTCAGCAGAACAAACCATCATCCCAACAGATGAAGGCACAAGATTGGAACCTACAGCAACGGTTGAGAGTACTTTGGTCCAAACAGAGGGTGAGACACTCGATGATACATCCAGTTCTTCAGTACCAGAAACGTCCACAGCTTTGGAATCCACCGTCATCCCAACAGAAGACAGCTCAGCATTGGAAGGCACCATAAACCCCAGCGTGATTGTCGAGGAAGAAAGTGTGGATTCAGAGATGCCAACCCAGTCACCCACACCTGATCCCACTCTTGATCCCACGTCGCAGCCAACTCCTGCACCTACACCTGAGCTAACCTATCAGCCAACTCCTGAACCTACTCTAGATCCAACTCGGCAGCCAAGTCCTGCACCAACTCCAGAACCCACTGAGCAACCTTCGTCCTCGCCGACAAAGGATTTGGGCTTTGACGTTGTGGTCGTGGGAGGCGGTTGGTCTGGTTTGGGAGCACTGGACTCTTTGATCAACAATGAGGGCGTGGATGATGTCATCTTGTTAGAAGCTCATTCAGCATTGGGAGGTAGGAGCCGAACCATCTACGACTTTGTTCCCGGTGTATCCACTGAACTGGGAAGTGCTTGGGTGTACCAGGACCGCTTCTTGCCAAACCAATTCTCCATTCCTCTGGGCAGCATTGACTACAATACTTGGGACTATTTGGGTTTGTATCAGAATGGTTCGGAGATTGTTGCTGATAGTGAACGAAGGCAGCTACTAAATGTGGAATGGTTGGGAAGGTTCGCCGCCTATAGTGAAATCCAAGAAGACCTCATTGAGGAAGGCTTCATCCCTGACAAACCATACAGCCAAATTCTAAGTGAATACTTTGTCCGCATTTCAGATGATCGCACTCGTCGATTCATCAACTCCATGGTTGACTCCCAAATCCAAATGAACTACGCGAGTCCCCTAGGTCAAGTCTCAGTTGGATCGGTTGGAGGCAGTGCAAATAGAGCCATCTTCAGGGGAGCGGAACGGTTAGCAGGTGTGCCGTACTCGGGTAGCGAAGGAGGTGGCTTTGGAAGACTGATTCGGGGTGTAGCCGAGCCGCATCAAGGCAAGATCCGGTTGAATAGCCGTGTCACAAAGATTGAGTATGATTTCAGCGACGGTGAATACCCTGTTCGTGTCACGTACTTGGAGGAGAACGACATCAACAGACGGGAGACGATCTCAGCGAAGAAAGTTCTCGTAACAACGTCATTGGGGGTACTGAAAGAAGGAACCATTGAGTTTGTGCCCTCGCTGCCTTCCTGGAAACAAAACGCAATCAACCAGATGGGCTTCGGTGTTATCAATAAGTGCTTCTTGTTCTGGGATGAAAGTAGCACGAACGTCGAGTCATGGTGGCCGGATAGAGATGTGATGATACTGGTTCCAAATGAGGGAAAACAGGGGCGACCGATCGGTCTTTGGCTGACCTACTTCAACTTGCGAAATTTGGCACCAGGCGGTGACGGCCCCTACATCCTTTCCAGTTGGGCCGGTGGCGAAGCTGCGGAGTGGTCGGAAGCGAATCAATCTGAGCTTGAAGTCGTTGAGAACATTCTAGGTAATCTGCGACAAATGTTCGGTAGCTCCGTCCCCGAACCTACTCGATACTTTCTCCGGCGTTGGGGGCAAGATGATTTGTACAGAGGTGCTTACTCCTTTCCCACGGTGGGCATTGACGCAGGTGATGTTCGAGATGATTTGGAGCGCAGTGTGGATGATCGGTTGTTCTTTGCGGGCGAGGCCACAACTAGATCGTACGGTACCACCTATGGAGCCTACGAGAGTGGCAGGGGTGCTGCCGGTTCAATTGCAAACAGTCTAAGGATCTAACATACGATTTACCTGAACTACAAAGCCAATGAGATATACAGCAGGACTTTCGCTTCCGTTCTTAGCCTACCCAATGCAATGAAATAGAGAGATAGCGAGCTTCAGCCCCCACTAGTTTGAGATGACAAGTGCATCAAACACTGCTACCCTTCCTGAGTCGAGTCTTGTTGACGGACCTATATAGGCGGGAAGGCACAAAATCAAATCCTAAGGAGCCCGTGATGATAGTCCCGAGATCGCCAGTGTGCAGCCATGACATTGTCGTCTCCCAATTCCTCGCCCGTTGCTTCTCCAGTGATCGCATCATGCATTGTCGACACCATCGCTGTTACGGCAAGCACCTCTATTGCAAGAGGCACGAAGGCGGCAAACTATACCTGGTAAAGCCAAGTCCATCGTCACTGATAGCAACACTTTTCACATCGTTCGTCGTCTTCGGCCAGCAGACCAATTCCATCTACCGTATAGGCCAAAGCTCGATCCGTCTCCGCAGATATATAGCTTGGCTGCAGAAACTAGAAAGGGCTCCAGCCAGTTCAATCAATCACAGTCGGTCGCGCATTCCCGAAATTGACTCCCACCCCGTGGGGGCTGGCCAAATTTTTCGATGAGCCATCTGAACCCCTTGATCCCTTCCCCTACTTTTTACAAGCGGACGTTACCTAGTACCGTTCCTTTCACGTAATCCCCTTTATAGTTATTTATTTATTTTAATTATCTGGCTCATGTTCTTTGGATTGGATCGAGTTCTGTTGCAGACTTCCAAAAGATTGATGCCCGGTAGCATGCTACTTCTTCTCTGATTCGATTCGGTGCAAGGAGGCACAAACGCAAAACTTGACCTGATGCATTCACAGTGATAACCTGTCTTCGACACCGGTAACAGTATCACAGCGGCGCTATTAATAGTCAAGAAGGATTGGTGGCAATGCTTAATCGCGGGGAAGAGGGCTACTACAGAATCCTTGCTTCTTCCATGGCGATTCCAGTACGGTACTGTCCTTCCCGTTGCTACTGTAGCTAGTAGTGTGCGCGGCGGTGTTGTTTGGCCTCGAGGTTCCTTCTGCAGAGAGTGTGATCCGACAGCACCTAATCCACTGTCTGGTTTGACACTACTATTATTAACCCCCAACCTCCTGGCGAATTCTGGTGACGTTGGCCGAGTCCAAGCGAACTGATACCGCTCTGTTCTTTCTCCGGTGGTCTCAAGGCTAACTAGCTAGCTACTAGGTTGTATGGTGAGTCGGAATCTGTATTCAATCAAACTAACTGCGGTTTCGAAACCTCCACTCATTCATTCAATTAACTTTATCCTGCAGCACGTTCCTTTCTGCAATCCTGGCAAAGGCAATCCCGAACTCTCAGTTCACACGTGCCCGCACGGATGATGCAGTGATTTGAGGCTTCCTTGAAGAATGCGCTAAAGATCGACCCGATCTAGCTAGAACGACGAACGATTTGCGGGTGAGGCTTTATCTCTCTTTGGGGCGGCTCTCTTTTCGCTCTTGAGGACGCAGCATTGGGTTACTCCTGAGCATGGTGTTGTTGGCATCACTGGCAACAAAACAGAAATTGTCGCTACCGTCAGGGCCGGTCCGTCAGCTTAGTCTGCGATACCCCAAGATGTTGGTGAGGAAAAGGGCTCCAACAGCAATCAATTCAACACACGGCAATCAACACACATTTTTGGCCTAACTGGGGAGGAGAATGGATGCTGGAAACATGATTGATAACCCAGGTTTCGGCCAAGGTGCCAGAAGCAAGGAAAAACACCATGCAGGTCAGTCAGCTTGGTTTGCCCAACAACAATCAAGTCATGTTGGAACGTACGGGGAATGACACGACAATCAACAATGATTTTGGCATGAATGGGAGGGAGAATGGATGTTCGAGGTGTCATTTTTAAACCCAGGTTTCGGCTTTGTTGACAGAAGCAAGGAAACCGGGCGTTTGGCGCAGTTGGCAGCGCGCATGCTTAGCAACAACACCTGAGCTAATATGCATGAGGTCATGGGTTCAATTCCCATAATGTCCAGTGGCTTCTTTTTGGATCATTATGAGCGTCTTTTTTGGACGTTTTGGGCATGGTGTGGCCAACCAGCCTCTGCAGAGCCATTGTTGGAACTCTGGACTTGATTTTGCTGAAGTGATGAGAGTTTCTCTCAATTTTGTTTGGGCAGCCTATGTTTGGTGCCCGTTGGCAGCATGCATTGCACCGGCAGCATGGAAGTGCATGGCCAATCTGTATGAGGTCATGGGTTCAATTCACTTGGCTTGGTCTGTGATTTTCAATGTTGGCATCAGAAGTCGCACCTCTGGGGCACGCACCTCGGCGTCAGATTTCCGCACCTCCAGGGCACGCACTTCGGCGGCAAATTCTGCACCTCTAGCTAGGCATGCCTTTTGGACTGTGCCACCGTGACTCAGCCAGTACAATGGAAGGGACATCCCGTACGATTTAGAGGGATGCATTGGGGAGCTGCACTGGTTCAGATTTTTTGTTTTGCAAGGAACTGAATTGCATTGATCGATATACTGATAAAAATCGTAGTACCTTGCATACTGGTATCTCGCTCAGAATATCTGCCAGGCTCATCGGCGACCTCATTCTTTTACTAATGAGGTAGACAATCAGCAAACAAGGATGTCCAACATTTCTATCTTCAGGAAGATACCTTCTTATTTCAAAATAAGTTATAGTACAGCGAGGCAGCTAGCTAGAAATCTGGCAGCATTCATTTGCTTGTTTCGTGTCAGCAGCCATCGGTAGATGCAGAATGGTTTGCTCTGATGAAACTCATGTCTGTTTCTTATCTTCTCCTCTATGGTTCCGCCTCACGCTAGCCACAACCAGGCCCAGATACGCAGCCATCAGAACAGCACTGGGGAAGAATGCAACGGCTTCGTCAAGACCAATCAGTCCTTCACGGATCATTGTTCCGTCACGGGCAAATTCAATAAGAAAGGTTGTCGCCAGAATGGCCATGATACAGGTATGAGGAGCCTGTTGCCAGTACCACACTCCCAGGACTCGAACAAGTCCCAATTGTAGCGCTAGCAATCCAAACACAATGTTGTACAATCGCTCCGCTGAGGATGTACTCTGTACTATCGTTGTACTACCGGTAGTATCCATCATCATCCCAAACGAAGATTCGATCATGTTAGGCACGACGTCTCTCGGCAGCAGATGCCCACCAACAATGGCAGACCCGCAGACGATATTGAAGGACGCAATTAACAGCGTTGCGTACTTGACGATACTTTGCATGAGATCCATGCTGCATTGATTAACACACACCGCCTGCGCCAAGAAGATTGTGGCATGGTCGCGTGCCGAAGAGGAAACAGCACCGAACTTGATGCCACAGCACCTGGTTTGGAGTTGATCACGAATCGAATCCAAACACGAAGCTCCTTTTGGAGCTCAGCGCTGCAGCTGGGGAGACAATGACAAGCCGACCAGCTGATGGTGCCGGTATGGCGTAGCTCCCATCCGTGCTACTGTACCGGTACCGGTACAGTATCTGTTCGGAGAGATGCGACATGCACTACTGATACTAGTCTCCCATACAAGTTTGCTGGCCTTTCTCTCCCCAACCCCATTACGGAAGCCCCCCTCCGCTACATTGCCAGTCGCGAAATTACTTCGGAAATTACCCGCTCCCTTCTTGCCCCCTTGCCCTTAATTCCCATCCCCCCTAGCCCTCTCCACGACCCTGCCACCCCTTCATTGAGCCCCCACGTCATCCCTTCAGAATTGAAGACCATCGCACAGCCCTCACAGAAGGTCGTATCAGCGCCACCAAACGCCATCACGACGCCTACCAAGCGGCTTTCGAGACCCATCAAGCCACTCTCACTCCGGCTGAGCAGTCCCGCCTCAATCGCAGTCGTTGCACTGGCTCCTGGCTTGCAGTCATGCCCGATATTGCCAAACGCACTCACCTCTCTGCTCAAGAATGGCGTGATGCTCTTTTTCTCCGGTTCGGTCTTACCCCCCCAGCTCTTCCAGCTCTTTGTGATGGCTGTACTGGTCCCTTCAGCGTTCCAATGCTCTGGATTGCAAACGCGGCGGCTTAATCTCCGTCGCCATAATGAAATCCGAAATGAACTTGGTTCTATTGCATTTGAATGCTTTGGTTCCTCTAGCGTCCAGTCAGAACCACCCCTTCCCTCTGTTCCCGCCCCCACTATCCCTGCCGGTCACCCAATTTCTACCTTACCTCCCTTCCCCCCCCCTCTCAATCCCCCTCCAGCCCCCAGCTCTTACGTGTGATCTTTCTATTCGCGCTTGTTTGAACGAGGTACTACACTATTATTGACGTACGTGTCACTGATTTGGACTGTGCCTCTTACCGCAACAAAGATCCTGTCAAAGTTTTAACCCAACAAGAACGCGACAAAATTTCCAAATATAAAGACGCGTGCGAGTCCAATCGCGTTCCTTCCACCCCTTTGTTGTTTCAGTGGATGATGCTTGCCCCTCAAGCCCCCAAGACTCTCTTACAACGCCTTGCTTCTGCTACTGCCTCCAAAACTCAATTTTCCTACTCTCAAACGATGTTCTTCATGCAGACCCGTATCTCAATTGCCCTTGTGAAAGCTACCCATTTATGTCTCCGTGGATCCCGCAAAGCCAAACCCTTTGCCCCCCGTAATGGTCCTCAATTTCTTGCCCCTGATCCCACAGAACCTAGTCCTGAATTTCGACTGTTCTTTGCTTTTAAAAGCCTGGCCCCGGCTGGCTTCCGTAGATAATTTCCCTACTCTAAACCCCCTTATATATTGTAATATAAAGTAGAGCTATTCGAGAAGCTAAGGAAGACCCTTGTCATTTGATCCACTTTCTGCTTTTTAATGTTTAACTAAGTTAGTCGCTCATACTATTCATCTTACACTGGAAAATTGTTGGCGCCAATCTCTCATAGTCTCTCTCGTTGTTCTCTTGTTGCTTGCGTTTTCCTCGTCTGCTCACTTGTTCTTGTTCCATCCATCCAAACCTCGCTCTCGTCTCGTTGGTTCCCTCCTTCCATTTATTCATCCTCACTCACTCATGCATGTATTCATTTATTTCCATTCGCCGCCGGCTGAAAGGCACCTTTACTAATGCGATCCATTTCACGTTGCATGATATTCCCAGCCGTGGTGCGTTGATCCAAACACAGTCCGACCGATTCAAAGTAATCCAAGACTTGCTCTGGAGAGGGCGCCTGTTCGTGTTCCAACGATTGTTCAAAATCCCGCAACGTGTCCATTTCGATTTTGAGTGTTTCCATAATTTGGTCAACGTGCGTCTTGTGGACCCGGAGCAATTGTTCGGCAATAATGTAGTGTTCCGGCAACAACGGCGTGGGGGGCAATGGTTTGCTGGTATCTGGTTGTGCATGATTTTGATCGGGATGCATATGATGATGGTTGTTGTTGTTATTGTACATCATGGATCCTCCCAAACTACTCACGGCATCGGCGGGTGTGGAAGAAGCGACATTGTGGGGCGGCATGGGTGATCCAATGCTTTCTCCCCGCGACCATCGTTCCTTCATGTGAATGGAGCGACGACTGCGTCTACGAGACGCGTGTTGTTTCAATTCGTTCATACTGGCAATGAAAGGTCCTTCCTCGATTTCACCCTCTTCGGGTGGCTGTTGCTGTTGTTGCTGTGGATAATACGGAGGAGGCTGTTGTTGTTGTTGCTGCTGCTGTTGTTGTTGCACGTACGGATGCGCCAAAGTTTGATCGATACTCTTGGTGACATTCTGCAACATGTCCGTGGAACTGGCATGACTGTAGACTCCGGTACTGGCCATGGGAGGAGGATCTTGTTGTTGCTGATCTTGTGGCGATCCACTCTTGTCGATCAAATTAATGACTTGCCGTTCCGCAGCCGCCACAGCGTGTCCATTCATGCCTTCGGGAGAGGGTCGAGGGCGCGCTGCACCATTGGACGACCGTGGGACATGACTGGCGACACTGCGAGCATCACTATTGTCTTCTGGCGCTCTCAAATCGGTCAGCGATCCTCCCGACGTATACGAATGAGAACGAAGTGGAGGTTGATGCCGTGCTTCCGGTCGTCGCGGAGACGGCGATGGAGATCGTTGCTGGGGTCCTCCTCCCATACTGTGTCGCCCACGCCCAATGGGAGGTCGTGGGGGTGTGCCCAATTGGGGCACGGGATAGGCAGGACTGTTATTGTTGTTGTTGTTGGTATACAAGTTGGTCGGCGACAGCGTCGGCTGCTGTGGTTCGACTTGTCCAAACGGACGACGCAACGGAGGTCCCAATCCTCGTCGTGTTTGCGGTGGTTTCGTTTCGGGTTTGGCGGGTTGTTTGTTAGTGCCACCACCGACACTAATGGAAATGGGGACGGCGCCTCCTCCCGGCGTAGATGGCCGTCCTCGTGACGACGGACGATTCAATGTCGACGGAGGCTGTATACGACTGCTGGGAGTACCAGGAACGCCCTTGTTGTTGGCTTTGGAGGCGGTACTGTAATGGGAAAATCGACTGGCGACACTGAGTTCGTCATTTTGTACTCCATCGACGGCATTTCCTTGCTCGGTAACTTTGATGAGCCATTTTTGCAATTTCATGTCTTTACCAGCGGGCCCATCGGGATCTCGAATCATTTCTTCCCACAGCACGGGTTGGTTGTCTCGAATGGTTCCAATGCCCGATTTGGCATACGACCTCACCGTGGGAGATGGATCCCGGAGTGTCTTGATGAATGCGGTTCCAATTTGCACCCAATTTTCTTCGGACAAGTAGGGTTGTTGTTGATCCGTGCCGTCGTCCATGGTCCAATGCTTGACGCCCATGTCCAAATAAAGCACACAGGCTTCTCGGACCGTGCGTGATTTGTCCGTCTTTAATCGATCCAACCAGAGTGGCATGGCCATTTTACAGGGACAAATGGGAATGATTTCACAGACCATCGATTGGACTTGATTGCGAATCACTTGGACCGTTTGGGCATGCACCTGTAACACGACGGGCATTAAATCCTTGAATAGATATTTGGCATCGCCTTGACAGAGGGCAAAGAGTCGCAATAACGATTCGCACGTTCGTTTGACGACAGTACTCCGAGGATCTTTGAGCAATTCGCCAATGGGTTGATGCAAATGTCGCAAATTGGGCGGTGAATTGTACCAGGCTTCGCGACGGGCGTATTCGGCACCCGTGGGAATTTGCGCCACCAACTCGGTAAATGCTTGCGTCCGCTTTTGCCATTGTTCGGGACGCGTACTCTCGATCGTATGCACCAAGTCGCGAATGGGACCTTCTTCCAATTGCATCTTGCGGGGTGATCCCTTGTTGAAGCCGCCGCTGCCGCCACCGGCGCCATTGCGAGGAGTGGATAAGTAGGCCATTGTGCTATATAACAATGACTGGTTCTTTTTTACGCTGTGGGGTTGTAGATTGCCAATTCGCCGTCGTCTTTTTGCCTCTAAAAACACTCCAACCAAATACAGCGGACCTACACAATCAAGTCAAGCCAAGTCAAGTCTAGTCAATTCAAAGTCAAGGGAGATGGACACACCCACACAGACGAAAGGGCAAGCAGCAAAGGGAGAGGAGCGGTGCTTGGAGGAGTTGCTTGGTGCTGCCTCGAGATCGTTCCTCTTTGGCCTTCTCTCATTTCTCTCGCTCGCCAAACTAATTTTGCTCCGCGCCAGGTCGGAGTACCGCGACTAAAGCATGGTCTAAATCCAAAATAGCCTTCCTGGCTCGGTTGGCAGAGAACACTCAGGGTTAGAGTTGATGAAGGCTCGACAAGCTCCATGTGTTGATTTTGTTCATAAATTCGATGCCTTTCCTTGCCGTTCTTTGGCGCTTCGAAATCATTCTGACATGTTCGAATCCAATGACGGTGAATGGCTCACGGTGACACCGCCAAAAGATCGTCCTTGGCGATCCAGCGATGGCCACTCATCATTGCCATTCGTAAACCGACAAAAATAATAAAAATTGTGTGCGACAATGACGAAGAAGGAACCAAGGAATCTCTGATCAACCAAACACACATCCATACTCCTCACCTCACTACAACAACTAACCAACAATTAAAAATGACGCTTCGACGATCCTTATCTCCCGCCATGATTCTTCAACTGTGGATCCTTGTGGTCCTATCAACAGTAGTGGAGTCCCTACTACAATCTCCCACGACGAGCCATCGAGGCCACAATCGTCTGTTTCTAGACACGGCCGAAGAATCCATTTGGCAAGAACTACTTCCTTTGGGTATTTTTCATGGCGTCACTACCAATCCATCCTTACTCGAAGCCGCCGGTCAAGAATGCTCTACTAGCAACATACATCACTTGGCACAAACTGCCTTGTCAACACCCGGCTGTCACGAAGTCATGGTCCAAGCATGGGGCAATGCCGCTCCCGAAATGTACAAGATTGGCATGGAATTGTCCAAACCCGATCGCGCTCGAATTGTCGTCAGTGTTCCCGTGACACGAGAAGGAACCAAAGCCGCTGCTTGTCTGATACAATCCGGTGTCAGGGTGTGTATGACGGCCTGTTTCAATGCCAATCAAGCCATTATTGCGGCCGGATTGGGTGCCGAATATGTGGCTCCCTTTTTGGGACGCATGACGGATTCCGGCAAGAGCGGTTTGGAAGAGTGTTTGCGCATGGGACACATTGTCAATGGCATGCAAGCAACGACGCGGATTTTAGTGTCCAGTATCCGGTCCGAAGATAGCATGGCCGAATTAATGGCAGTGGGGGAAATGGATACTTTTACGATCACTCCCGATGTGGCACGAGCCCTGTTTCAAGATCCACTCACACAAGAAGCCGCGGAAGATTTCCAGGCAGCCGCACAACGAGCGGGCAAAGATCGTTTACTTCCTCCGACGGAATAAATAAAATAGCTACCCTACCCTACAGATTCTTTGGCTAGCTACAAAGGAACCTCTTGGGAGGAGAAGAATACTACATGTTGCTTAGAGTATCAAAAAAGTGGAAATGTTTTAATAAAGCAAGAGAAATGATCCGTGCGTGTATTTAATGGATTAATTAAACTAACAAACTGTACACAACAAGCGAGAATTGGTGGCAACTTAATGGATGGATCAAAGAGCGTTTCCTTGTTCGCCCTTACCGAACAAGTATCAAACTACCGTACGGTTACAATCCTCCGCGTACCGACAATGCTTCTTTCTTGTCATCTTTGTAGCCCGTGTGGGATTGTCGGTACAGTAAACCAAAAAGCTACAACTAACTTCCAATTAATAAAACCTTGTTTTCTTTGCCCCATGCTGTGGTTCCGTCTCCACTGGACGACGACTGGTTGCTTACGCGTGCTGCTACTTTTCATAATCTAGCAGAAGTGACAACCAGCCAGTGTGGTTTGTCAGTGTGCGGTTTATTTACCCCAAAAGCCAACAACTAACTTCAATCATGCCTTTCGGCACCCGTGGACCCTTTACAATGTGGACATCAGCCCAAAAGCCTTGGTTTCTTGGCCGCGTGCTGCAGCTCCATCTCCACCGGGTGGCGGCTAGCTGTCGCATTGTGTTCGTGGTGCTGTTTCGTTCCCACTGATGATGCGTCATGAGCCCACCACAATGTTTCCGGTCGTTGTCGTAGCAACGTGTAAAGGGCATCCAGACTCAACCCATGCGAGCAGGCCATGTGGAGGGCAAGTTGGCCACTTTGTCCACCAACCACACTCAGAGAGGAAGGATTGTCTCGGACCAAGAACTCCACCGATTTGTACGATGTTCGGGGAATTTGACAGGCAACGTGAATGGGGTGATCGCCATCCACATTCGTAGTGGTGTGGATCGTCTTCCAGTATTGGAGAATCCACTGTAGTAATACGGAATCTCCAATTTGTACAATCCATTCAAAACAGTCTTCCCAATTGCTGCTATCAGGATTGATCCCGTTCGTTTGAATCAACCATTGGGTTGTTTCCAAACACTCTTCGCGGCGCCATGTGTATTCTGACTGTTTTCGCAAGAGTGCCTCAAGGGGCGTGATGCCCCCACCGTAGTTGGGCATTGTACGAGTATGGACGTTGGCGCCCGCTTCCACCAGCCCAATAAAGACAGATATGGGATGTCGAAGGAGCACATCCACCAGACACAGTGCAAGTGCATGAGGGGGTGCGTGCTGCACCAGCACTTGAAAGATGCGTGCTTCATTTTGGGGACGGAGTTTTTCCACGGAAATGGAACTGGAAATGCGGCCACGGCGAAAGAGTCGACATCCGTGTTGTAAGAGTAGCTGGAGAATTTCGGGACGACCCTCCAAAATGGCCAAATGCAGTGGAGGACGGTGTCTAATCGGGTAAGGACATGTACTTTCGGGGTTGGCACCGAACTCCAACAAGACCCGGAGGAGTTGTGCCTGTCCCATTTCGGCGGCTCGATAGGCACAGAGACCGGACTGGTGAAGAGCACCTCCTTGCAGCAACGCGCGGCAAGTCTCGACATGACCACGTTCGCAGGCTCGAAAGAGAGCCGTCCCCGCAACACCCACATGCTCTACGAGCTGTCCTTCTTCTTCTTCGGGGATCCACGGAGTCTCATCGACACCGACACCACAATCGTCCAACAAGAAGCGGACAACGTGCGTGTGACCATGCCAAGCGGCGGCGTGGAGTGGAGGACACTTGTGGCGACCATAAAAGCTGTCCTCGAGGAGGGGCGTGGAAGGATACTCGTAGATGGAGACAGTAGAATTCAGCCGACGATACAGCTCCTTGCACTCCTCCAAGTCGCCGCGTTCACAGGCACGGAAAAAAGCACACTCTGTTGACATTGCCATGGTGCTCTCCTGTTACTCCAACGGGTGTTCAGTCGTCGGATAGAATACCGTACAATGTGATAAGGAGAGGTATACTAGCTAGTAGAGAGTTTGAACGGCGCTCTGGGTTGGGCTTCTACTAGCTAGCTACTGGACGGTTGAGCAAAAGCTGAAAAGTTGGATTTACCTGGGCAGGTAAACTGCCTGAGTTCTCAACCCCTTTAATGCTATTTCCTATTTCCTATTTCCTATTTTCTATTTCCTATTTCCTATTTCCTATTTCCTATTCCGGTGAAGCCAAAGTATAAGGATAGAGATAGTCATAAGCCAACAAAACTGAACATTGATGGTTCAATACATGTTAGGGGTAGGAATAAATCATTAATATTTAAGGTTAGTGCAATCAGCACAACAGCACAATAAGCCAGCAGGAGTTGTAAAGGTTAGAGTTACAATAAGGGAATGGCAGCTGGTAAATTATAGAGTAGCGGGCGGCAACACACAGGGCTAGCTTAATAAAGAAGGTTGCAATGAGGGAATGAATGATACCGGGCGGCAACACACGACGTAGTCGGGTGTTGTCGCCAGGGCTGGCTTCAAAGATGGGTGCAATCTCGAACATGATCCTCCTTCTTCTATCTGTCTTTCTGCCGAGGTATCGCAGCTCCCGCTGACTTAAATGCTATTTCCTATTTCCTATTTCCTATTCCGGTGAAGCCAAAGTATAAGGATAGAGATAGTCATAAGCCAACAAAACTGAACATTGATGGTTCAATACAAGTTAGGGGTAGGAATAAATCATTAATATTTAAGGTTAATGCAATCAGCACAACAGCACAATAAGCCAGCAGGAGTTGTAAAGGTTAGAGTTACAATAAGGGAATGGCAGCTGGTAAATTATAGAGTAGCGGGCGGCAACACACGACGTAGTCGAGTGTTGTCGCCAGGGCTAGCTTAATAAAGAAGGTTGCAATGAGGGACGTCGGGTGTTGTCGCCAGGGCTGGCTTGAAAGATGGGTGCAATCTCGAACATGATCCTCCTTCTTCTATCTGTCTTTCTGCCGAGGTATCGCTGCTCCCGCTGACTTATTGGGTAAACTGGACTTGAAGTTCCCCAATTCTTAAACGAATTTTCTACTTTTCACCCTTGTTGAAAAATTGACTCTAACTGTTGAAAAACTGTTGAATAAGTGTTGAAACGTGTTGAAACCCTGTTGAATTACTGTTGAATCTATAGTCAGGGGAAGTGGGGAAGTTGTTGAATAAGTGTTGAATCCCTGTTGGAAAGTGTTAAATCTTTGTTGAATTTGTGTTTAAACGCAATTCAACAGTGTTGAACTTTATTCAACAGTCTCAGTGCTGTTAAATCCATAAATTCAAAACTTCAATATTGTTCCTTTCAAATACCCCATTTCCCCAAAGTTAACTTTTACTTAACCATCCTGGTTCAGACGTACACCTCCAAAGATCTGACGCACCTTTGCTCCTTTCACTTTTAAGAAAGCCTATTAATATGACCAAGCCTCTCCTTACCAAAACCTCGATGCTTCCGTGTCCGCATCTAAGAAGCGCATTTTGGGCAAAGTGGATATTATGGGGAAGGTGCACAAAACGCTGGATCAAATTTTAGCGACTCATTTATGTGGGTCCCTTATCATGTCGAAGGGCATTATTTTACCCACAACCCAATTCATGTACCGCACAGCTCAATGCCCAACAAACATAGAGTCCCTGCGAGT